CTTCGGTGAAACCCACGAGCACGGGTATGGTGCTGACAAAACCAGAAACATATTTTGAGCGAACCGGGATTCGAACCCACAATCATAGGTTTCTGGCGTGCCCAAGGGAGGCAACTCTGCACAGCGAATCGCGGCGCCTTAGACGACTGGGCCACCCGTGCCCCCTACTGTTCAGAGACCCTAACTTGCACAATATGTTGTGGGGTTCGGTCAGTCATTGTGTTGTCACCCCACACCATAACCGATCCACCGTCAAATCTGTCTTGAGGTCTCAGGTTGAGATTAGCTTGACTTCCAGCACGACCTCGTCTATCAAGGAAATGCAAAGTAAATCGGGTCTCATCTGAAAATATGACGCGTGACCGGGATTGAGGTAATTAACTAAGGTTACATGGTAATGACTTACCAGGTAACACCAATATAGAACGGTTTATTGGCCGGCACAATGAACTAGTGAATAACGCAAGTATTACATATTCTAAGTTACAAATATCAAGTTACATGAAAATAGGAATGAGTATTTACAATTACAAAAATAATGGAGTAGCAATATCACAGAATGGGAGACAATCAGCAGCAACTGTTCGTATCACGTGTCCATGAAGGAAGCTTCCATAAAGTCTGTTACAGTTTCTTGAGCAAGAATAGTCAATCACGAATCGGAAACTGTAAATACAGTCATAAAATTCACAAGGTGAAAGTTCAAAGTTCAAGGTCACTGCTTACTGCACAAGTATATAAACTGGGGAGGAAATTATAGTGTCAAGGAATGCGCAACTCACAATATCCACGAATGTCCATGAATATCACAAACAGATGTGGGTGTCCTGTATGGAAGTGTCAGTTCCTCACTGGGGGCACCATTGTGGCAGGGGTGGTTCATTATGAAAAATGACAAGCTGCAGTTGTGTTTGTTGAGGTGACATGGTGACATGTATTCCATTAACAATCACTTCAATTGATCAATCACCCTGTAATAGAATATATAACATTATATACTGTACATAGAATAGCATTCAAAGACACGGCTCCATATTAATTATTTCCTAGTTTGAGCGGTCACATTAATCCATGCATGCAACGCATACAGTTACACGTCACTAGTTCGTTGTAGATAACTTATATTAAATACAATTTACCGAACTTTCAAATAGTAATACGTATATTAAATGTCTCTAATCAATCACTTCAATTGATCAATCACTCTGTAATAGAATATATAACATTATATACTGTACATAGAATAGCATTCAAAGACACGGCTCCATATTAATTATTTCCTAGTTTGAGCAGTCACATTAATCCATGCATGCAACGCATACAGTTACACGTCACTAGTTCGTTGTAGATAACTTATATTAAATACAATTTACCGAACTTTCAAATAGTAATACGTATATTAAATGTATCTAATCATAACTGAATATATCAGTTACACACCATATAGTTAGAAGAATACTAGTAGCCGTGTGGCGTCATAAATATATGCATATTATCTCTAAGAGTAGGAATATATATAAAATGCTACCATGTTGTGTTAAATTATAACACATAGTTAATTATAAATTCATTCATAAGTGAGTGATAAGATAAAGGATTTATACATACCCTGTGGGTGACACCGGGGTGTGTCTATAAACCCACATCATATAGGATTATGGCATTCCTATAAAAAGTAAATAACATAACTATCATGCCTGAATATATACATACATACATACATACATACATACATACATACATACATACATACATACATACATACATACATACATACATACATACATCATGACAACCATTTCCTTAAATTATAGAAAACCAACTTCTAATTCATTCCTTACATTTAAAACTCCCAATCAAATTATGCTCTCACACACACTTACATGTTAAACACTTTATACTGATAAAATAGAAGATATCTTGATTATTTGATATCATAGGTAAGCATTTACAACATTTTACATTATTGATAACATATTTAAATGATAAGTTAGAATTCTATTTAGGAAAGAGTTATAAGCAGAGTGAATAAAAAGTGTGCAAATGTTAGGGAGGAAAGCTGTAGTTAGATAATGTTAATCAGCTAGGAAGCTGAAAGCTATTGTATTGACAAGCTAGAGAGTTGGTGACAAAGGGACAGGAATAGACTAACCTGTCCACCCTTCAATAAAATTGGACCAACCGCTTGGACTCTCAACCCAAGCATATACATTTTGTACTACAATTAATGAAGATATATACAACTACTTGAAATGAAAAAAGCAAAAAACTATATTTCTAAAACGTATATATGCAATATCCTGTTACACTTGACCTTTGAACACTGTCTTACAGTTAATGTTCCCTGAATGACACTTTCATTGTAGTCATTTCTTTTCACTCCCATGTGCTTGGTATATAACAGACTTGCTGACTTGGTTGATGCATGTCATCGTATCCCAATTGCGTGGATAGATGCTCATGGTTTCAATCACTGGATTGTCTTGTCCAGATTCGATTATTTACAGACCGCCGCCACATAGCGGGAATATTGTGAGTGCGGCGTAAAACAACAAACAAACAAACAAAGCCTATGGTGCATACCCGTGGGGATTCCGGGGTAGAATAGGTCCCTAGCAACTGCGTGGATAGTTGCTCATAATATGTTTCAACCCTTAATTTAAATTGGCCAAACTGGGCCAATGGTCAAACGTAGTAGAGAAGCATGGCGCTGTAAAACCTGATGACACAAACTGGGCCAATGGTCAAACGTAGTAGAGAAGCATGGCACTGTGTAACCTGATCCCAGAAACTGGGCCAATGGTCAAACGTAGTAGAGAAGCACGGCGCTGTTAAACCTGATGCAACAAACTGTACCAATGGTCAAACGTAGTAGAGAAGCATGGCAATGTTTAACCTGATGCCAGAAACTGGACCAATGGTCAAACGTAGTAGAGAAGCACGGCGCTGTTAAACCTGATGACACAAACTGGGCGAATGGTCAAACTTAGCAGTTGTGCATGGCGCTGTTTAACCTGATGACACAAACTGCGCCAATGGTCAAACGTAGTAGAGAAGCATGGCGCTGTTTAACCTGATGCAAGAAACTGGACCGATGGTCAAACGTAGTAGAGAAGCATGGCACTGTCTAACCTGATGCCAGAAACTGGGCCAATGATCAAACGTAGTAGAGAAGCACGGCGCTGTTAAACCTGATGCCAGAAACTGTACCAATGGTCAAACGAAGTTTTTGTTTGTTTGTTGTTTAACGCCGCACTCAGCAATATTCCAGCTATATGACGGCGGGTCAAACGAAGTAGAGAAGCACGGCGCTGTTAAACCTGATGCCAGAAACTGTACCAATGGTCAAACGTAGTAGAGAAGCACGGCGCTGTTAAACCTGATGCCAGAAACTGGACCAATGGCCAAATGTAGTAGAGAAGCATGGCGCTGTTTAACCTGATGACACAAACTGGGCGAATGGTCAAACTTAGCAGTTGTGCATGGCGCTGTTTAACCTGATGACACAAACTGGGCCAATGGTCAAACGTAGTAGAGAAGCATGGCGCTGTTTAACCTGATGACACAAACTGGACCGATGGTTAAACGTAGTAGAGAAGCATGGCACTGTCTAACCTGATGCCAGAAACTGGGCCAATGGTCAAACGTAGTAGAGAAGCATGGCGCTGTGTAACCTGATGACACAAACTGGGCTAATGGTCAAACGTAGTAGAGAAGCATGGCGCTGTTTAACCTGGTGGCATAATGTGACAGTTGTAGATCTTGGAATATCATGAATAGATACTTGTTACTGAACGCATTTTATTGAAGGAATTTTTAAAAGACTGGCGTCAAAGGAAGTCCTTGTTAACTGACTGAAATGTTTATTCATTTCACAGGTTGAATGAATTTGGAGTTTGACTGTGACATATATAACTATAAACCCTAACTTGGTAGCTGACTAAATGTTTCACAAGCTGGATTCTATATCGAAACTGAGGCACTTTGAGATATAAATACTCGGGCTTTACTTTCAGCTCTACCTCTTACTTTTTTCAATGAATATATGAGGCAATGTGATTTTATGCCGAATGAGCTAAGGCTACAGACGTTATAACGACAGCGAAATAAGTTAGTTCAAGGCTTACATTGTTAAGTGTATTTTTGAAGCTGAGAGGTTAATAGGATGTTCTTTAACCAACATGACGAGCTGCATCTAAAAGCGTAGATCTGTGCTGCTGCAAAAGGGACAAAAAGGGTTTTATTTACTCTAAATTTGCAATGCAACTACTTTTGAAAGTACCCAAAACAAACACCGTTTCCATAAACAGATTTACCTTACATTGTATCTTGATACCATTGCTCTGGCTACTCAATATATTTTGACAAAATCATTTTCTTTAAACTATCTAAGTAACGAGTTCTGCAGGAAGTATTTTCACCCCCCAAAAGGGTCAAATGTTCTATTTGGTAGGAATATTTTTATTTTGTTATTGAAGATGGATAGATGGTTTAAAATATGAGTGAGTGAGTTTATCGGATATTTCGCCTTTTTTAGCAATATTTCAGCAATATCAAGACATAGGACACCAGAAATGGGCTTCACAGACTGTACCCATGTGGGGAATCGACGCTTTATACATTAGGGGGCGGTCGGGTAGCCTAGTGGTTTAAGCGTTCGCTCGTCACGCCGAAGACCCGGGTTCGAATCCCGACATGGGTACAATGTGTGAAGCCCTTTTCTGGTGTCCCCCGCCGTGATATTGCTGGAATATTGCTAAAAGCGGCGTAAAACCAAACTCACTCACTCACTTAAACATTAGACAATCACACCGCCCCTTTTGGAAAATGATCAGTGTTTGAATAGAAATGCCGAACCAAGTCCAGGTTTCGAAAATAATATTGTTACCAATATAGACTTAATAAATGCCTAACCTCTATCTCAGATAATCAAAACCCTGTTCAATGTCTCTTTGAATGGGAACTTCAATTGTGAACCCATTTCTCTTCCTTTCTTGCAGTTCCTCATGGCAGAAGATGTCTCTCGTCGGTCCAAGCTTATCCAGACTTTCTGGTTGTTCTGGGCCTTCAACCATAGGGTAAGTACATCATCAAAAACCGTTCTGGGGTGAGTGAAATGGGTTTAACACAATACTAACAGTGGTTCAGTAATATCACAACGTGTCAGCTTTATGGATAGGAGGAGGAACGCCCAATGTGATGCGTCCTCAGACGCTCTACACTTTGGTCGAGTCCGCGAGCATGGTGCTGACAAACCAGAAACATGAATCAGTGACGTTCTTGAAGAGGGTAAGGATGTTCTGCTCTATCGGTAACACCTACCATTCAAAAAGCAATTTGCCAGTGAGTCAGGAGGTTTCAGAACTCGTCCTAATGTCTACTATAGTCGTTTTGGGATGACTTGTTCAGTTCTTTAATAGTAAAATCTTGGTCGAAAGGCTTCCTATTAGTTCCTATTAGTTTCTTCGATTTCCAACTCTGATGGAGTGAGTGAGTAGGGATAACGCTACCCACTGCCCCAACACTGGAAACATGAGGTGAAGATATACATTTATCACAGCATTTTGTGAATTGGGAATTTGACGGCTGAGATTTGTACAGCTGACAGATAGCTGTTTTAAATTAAAATTATGAGCCTAAATGTTTTGGGTAAAAAACACACATTTGTGTTGCAGACAAACTTTATTTTTCAAGAGTGTTAGGATTTGGAAAACAGTATAGGAAAACGAATTAGGAATAGATTTATTCGAAGATGTTATGGAAATTCCACGAGTAGGTACCATTATTCATTATTGTCACATATTTCACAGGTAAGTGACTGGCCTTGTGTGTTGGATGAGTAGATATCACTGCCACATTCTTTGCATAGATACTTCTTACAATGTGGTTTTGTCGTACGCTTGATTGATTGAGTGAGTGAGTATGGCTTTACGCAATCTTCCAGCAATATCACGGTGGGCTTCATACATTGTACCCACTTGAAGAATCGAACTCGGGCCTTCTGCGAGACGAGCAAACGCTTTAACCAATAGGCTACCCCACCTCCCCCTTGTTTCTAGTGGAGGGAGCAAATAGTCGAATCGTTTTATTTTGAACAATATCTGGACAGGCTGAGATTCCATACGTTTTTCTTCATTTTCTTTCTCAGCCTGATAATGTGTTATATGAAAAATAACCAACTCAAAACTCGTAATGATTCGAGATTTCATCCATTCATTCACGAGGCACAAATATTCCATAACTACTCATTTGTTATTCTGTATATCCATTCTGTATATCCATTTTAAACGTATTGTTGTTTCAGGGCATACAAACCAGTTTTCTTGGCCCAACTCTCCTGGACCTGCAGCTTCTCCTCCAGAAGGACCTGAATGCCCTGTCCTATCTTTTCTTTGCCTGTGGTCTGGGGTCTATGTTAGGAGCTTTGGCTGCTGGCGTCCTGGCCTCCAGGTTTGATCTTCGTCTGCAGCTGTTCCTCAGCCTGATGGTAGGATCTGCGTCACTAGCGGCCATCCCGCAGGTTCATCATATCGTCTACGTGTACATCATGGTCTTCGTGACGGGCACCACCAGTGGGCTGGTTATCTGTTGTGAGATATTAGTCGAGGAGTTTCTTTTGTTCAGTGGAACCAAGTGCTGAAATTAAATTGGCCCCACAAACCTATTAAGGGGGCCCGGGTGGCCCAGTCGTCAAAGGCGCCGCGATTCGATGTGCAGAGTTGCGTCCCTTGGGCACCCCAGAAACCTATGATTGTAGGTTCGAATCCCGGTTCACCCCGATTATGTTTCTAGGTTTGTCAGCACCATGCTCGTGGGTTTCGCCGAAGTGGTCAACGTCTGAGACCTGCATCACTTTCCTCCCACATTAAGCTGACACGCCGTGATATAACTGGAAAACTGTTAAAATCGGAGTTAAACCCAACTCACTCACTCACTTATTATTACGTTGCAACGTGTTTGTAATGTCATACAATTTGCAAACACTTTCAAGTTATGTTCAAGTCCCACAAACTTACAGCATGTACAATGTTTGATTGCAAGACGAAAACATCTCTCCCAAGCGTGGCTTGAACGTGGTATGAACACATACATACATGAATGAAACAACCGCAAATTCTATTAGGTCATATTGGATTGCATTGAATTGCATTATATATAGTATTGCTCTCGATTATATAGGCTGGGCTCGTATGTATAACAGCAATTAGGAAAGAAGAAAGTTTTGTTTCGAAATTTTTCAAAATTTGGATAGGTTAGAACGAGGTTGGTTGGTTGGTTGGTTGGTTGGTTGGTTTGTTGTTTAACGCCGCACTCAGCAATATTCCAGTTATATGACGGCGGTCTGTAAATAAACGAGTCTGGACCAGACATTCCAGTGATTAATATCATGAGCATCGATCCACGCAATTGGGATCGATGACATGCATAAACCAAGTCAGCGAGCCTGACCACCCGATCCCGTTAGTTGCCTTTTACGACAAGCATGGGTTGCTGAAGACCTATTCTACCCCGGAATCTCCACGGGTCGGTTAGAAAGGGGAAAACATTTGTGTCAATGAATGTATCTGAGGACATGGTTGTGTTTGTCCAATCATGTGCCAACAGTAAGCTATTAAAATACGGTATGCAGTTACAGCCAAACACTGTTGTGTCGAATTTTGATGTGTGGAACTTGCGTTTGTCTCGAAGTAAAAGTTTGGTCCCTGCGATTTCCTTCTTTATGAACCATTTTCTCTTGTGTCGAACATCGGATAACTCGAAGTATTTACGTAGGTCCTTTCAACTTCGACACAACAGTGTTTGACTGTATTTCAAAGTTCAATGGTATTGTAGAGCAGGGAAAGAATAAAAAATAACACACGATGATCGTTTGACGCAATGACATCGAGCTGATCTTTCTGGTTTCAGTTGTGATGCTTCTGTGCGGAGAGCTGTGGGAAAGGAAAGGACCGCCGTTCCACTTTGTTGCCTGTGGAATGTCAACAGGTGCCATCATAGCTCCACTAATTGCCAAAACATTCCTCAGCTCGCGTCAGCCAGTTCGGAGCGACTCTTTTTCTAACCTGACTAACGCCTTGTCAGTCAATGCAACCAGCATCGGCACAGTATTGGTATCCATCATTTCCCAGCAGGATAAGCAGGATGAAGACACTCGAGTACAATGGGCCTTCTTTGTTATTGGCTGCTGTATTCTTCCTGCTGGTCTGTCCCAGTTGTACTATTGGTTGGTTTACCGAAGTGAGGGAACTAAAAAGAAAACCGAGTCTTCAGAGTACACAGAGCTGAATCACCACCAACTGTTCAAGTGGAAACCAATTTTTGTAGCCTTCTACGTTAACTTGTTTGTTATGTACTTCCTCATTAGCGCCCTCCCGGTGACTTACTCCTCCATCCTGACCGTGTATGGTGTTCAAGGGCCATTGCACATGGCCAAGGCTTACATGCTGACAATGACTTCATTATTCTTCATTGGATCACTTTCCTCGAGAATCATAAGTATTTTCCTTACTCGACAGTTCACCAATTACCAAATAATTATAACCCACCTGTCAGGACTACTTGTAGTTGGTATAATTTTCGTTAGTCTCGGGAACAGATACCCTGTTGTTGTATGGCTATTTTCAGTCTCCGCGGGTTACTTGTCTGGCCCTTGCTTTGCTGGCGTTCTTGCATGGGTGACAGACATTCTGTCCTTGCATCCGAAAGTAACCTCCCTTTGTTTGTTGTGTTCCGGAGCAGGTATAACGCTTTCACCCTTTCTGGGTGGTCTTCTGTATGATTGGTATGGTGCCCTGAGTTACTTATATTTAATATTTAGCCTCATCGTAGGAATGGGATTAATGTTTTCTTGTATGACAGTCATTTCAAAGGCCCTGCCTCAGGATCACACACCCAATAATTGATTATACAGTAAGTCCCCGTTGTCCCGGAGACCTTTTTTCCGGACGATTACAAAGAACGGCGACATGTATGGAAAGGGACACCATTCTTGATCCCTGAACAGTTATTTCGAAAAATTCAAATTCCAGATTACCAGGTTTTTTAAAAGTCTAGGGGTAAACAGGTCTTACTGTAAACATTTAAGTGAGTTTCTGGCTTATCAGGTCTTACTGTAAACAGTTAAGTGAGTTTCCGGCTTATCAGGTCTTACTGTAAACATTTAAGTGAGTTTCTGGCTTATCAGATCTTACTGTAAACATTTAAGTGAGTTTCTGGCTTATCAGATCTTACTGTAAACATTTAAGTGAGTTTCTGGCTTATCAGGTCTTACTGTAAACAGTTAAGTGAGTTTCTGGCTTATCAGGTCTTACTGTAAACAGTTAAGTGAGTTTCTGGCTTATCAGGTCTTACTGTAAACAGTTAAGTGAGTTTCTGGCTTATCAGGTCTTACTGTAAACTGTTAAGTGAGTTTCTGGCTTATCGGATCTTACTGTAAACATTTAAGTGAGTTTCTGGCTTATCAGATCTTACTGTAAACATTAAAGTGAGTTTCTGGCTTATCAGGTCTTACTGTAACAGTTAAGTGAGTTTCTGGCTTATCAGATCTTACTGTAAACATTTAAGTGAGTTTCTGGATTATCAGGTCTTACTGTAAACAGTTAAGTGAGTTTCTGGCTTATCAGGTCTTACTGTAAACATTTAAGTGAGTTTCTGGCTTATCAGGTCTTACTGTAAACAGTTAAGTGAGTTTCTGGCTTATCAGATCTTACTGTAAACATTTAAGTGAGTTTCTGGCTTATCAGATCTTACTGTAAACAGTTAAGTGAGTTTCTGGCTTATCAGGTCTTACTGTAAACAGTTAAGTGAGTTTCTGGATTAACCGCTGTTTACTGTGCAGTGAGTCTCCGGATAAACAAGTGTTTACTGGAAACAGTTCAGTGACTTTACAGATTACCAGGTATTTATTGTAACCGGTTCTGGGTTGTATACTCCCCAGGGAGTTGAGAATGATAATTGGAATGCAAACGGATCCACTGGTCGGGGAATAAATAAAACCGCATTTGAGTAGATTCTAGTATCTGGATACCTGGGGTATATAAATGTATAATATCATAATAAATAATAATAATAATATGTTTACAGTACACAGTTCAATGAATTTCCGGATTAACAGGTGTTTACTGTAAACATTTCAATGACTTTCCAGATTAGCAAGTGTGTACAGTAAACGGTTCAATGACTTTCCGGATTTGCAACAAACGGTTCAGTTTTAGGCAGCGTAAACATCCACACAAAGCGATATTGCAGGGTCCAGCAAATGTTCCACCAAATTTTTCACAGATTAACCTTAATTCTTAAATTAATTCGTTATATGTGCAGAAGGTTTTTGAGACAAATGGAATTATTACATGTGAATTCTCAAAGGATTATTTATATATTTTAAATATATAAAAAAGAACCAAGTTCAATTCTTTTAAAGGAGAAACTCTCATACTCTCATTCCTTGGCCCACTGAACACTGGCCACAAAATGTAGTGACCAAAGATACACTTACATATATATCTTCAATGGCTCAGGACAATATTGACAAAACACTATGTGAAATGCCTGACCTAAGAGATAACATCTAAATCATAACAATATCATTGATGGATCTCAAGCTGGATGAAGACCCAACTATTCCACGACAGATCATATATTTTCAGTACAGGCCATTATCCAAAAGTATGCATGTAAAAAGAAAGGAAGGTTCTACTGCTTATTTGTAGATTTCTCAAAACCTTTGGATAATGTTGATCACAATATGCTGTTACAGAGTTTGGCTGATATTGGTGTCTGCGGAAAGTTTTTGTCTATTATTACATCAATGTACGATAAACTGTGCGCCTGTGTTAGAACACCTGCTGGGTTGTCGAAATACTTTAAGTGTAATATAGGTACCCGTCAAGGATGCATCCTCAGCCCTCAGATGTTTTTAATATTCATAAATAAACTTGTAAATTTTATGGAAAATTATGGAGCACAAACCGTCTTTATTACTAAAGACTGCCCAGCAATATATGCACTTATGTTTGCTGATGACGTGTCATCTATTGCTGATACACCTTTACATTTACAAAAGAAGATCAATGCCTTGGAACATATTTGCAATACCACAGGCATGAAAGTGAACTTGAAGAAAACTAAAGTTATAATGGTATTCAGAAATTTTTAAATGGCGGACCCCTTAGAAATTATGAAAAATGGAAATTTAATAGTGTATATATTGAAACTGTGTCGTTTTATAGATATTTGGGTATTGTGTTCACGCCCAAACTTGTTTGGACTAAGGCACTAAATACTCTTGCTGCACAGAGTAACAAGGCCATTATGACATTATATAGATATCAAAAGAAAGTTGGTAATATACCCTGTCAAGATTTATTTAAGATATTTGATGCTATGATTGTGCCTATTGTCTGTTACGGTGCAGAAGTATGGGGCATCTCATTTTGTAAAATTATTGAAGACGTACAGAATTAAATGTGTAAATGGTTTCTAAATACAGGTAAAACAACAAACAATGCAATGGTTTTAGGAGAGTGCGGTAGATACCCTCCCCAACTTGTGTATACCACAAGGGCCATCATTGGGCCTGTGTTGGTGCAGGCTACTGCGTTTGGACGAGCACAGACTGCCTCGCCAATGCTATTTAAGGCTCAAATCACTGGACCATTCTGGTCGCACAACATGGGCTACTCACGTTAAGAATATTTTGTTTAAATTAAGTTTTGGATATGTATGGTTGACACAAGATGTTGGCAATGTGAAGATAATTATTCATCTTTTTAAACAAAGATTATTTGATAACCTTCAACAATCATAGTGTAGTTCTATCAATAGTATATCTAATACCTTTTATTATAAACATTTTAAATCCCTGTTAAATGTAGAAAAATATCTTACACTCCGCATACCAGTACATCTGAGAATATGTATGACTCGTTTCAGATATAGCAAGTTTAAACTTGCAGTTGACTTCGGGAGTCATACCCTGAACGATTGTGTAAATATTATATAGAAAATGGTATATCTTTTATTGAAGATGAATTTCATGTTTTGTTTGTATGTGAGCGTTAATCAGCCCTAAGAAATATGTATCCTAAACAGTATATCAAGTTTCAAACTGTAACATCTTTTACTGAAAATATTTCATCAGAAAACTTTGATATTGTATATAACACATGTTTATATCTATATAAAGTCCAATGGCTAAGAGAAACTTAAATCGATTACTTCCTTGGCATGCGTAGTTCATGCAATCAACCTAAGGCCTTTCTACTGAATAAACTTTCTATCTGTCAATATTGCTCCAGAAGAACTTTTTCCATTTTTCATTCTATGCAACGTTTGCACACATTCATTTAATAGAGTTATATTACATTCACAGTGATCTCGTTTATCATGCTTTCGTTTAACTTCTATGTTTGAGAAGGTTTCTGAGAAAGTATCACAATTTTCGTCGTGATGACTAGCATATACATTGTTGTAGTATAATGATGATTCATCAAATATATGAAATACATCTGCACAAAAAGGATTTTATCATTAATCATATATTTCATATTTTTATTTACATAATTTCGATTTTCCAAAATCAAAAAAGATTCTGTAGTCTTTTTACCTACTTAATACCATTTGGCTTTGTTCTAAAAAAATGGTTCTTTAATTTACCTTACACTTATTGTTTCTAACTTAGCCTTTTTCTAATTAAGATCTATTTATTCACCAGTTAGGTTTAAATTTACCAATCTCAAACTTCTTCCTCTGTTTTTAAATCATATCTGTTTGACGTCTTGAAGGGAATGAATGTTATTGCTTCAGTTCCTATTTTCATTTTAAAAGTTTAAAGAAGAATTGATCATTTACTGCAAAGTTCACCTCTATTAAATTGTCAATGTTCCCCGATACGTGGTATTCATCAAATGTACTTCTAATTGTGGATTTCACCAAAGTAATATATTCTAAGTCATGTAACAGTGAAGAATTAAATTTCCAATGCCCCTGTCCTCGCGATCGTTCAAAAGGAGGCCACAATTCAAGGGAGGCCACTTAGTGGTCAGATCTATAACATATGATAACTTCAGTGACCTAACATCTTCAGAGACAAGAAAATAGTCTAATCTACTTTGTTTGACAGGGTTGTTGTGTCTCCAAGTTTATTTTTCCTTGTCTGCAATAAATATTCTCCAAGGGTCAACCAAGTCTAGTTTCTCTTTGATTTCCATTATTTTCTTTTGTGCGAGTGGAGAGAGAGTGGAGGACGATTGACATTTAAAAAAGGTTTAGGGTGCTGATAGTTGTTCAGGCATCGTCCGAATATCAAGGAAGCAGCAGTAATATAGCTATCCAGCTGTGCTCGTGATTGTTTTGGAACACATGGGATGTGAGGTGAGGTGAAATTGGGTTTAGCGTCGCGTCCAAGATTATTGCACTTATATAGCGACGTGCATGCACGTGTGTGTGTGGCTGCTTGTACTAGTCCGGATTGATGCCGATTTATAGTGCCAGCACTCTGAGATACCATTTGTTTCAAAACAAGGTTTAGTCTGGACACCAAACGTCATGAGTTGTATACATTAAAAACACACCTTTGATATATACATATGTATATATATATATATATATATATATATATATATATATATATATATATGTGTGTGTGTGTGTGTGTGTGTGTGTGTGTGTGTGTGTGTGTGTGTGTGTGTGTGTGTGTGTTTGTGTTTGTTTGTTATTCAACCACGGATGATGGTAGCTTCAATGTCATCATTGGGGTAGAACTACCTTCACTACCTTCTGCCCGCCCAGGTGTGTCTATAGATCCTTCCATTAAAATACCAAGCAATGTCGACATGGTTCCTGAGTTTGTTAATCTACATTACATTGTCGTTGCTAATCAATGTGGATGTATCCTTGATCTGTTTCCTAGCTTTTCTGACTTTAGACTTGAGACTTTAGATTGTGCTTCGGTTGATGTAAAATTTATCAATACTGGTTTAGTGATAAATTAACGTGGTTAGTTCTGTGTAGGACATATATGCCTCCTTCCTCACTGTAATATCGACTTTTGATTTCATGAGATAAGTGAATTTCCTGAGTAAATATTCTCCCTCTGTCTCTGGCGTGTTAAACACTTTAAGATGCCACTGAATAATGCTTGATTCTGATTGGTTAAAAGGAAGTTTCCTTTTTGATACGGAAACCCCTTTTAAATATATTAAGCCTTATCACAAAAAATACATATCGATTCATAAAAATGGCCGCACATCGTTCACCCATTGGAATTGTAAAATGTATTAATATTGCCCTCAATATTTCTTCTGTTACACGCTGGGTCTCCAATACAAGCCAGGGTCCCGTTCCACAAAGCCATGTTAGCGCTACGGTGATAGCAACTCCCATACTTAAACACTGGCTTACGCCAGTCCTAGCGCTAAGGTCGCTTTGTGGAACGGTGCACAGGTCTCTTGTGTACGCCGGGTCAGTGGCTTCACAGACGGCAGGGCGTCTAATAGAGGAAATACAGTAGTTTGATATCGGATGTTTTGGGCGACAATATGATGTTCCAGGCATTAGGCCTTACCCTAACTCCTTTGATTATGAGATTACAAGACTTAACTAAGGCATATATTTTGCATACAAATGATAATGTTTATGAAACTGTCAATGACATGTTCAAAGCTAACAGACTCAGGAAAGGCAACTTCCCCATTGAAACAACTGACAATGAATGTAGGATGGAACGCTATATTATCACGGTAGTTAATTTATAATGGATCGTAATGACACACACTTACTAACCTATCAAATATGTCATACGGAAAGTTTTTTGTTCTTTGTTCAACTTCTATGACACATCAAACAGCATTGATCGATGCTGATTTTCTTTACTGAGTACGGTATACAAAGTTCCTGTCATTAGTGACTCAAGGTCGGACAACTCTATATTATCGCAGTATGGCTATTTTGTGGTGTGATACGCATTTTGTGGGGTGATACGTGTGGATTGTGGTTTTCATCACTTCCTGTTTTGGATTATGCATAATCAGTATGCATACGACCTAGGTTGGGTCAAGGGACTTCGTCATAGCGTTGAAGCCAAAGACCCTCCTCCAATATGATCATGCATAACACTCATAGCGTAGACGCCAAAGACCCTCCTCCAATATTATCGTGCATTGCATTCATAACGTAGAAACCAAAGCGTCTCCTCCAATATAATCATGCATATCACTCATAGCGTAGACGCCAAAGCGTCTCCTCTAATATAATCATGCATAACACTCATAGCGTAGACGCCAAATCGTCTTCTCCAATATAATCATGCATAACACTCATAGCGTAGAAGCCAAAGACCCTCCTCCAATATTATCGTGCATAGCACTCATAACGTAGAAACCAAAGCGTCTCCTCCAATATAATCATGCATAACACTCATAGCGTAGACGCCAAAGCGTCTCCTCTAATATAATCATGCATAACACTCATAGCGTAGACGCCAAATCGTCTTCTCCAATATAATCATGCATAACACTCATAGCGTAGAAGCCAAAGACCCTCCTCCAATATTATCGTGCATAGCACTCATAACGTAGAAACCAAAGCGTCTCCTCCAATATAATCATGCATAACACTCATAGCGTAGAAGCCAAAGCGTCTCCTCCAATATAATCATGCATAACACTCATAGCGTAGACGCCAAAGACCCTCCTCCAATATAATCATGCATAACACTCATAGCGTAGAAGCCAAAGACCCTCCTCCAATATAATCATGCATAACACTCATAGCGTAGACGCCAAAGACCCTCCTCCAATATTATCGTGCATAACACTCATAACGTAGAAACCAAAGCGTCTCCTCCAATATAATCATGCATAACACTCATAGCGTAGACGCCAAATCGTCTCCTCCAATATAATCATGCATAACACTCATAGCGTAGACGCCAAAGCGTCCTCTCCAATATAATCATGCATAACACTCATAGCGAAGAAGCCAAAGACCATCCTCCAATATTATCGTGCATAGCACTCATAACGTAGAAGCCAAAGCGTCTCCTCCAATATAATCATGCATAACACTCATAGCGTAGACGCCAAAGCGTCTCCTCCAATATAATCATGCATAACACTCATAGCGTAGAAGCCAAAGACCCTCCTCCAATATAATCATGCATAACACTCATAGCGTAGAAGCCAAAGACTCTCCTCCAATATAATCATGCATAACACTCATAGCGTAGACGCCAAAGCGTCTCCTCCAATATAATCATGCATAACACTCATAGCGTAGAAGCTAAAATGTCTCCTCCAATATAATTAAGTGCAGCAGAGAAAATATCTCCTCCAAAATAATCATGCATAACACAGCAGCAAAACAATATCCAGGGTGGCGTGAAAATAAACGGTTGTGCAGTTGTGTCTTGATCAGCCGTACATGTATTTAGCACGAACTTTTGGATTTGAACAGTGCCATTTTCATCAGTTATATTCGTCTTGCTTTCATTAATCACAGTTAGCATGTATGTCGTTGTCACGTGGAGAAACTAGACAGGCAGTTGGCATTCTGTTTCTAATGTTTGGCATTTTAACGGTAGTTCTATGTGTTGGCCTACAGCCTGTTGCCAAGCGATCTGCAAGTAAACCAGATCGGACTTAAACGTAGATGAATACATTGTTGAGGTCTTCTTCAAGCACCGCCTGACGTTTCACACGCGAATAAGGACAAACAATGGTTAGCATTCATGTTTTGCATGGCAGATTCAAGAATCCACTGGATCGGAATTAATGAATCCATAATTGATCACAGTTTCAATTTATTTATAAAGGATTCAAACTTAATGTATTATTGAGAATGAATTTTCGGTGTGCATTATTCAAACTGTATGAATCAGAAAGTGCCAGAGCCATTTATATGCATTTCAGTATGAACCTGTTGCACAGCAACCGGACACCGAACCGTCACGCGCCGTCACATGGAAACCATATTTATTGTCCTCCACGTTTAACGAGGGATGATTTTGGACTCATATTCCAAGTAATTTACATAAACCAGTATGTATTATTGTAATAAACCTAAACGTGCGGTGTCCCTGATATTGCTACAGAACAAGCGACATACCTGTGGGCTGACAGCAAGGGGATGCAGCAATGCTATTAGGAACAGAAGCTTAGAAAACCAAGCTAAAGACAACAGGTAAGCATAATGATTAAATCATATATTTTCAATTAAAAAGGTTTCGTTAGTAAAAAGTTATATGTAGATGTAGTCGTGAGCATGATTTCGGTTTTCGCTTTGAACAGGATTTCAGTTATAGCAGGTGTTTCAGCTTGATCTGGGTGGAAAGTCAGAAGTAAAATAGGTACTAGACATTGATTACTTTCATGAAGGGGGCACGGGTGGCCCAGTCGTCTAAGGCGCCGCGATTCGCTGTGCAGAGTTGCGTCCTTTAGGCACGCCAGAAACCTATGATTGTGGGTTCGAATCCCGGTTCGCCCCGATTATGTTTCTAGGTTTGTCAGCACCATACCCGTGCTCGTGGGTTTCACCGAAGTGGTAAACGTCTTAGACCTGGATCATTTCGGGCTTTCCTCCCATATTAAGCTGACACGTCGTGATATAACTTGAATAATGTTGAAAGCGGCGTTAACCCAACTCACACACTCACACTACTTTCATGAAAGCTTTGCTGACAGACCAAACATCATTACGTTTTTGACACTATACACTATCATTGAGTGGCGGTGGGGTAGCCTAGTGGGTAAAGCGTCAGCTGAAGACCCGGGTTCGATTCTTCACATGGGTACAATACGTGAAGCCCAATTCTGGTTTTCCCTCACAGAGATATTACTGGAAGGTTTTTTAAAGTGTCGTGTAACCATACACTCTCAAGCGTCAAACACCACGACTTTGTAAGTATTTATGCAAAGTATTTATGTATCTACTGATCCAACACACAAAGCCAGTCCCCCGTCCTCACAGGGGTGGGCTGTGATTTCTGGTCTCCCCTCTGTGATATTGCTGGAATATTGATAAAAGCGGCGTAAAACATACTCACTCATCCATTATTGGTGAATCTTAACCCAGTTGAATGACGAAAGGCAATGTACGGGTTAGAATTGATCTTCAGCAACCTTGCTTGTCGTAAGATGTGACTAACGGGATCGGGTGGTCAGGCACGCTGACTTGATTGATGCATGTCACTGTATCCAAAATTGTATGGATCAATGCTCATGTCACTGGTCTGGTCCAGCCTCGATTATTTAGACCGCCGTCATGTAGCTGGAGTATAGCTGAGTGCGGCGTTAAACAACAAACAAACAAACTTAATTTTTGGCTGTTTCTTAAAGGCACCTCTTAGTTTGGCAACAAAACAGTACCAGAGATCACTTTCTCTGTGATTTAATATTACTGAATACATATCGCTAATTTTGTTTCCTCTGATGAACCCGGGAAGAGAATTTATACAGACCCAATATGTATCCTGACATTTAGTCAGAGGGGCGGTCAGGTAGCCTAATGATTCAAGCGTTCGCTCGTCACGCCGAAGACCCGGGTTCGATTCCCGACATGGGTACAATGTCTGAAGCTGGAATATTGTCTAAAGCGGCGTAAAACCATACTCACTCACTTTAGTCAGGGTGGGTTGGTGAAGGCAAATTAATGCATTGCAATTGTCATATTCAACATAAAAAAGTGTTCGTGGACGAATATTGAATGAACATTTATTATGGCATAACATATGAGTTATAGTGTGTCTGTGTTTGTGTGTGTGTGTGCGCGCGCATTTTATATTGGAAGTCATTCTTTCTTTCACGGGGTTATTTCATCATAATATACACGACCAGTATACGGGTACATAACGATATACACTTCATTTTCATTGACAGGTTCATGATGTTAGCGATCTCCCGACGGTCCAAGCTGATCCAGACTTTCTGGTTATTCTGGTCCTTCAATCACAGGGTAAGTCACTCATGTGCCACGCAAAAAAGAATTTGTTATAATTTGTATTCGCTATCACCATTTGCACGAAAGCCTAGTGGTGAAACTTCGGTAGCATAGTGGGGGGTTTTTAATCGCTATTTCACTAATTTGTTACTTTTTTCGAAATTTCGACTTTTTTCTCGTTACTTCGATTGTTTTCTTCTTATTTGAAGTCTATTTAAAAAACGCGAAGTTTCGAGTATTTGCTCGTTATTTCTATTATTTTCTCGATATGTCATGTTTATTTAAAAAACTCGACATTTCGATGTTTTTCTCGTTAGTTTGAATTTTCTCTCGATATTTCAAGTTTATTTTAATTTTTTCAAAGTTTTGAAATTGCGAAAATATAATTGAAGTCACGAGAAAAAAATCGAAATTTCGAAAAATAACAAATAATTAAAAAAAACGAGAATGTTTGTTTTTTTATAAAAAAGGGGCACCATTAGACACTCGTACATTTTAGATGTAAATGTATACCACATAAATTCTATTTGTACCTTACATTTGATAAGTTTTCTATTTTGGCGACTTCATCTGTTCAAAACGTAGCTATCTTTACTCTAAAGCAATAAGTAGCGACTTGTGTAAATTACACTTATATTTTAAATTGTGCTTAAGATTCACTCACCCAATATACTCTGGGAACATGAGGCCTAGGGAAATCATTTGAAAGCATATATAGAGGTATCTACAAGTGTACCGAATGACCAAATGACTATATCAGGGCATCAACAAGTGCACTGAATGACCGAATGACTATATCGGGACATCAACAAGTGCACTGAATGACCGAATGACTATTTCAGGGCATTCACATGTGTACTGGATGACCAAATGACTATATCAGGACATCAACAAGTGCACTGAATGACCAAATGACTATATCGGGACATCAACAAGTGCACTGAATGACCAAATGACTATTTCAGGACATCAACAAGTGCACTGAATGACCAAATGACTATATCGGGACATCAACAAGTGCACTGAAGAAACAAATGACTATTTCAGGACATCAACAAGCGCACTGAATGACCAAATTACTATATCAGGACATCAACAAGTGCACTGAATGACCAAATGACTATATCAGGACATCAACAAGTGCACTGAATGACCAAATGACTATTTCAGGACACGAACAAGTGCACTGAATGACCAAATGACTATTTCAGGGCATCCACAACTGTATCCTAGGCCCAACTCTCCTGGACCTGCAGCTTCTCCTCCAGAAGGACCTGAATGCCCTGTCTTACCTGTTCTTTGCCAGTGGTCTGGGGTCTATGTTAGGGTCTCTGGCTGCAGGATTCCTGGCTTCCAGATTTGATAATCGTCTCCAGTTGTTCCTCAGCCTGATGGTCGGATCTGTGTCCATAGCAGCCATTCCGCAGGTTCAGCACATTTACTATATGTACTTCATGGTCTTCGTGTTCGGCCTCACCCGCGGGCTGGTGGTCTGCTGTGAGTATTTGTAATGGAGTGAGTTAGTTAAAATGTAACGTCATGTCGGCCATATCATGAGGAGAACAGTTTATACGTGAACACTAATTATATTCAGACTACAGTAAACTACGGTTATAACGAACTCAAAGGGACTACTAATTTTAATTCGTTATAACCGTAATTCGTTATAAGCATATATACAGCATAACTACAGCATATAGTCGGGACTAAAAAGTTAGTTCGTTATATCCGTTAGTTCGTTATAAGCGTGTTCGTTATAACCGTAGTTTACTGTATATACAAACCGTCATCAATGGACAGTAAAACAACTCGAGTATCTCAGATTCACACTTAAACTAGCAAATAACCATAAAAAGATATCACTATACATAACAATGCAACATAAAAACGGGCTGTAGATCATGAGCAACGAAATTTAGGCCATCACACTAGCGAATGTTTGTAATTGAATAGTCTTTAACACTGTATGCATCCTTGGATCGATGTTCACGGAAATAAAAATAACAACAAAGAGGATGGAATTCTATTTCACATTTGCCAGCATTCTGACATGGATAAATATACCACTATTTAGTTATAAGTTTCAAACTATCTGTGTCTCCGACACGTCAGGTTTCAAATGACCGATTGTCCTTACTTCTGTAATATGAAAACGAAATTTACTCTACGACATTTCTCAAGTACACACACATTGGTTATAATGCCCCGCACGATTGGTGCGGTAAATGATTTTCTTACACAGATATGACCCTTAATTCATGTTATTTTACTACTTGCATAGAGTCTGCAATGAGGACAAGTTTTCTCAGAAGTTGTCTACGTGAATGAATCTTTGCAAGCTTAACTTAGAGGCACTTTTCAACACTGAGTTAAAAAAAATGGTCCCATAAATGATTATTGTCCAGAATAACGCCCCTCCTTACATGTTTTTTTCCGTTTTTGTGCACCCTGTCGTCAACGGGGATACGTTTCCCGGGGAACTAAATGAAAGTTTCCATGCTTATAAGAGAAACTTGTTTTACAGTTAACATTAATGTCAATGTTATTCACAACTATGAACAAACAAAAATATGTCCCCCATGGCGGGGGATAGTGATAACGCTGTTTTCTTGTTATTACTTATTTCTCTCAGCGAGTTCAATAACCTAAAGTTAACATCATTGTGACAGCCAGATGACAAAAAGACACTTTTAATTTAATTCCATTTAATTTAAGGCCCACAGATCAGTAAACTAAATCAGAAAATTGTCGTCCACCAGAATAGATGATAAGAAGAGAAGATGACTGCCCTTTTGTTTTGGTATTTGCCATCATTGTCCAACTGTGAATCAAAGCAATATTAGACGTCTATACACCCATTTTCTATTCCAGTTGTGATGCAGATATGCGGTGAACTGTGGGACAAGAAAGGACCACCCTTCCATTTCGTGGCTTGCGGAACATCAGCAGGGGCCATTTTGGCTCCATTAATCGCCAAGCCCTTCCTTTGCCCATACCAGACAGTTCCAACCAATTCCTTCAACGAGACCACATCGATGTCCCTACCCAACTCAACCAGCCTGGTGAACGTGTTGGACTCCATCATCACCGAGCAGGGAGTAGGTATGAACACTGTATGCACGGCCGAAGACACCCGAGTACAATGGGCCTTCTTGGTTCTCGGCTGTTACATGCTCCCTGCTGCTCTGTCGCAGTTGTACTACTGGTTGTTATACCGAGCTGTGAGACTTCAACATGGAACCAAGACGCCAGAGTATGTAGAGCTGAATCATGAAGAAGAGACGAAGTTCGAGTTCAAATTAATCCATCTTGTCTTCTTCCTTGCCCTGTCTCTGATGTACATTCTTCTCAGTTCATTGCCAGCAACCTACTCCGCCATCTTGACAGTGTACGGCGTTCAAGGGCCACTGCGCATGTCCAAGGATGACATGGTAACAATGACGTCACTGTTCTGGGTGGGATCACTGATCTGTAGGCTCTCAAGCGGGTTCTACACACGGCGGTTCACCAACTTTCAAGTTATAGCAGCTCACTTAGCAGGCTTGGCTGTTGTTGGGATCATCTTCGTCAGTCTAGCTAGCAGGTTTCCGATCGCGCTGTGGATATTAACACCAATAGTCGGATATTTCTCTGCACCCTACCTTGCTGGTGTTCTTGCGTGGGTGACAGACTTTCTACAGCTGCACCCGAAAATAACCTCCCTTTGTTTTCTGGCTTCCGGTGCGGGTAACATGCTTTTCCCCTTCTTTGGGGGTATCCTGTTCAATGAATACGGCTCCTACAGCTACCTGTATCTAATCTTCAGCATCATGATAACGATGGGATTAACATATGCTTGCTTGGTCTCCCTTTCTAAGGCCCTTCCCCTGTCTCGAGACAAATCTTACGACCATGACTAGAACATGACTGATAAATTTAAGCCTTACGTTTTCGACCAAGTTTATGTTTCGGATGAGTGACTGAGTAAATGAGTATGGTTTAAGGCCGCTTTTAGCAATATTCCAGCAATAGCACGGCGGGGGGCACCAGAAATGGGCTTCACACATCGACCCATGTCGGGAATCGCACCCGGGTCTTCGGCTTGATGAGGGTGTTTCGGATGAGAATTACACAGCGAGGTGTGGCGTCTTGGGCCGTTGTCAGTCTGTGCCCCCGTGATATGGGGACATGGGAAATACATGTATGATATAAGGAGCAGCCTGCTGCATACGTCCATGTTGATTTGTATAACACACATGCCAGATTATAACGTACCGTATTCGACGTAATAAGCGCCCCGCTCCAATAAGCGCCCAGGGCGATATTTGTTAATATATTGGCAAGTGAACAATCCCAATTAGCACCCCTTCCAACTGATCAGTGTACACAAGACTTATTTATTCGCGTATGATACACACTTGTGTGTTATATGCACCATTAATAATGGCCAATTTAATTCTGGAAAAATATATCTGTCGTACATAAACATTATCTTTCAACTCTGTTTTTTTCACCAAAATAATATTCTAATAAGAGCCCCCTATTCCTAATTTTGTGAGCGCCCTGGGCGCTTATTACGTCGAATACGGTATTTGTAATTGCAAGTTGTATCTTAATTGTACATACAGTGTGTTATCAGTGTATTTCGGTTCTGCATGGAAGTGGATTTGTAGGAGGTACGCGACACTGATGTAAGTAAAGGTCAGGATTGCACGCTTCTACCGACATTAGTTTTGTTTTTTTAGTACACTGAGTATATGAATGAACCAATCGATTTTATGTTGCAGAACATGCACGAACCAATCGATTTTAGTGAATGTGCATGAACCAATCGATTTCGATGTAACAGTATATGCATGCAAAATATATAATTATAATGTTGAAACATGTACGTACAGGATTCTGACAGATGGCCGCATGCATCTTCCCGAGTTTTCTGACTATAACAGTCCAGTTTCCACCCTTGCCGGCTGGTATTATGGAGTTGGCTGGACGAACGAGTCTATGCATAGTCCAATCAAAGTCGCGCAACGAAATCGAAATCCGTTTCGTAAACGGTCATGCAGAGTTCGGTCGATTGCAGGATTTGCAAGGCATGTGCACCGCCAACTCGTTGTCAACAGATATATTCCAAATCTTTTCAGGTTTTTAATCAAGGTGCTCACGTGATTTGATGCACTTCGCAAAGTAAGAACGGATTTTTCACAATAAAGATCTTGACTGTCGATCAGTCAGTTTTAAAGTCAGTTAACTCTCTTGCCTCGGGAAGATGGGCCGCAAGATGTATTAAGACAAACAATATCTGTACTTGACAACACTTCGCGAACTAATACCACTGATTACAAAGCTTGATATTGGCGGATGTCAAATAGCGATACAAAGATCGTACCATCGTGTTAAGCGATATGTCTAATGTCAGGTTCGACTGAAGAAAAATATATATCAATGAAATAGACCTTCATGGGTTATTTATTTTATCAATGGACCTGGCTCGGTGATCATGATTATCCACGTGGCAAGGGACAATGCTCATAATATCAATCATTATTTTGTCTGATCGAGACTCGATTATTTACAGGCCGCCATGTTGTAGCTGAATATTGTTGACTGTGGAGGTAAACGATAAAAAACCCATAAGGTATGAGAAAGTATCTGTGTATTTTAAGCCTGTTGCTTTAAAGGGTATTCAATATGTGTTTGGAACAAGATATAATGGTCCAGGTTATTTGTAGTCCCCATACTTGTTTTTTGTTTGTTTATGTTTAACGCCGCACTCGGCAATATTCCAGCTATATGACGGCGGTCTGTAAATAATCGAGTCTGGACCAGACTATGCAGTGATTGACATCATGAACATCGATCCACGAAATTGTGATAGGATAACATGCATTAATCAAGTCAGCGACCCTGACCACCCGATCCCGTTAGTCGCCTCCTACGACAAGCATAGTCGCCTTTTACGGCAAGCATGGACTGTTGAAGACCTATAACTATCTTCACGGGTCCTCCATACTGGTGGGGGGCGGCCGGGTAGCCTAGTGGTTAAAGCGTTCGCTCGTCACGCCGAAGACCCGGGTTCGATTCCCGACATGGGTACAATGTGTGAAGCCCATTTCTGGTGTCCCCCGCCGTGATATTGCTGGAATATTGCTAAAAGCGGCGTAAAACCATATCCACTCACTCACTCCATACTGGTGGGCACGTCTAGACCAGTCTGCTGAACAGCGTTGCGCCCCTTCGACGTGTCAGGAACGTATGACAGTGGATTCGAATCCCAGTATTTCCCTGATTATGTTTGTAGTCTTGTCAACCCAATACCCGTGCTCGTGCAAAGGGGTGAACGTCTAAGACCCGCATCACTTCGGACTTTGCTCCAACATGAAGCTGACACGCAATCTTCATGATGAATACGAGCACCATTATCTAGAACTCACAGGGTCCCAAATCTGTATAAAACATCAAGGAAATAGGAACATGTATTGTTGTTCAATATATACTTGAAAGGCTTTGAATGGATATAACCTCTGATCAATGCTATCTGTGATACATAAACATTATTCAAGCGTTTTTTGTATGACTGTGTATTCAGGGTTGACACAATTGTATGGATAACAACTTCTTTAATGGACTGTGTATTGCATGCATATTATTAGTTATGGTGTCTTAAGATGCCCTATACGGTGTCACATTAGGTTAGCAGAAACATATTGGGAGACGCACATAATTTATTTTGCCGAAAAGTTTCCACTATCTGGTATCCATATCGTACATGCCATGTCAAAACTTGACACTCACAACCGTTAACGATATGTTTCAAAGGGAGACTACTCTTCAAACCTGAGAGGTCAACCCTTATTGATAATTTTAACTTTATATAATCTTTATTAAAGTCACGAACGTGATCTAGAAAAACCCATTAACCTCCTTGCACATCAATATTGAAACACAAAACAGTGTCGAATAACGAATTTCTGTACCAGAATTTTCACGTGTAACATATGAGGCTGGTGTTGCGAAATCCAAAATGGCTGTTACTGACGGTATTCGGTCTCATATTAGGTCAGTAAGAACGATCTTGGATTTTTACTGATGGTATACGGGCTCATGTGGGGTCAGTAGTTCTGCTCTCTGATTGGTCAAACTCACTTTAAGGCATAATAAAAACATATATGAATGAAATGTTAATGTTTTCTTCCGGGTTCCGAATAATAAAATCTCAAATCTAATTAAAGACTTCATTTCATTTCCGACGCAGTTTGTTTTTGTTTGTTTGTTTGTTGTTTAACCTCGCACTTAGAAATATTCCAGGTATATGACGGCGGTCTGTAAATAATCGAGTCTGGACTAGACAATCCAGTAATTGATATCATGAGCATCGATCCACACAATTGGGATCGATGACATGCATCAATCAAGGCAGCGAGCCTGACCACCCGATTCCGTTGGTCGCCTCTTACGACAAGCATAGTCGCCTTTCACGGCAAGCATGGGATGCTGAAGACCTATTCTACCCCGGATCTTCACGGGTCCGCAGTGTTTGTAAACGCATGGGCATGGCATTTTCAGAATCGAACTATGGAATCTACTGTTGGAAGAGATACCTCATGATTATGGAAAGGTGAGGTGAGGTGAAATTGGGTTTAACGTCGCGTCCAAGATTATTGCACTTATATAGCGACGTGCATGTACGTGTGTGTGTGTGTGGCTGCTTGTAGTCCGGACTGATGCCGATTTATAGTGCTAGCTCACTGAGATACCATGCCGCAATTTAACATGAATACCCCACTCAGACACAGTATACTGACTCCGAGCCGACCAGTCCTTGTTTTAGCCCCTTAATGCCGAGAGCCAGACAGGGTAACAACAAGTACAATCTTTTAACGTCTTTTTGTATGACGCGGCCCGGGATCGAACCCCGGACCTTCCGCTCTCCGGGCGGACGCTCTACCACAAGACCACGGAGGCGGTCTGATTATGGAAAGGGTTTGGTGGCTTTTATGTATTGTCTACCTCGTCGACCGGAACCATTCTTCAGATATTGACCCACCTTTCGGTCTGAACAAACATGCATGTCAATACTATGTATGTGCATTTTTAACATTAAGATAAATCAGATGCAACACAGATGTTGAGATCTGATTGGTTCACGTGATCATGACAAAATACCACGTGTCAAGCCTGGGAGGGAAATACATTTCTGAACGGAACAATGAATCAGATTCTTCCGCCAAGAAGAAAACAGGCTCCAAGCAGAATTCTGACCGGAACAATAAATCTCTTGCACATGCTACGACGAAGCAAAAGGCTGCACGTTGTTTGTGAGTCAGTGAAAGTCACTTGACACAGCACAAGTAAACCTCAGTCCAAACAGGTACCAAAAAACACCTCACCCGAACGCGCCACCTTTGACGGCGCTCATGCGGTGACAAAAAAATGGTGAAACAGGTTTCCCGCCTATGGCATAAACTGCACGTGCATGTTCGCTGTATAAATGCGTTCGTCTGCAGGGTATAACCACACGTGATGAAAGCACACAAACGAAGTGTCACGACTGTCACAGGAGCAGAGAGAGAGAGAGAGAGAGAGACATCGGTATGGCCGAAATGGGGGCAACACAGGTCCAAATTGCCGGAAGGTTTGGTTGTACACCATTGACAGTAGCCAGGCTGATTCAACGGAACAGGCAGACAGGGAGGACACAGGACAGGCCTAGAACCGGACGACCCCGAGTGACAACACCACTAGAAGACGGTCAGATACGGCTCATTAACCTGCGATTCGTAACCGCGACGGCGACGGCAGTAACAGCGTTGGGACATCCCACTAGCCAACGTACAGTACTACGACGACTTCGTGCTGCTGTAATCCGAGCGTATCGTCCTTTCCGAGGAATGTTACTGACTGCTCAACATCGACGCCTGAGACTGCGATGGGCGAGGCAGGTTCGACGCTGGCAAGTGAGATATTGGCGACGAGTGCTGCTTACTGATGAAAGTCGGTTTAACTTGTTTCGAAACGACGGCAGAGAACGAGTTTATCGACGCGGAGGGGGACGTTTGGCTCCGGCGTGTATTCGAGAGGTTCATCCAATCGCCGGGGGAGGTGTCATGGTGTGTGGCGGTATTTGTGGAGATCAGAAGACTGATTTGGTGATTATACAGGGAAACCTGAACGCTGTGCAGTACAGAGACCAAGTGTTGCAGCCAGTTGTGCTTCCGTTCTTACAAAACCAACAGCAGGGGACATTGTTTCAACACTACAATGCCAGGCTCCATACTGCAACGTTGACGTTTTGCCCTGGCCTTCCCACTCACCCGATATGAATCCTATTGAACATCTGTGGGACAATCTTGACAGACAGATTAGAACACGCCATCAGCCTCCCGTCAACAGACAAGAATTGCGGCAGGCCCTGAGAGACGAGTGGCAACAGATTCCAGTCCACGTCATCAGAAGACTGACGTCATCGATGAGACGGCGTATCACAGCATGCATTGAGGCAGCTGGAGGTCATACACGCTATTGAAGGCAACTGTGTCGACAATGAACTTGTAGTGTGTCTGACAATTTCTTAGTGACATTACAGACAACTTTTGAAAATGAAATTTCTTACCCCACCATTGTTTACCTTGAGCTTACATTACCTGTGATTGCACAATTTCATTCAAACTGTGGTTGATCAACCATTTGGTACCCCTCCCTAGTTAATTTAAAATTATAATTCACAACAAAACATCTTCTTGTTATTTTTTTATCGATCATGGAACTTGACCTATACTATCTTTTGCCGCCCAGTTTATATATATATATATATATATATATATATATATATATATATATATATATATATATATATATATATATACATACAAAACATATTTATTAAGTTCTTTACGGTGTTGCCGTTAACGTGAATCATGTTGGATGTTTTACTCAACTGCTTTACGTGTGTTTTGACACTGGTGAACATGGCGCCTTAGCTAACCAACAAAAATACGATCTGACGTTAATAATGACCGAGTAATGATGACGATAATCTTCTTTATATCCGGAGGTGTATGTCTACTCGCTGCACCACAGGGTCCCTGAGCGACCCCTCCGGGAGTGTGGGGACTGAGGCAAGGCTCATCAATCAAGGGACTATATATGTAACAAAGAGTATTGTTTCATGTTATTTCCCTGATAACTGTCGACTGTTACTTATTTGTTGATTCATCACAGGGGAATCACAAAACTTGCAACGTTGTTGACGTAATATTTTTAAATTGTATTTCTTGCTTGACGGATGGTACGTGTGAGGTGAGTTGAAATTGGGTTTAACGTCGCGTCTATGATAATTGCACTTATATAGCGACGTGCATGCACTGTGCGTGTGGCTGCTTGTTCTCGTCCGGACTGATGCCGATTTATAGTGCTAGCACACTGAGATACCTTGCCACAGTTTAACATGAATACCCCACTCAGACACAGTATACTGGTTCCGAGCCGACCAGTCGTTGTTTTAGCCCTTAAATTACGAGCGCCAGGCAGCGTAACAAGAAGGACCATGTTTCGACGTCTTTTGGTATGACGCTGCCGGGGATCGAACCCCGGACCTTTCGCTATCTTGGCGGACGCTCTACCACTAGGCCACGGAGGCGGTCGGGGTGGGACATGTAAACACATTTTCTGGAGACAATAGGCTCCTCTATATACCTCTACCTGGAGTCTATCTATATATAAATGAAATAAAATTTCTCCAGCACAGTAGCTTGTGAGTGAGTGAGTTAAAATTTAAAGTCATATCGGCAATAGTTCAGCTATATCGTGACAATTGAGGGTTAAACATTATAAATACATTTAGACTTTATAAAAACCTGCCAATGAAGGACAGCAAAATAATTAGACATATCACAGAATCAGATCTATAACTAGTAGGTAGTAATAAAAAGGATAGCACGAAACATAACAATACATGATATAAACGCGCTACAGATCCCCAGCAACTGAAGGTAGATCACCACACTAGGGAATTAAGTGAGCGAGTGAGTTGGATTTAACGCCGCTTTTAACAGTATTCCAGTTATATCACGGCAAGTCAACTTCATGTGGGAGGAAAGCCCGAAGTGGTGCAGGTCTAAGACGTGTACCACTTCGGTGAAACCCACGAGCACGGGTATGGTGCTGACAAACCTAGAAACATAATCGGGGTGAACCGGGATTCGAACCCACAATAATAGGTTTCTGGTGTGCCCAAGGGACGCAACTCTGCACAGCGAATCGCGGCGCCTTAGATGACTTGGCCACCCGTGCCCCCTAGCTTAATAAGAATCATTCACTCTTTTATCGCAACAAAACCAACACGAATACATTTTGATAACATCAAGGAGACGTCAGCATAAGTAATGTTCAATTGGACACAGGTATTCATTGAAAATTAATGGTGGCAAAAGAAGAGAAAAGACAGATTTGGTGGGTTGGTTTGTTGTTTTACGCCGCACTCAGCAATATTCCAGCTCTATGACGGCGGTCTGTGAATTATCGAGTCTGGACTAGACAATCCAGTGATTGACAACATGAGCATCGATCCACGCAATTGGGATGCATCAACCACATGAGCGAGCATGAGTGTTCAGTGAAGAGTGAGTGAGTAAGTGAAGGGTTTTGGTTTGACGGCCCTTGAACAGCATTCAGTGTCAGACAAATCGGCTACTCTGGCCCTGACATGCGAATATTACTTTGACAAAAATTATAAGTAAACTATCTGTCGTTTAAATGCAAATAGACCACTGAGGATTAGATCTGGAGCATCTGTTTATATTCTGGGATGCAGGGGTAGCGTAATCGTCAGGTTCGATTCTCAAAATTCAAAATGTGTGAAACACACCTTTGGTGTTCCTGAAATAGCTGGAAGAATACATTAAACAACATTATATATAATACGTAATTACTAATCATAGAACATGATGATTGTTGATGTTCTACTACACGTAGGATAATTGTGTTTATGTAACTTGTTTGCTTTTAACTGAAATTATAACTGGAAAAAAATTAAAGACTATCATTTAGTATAAAAACTACAGTAAACTTCGATGATAACGAACACGCGTATAACAAACTGACCGATATAACGAACTTATTTTTTAGTCCCGGCCATTTGTTGTATATATGCTGTTTATATGCTTATAACGAACTACGGTTATAACGAACCAAAATTAGTGGTCCCTTTGAGTTCGTTATAACCGTAGTTTACTGTACTTCAGTAATTTCGTATAAATGTCCGTCTGGAAATCAAGCCGTCAAATAAAACATCGTGTTCTCTTTTGTCATGGGAGTTGAGAAGGAGGCGGGGCTTGAGCGCTAATACCAAATGGCCTCAAATAATGACTTGCCCACGATATTGCCCGACATGTGTTAAGTGAACGTGGTTTCAGCCAAGGTGTGCTGAGGCAGTGATGAAAGAGCGTCTTGCTTAATTGTATAAATAGGCGTTTGACGATAAGGTACGTAAGCCATGATACTCGGTCGCCATGGTAACCAATTGATGTAAATGCCTGGGGGTATCTCACAAAAAAGCTCCATAGACTGTACCTGGACTAGGTGTCATCCAGGTGAACTAGGGCCGGCTACCGCGAAGTCACTTCAACCATTCTGTGGATCAGTGCGTGAGACAACAGTACGGAATGACATCAGGGACAGATTCCGGAAAGCAAGTCCTCACCGACGGCGATGACGTTAGGTCGAAGCCGGGTACAAAGAAGGTACTGTTGTTTGCTGCTGGGATCCTTGCTGCTGCATCCGTAGCTGCTGTAGTCGTGCTGACGGCGTCCATACTGCACACGAAGAACGTCTGGGAGGTAGGTGAAGTGTATGAGCAGGGGTAGAAAGGAAAGAAAGGGTGAGGTTGATGACATGGTATTACGCAGGTGTGAATTGAAAACAAACTATGTCAATGTCACCACAGACAGAAAAAACAAACTGCCAATTGGTAGAATGTGCTCGTTTTCCCCACGAAAGGGAAAAGAAAAGAAAAGAGTATGTATGTGTGAGAGAGAGAAAGAGAGAGAGGGAGCATTTTAGAATGTATTTACCCAAATAACTTCATCCAAATAGATTATATATCTTAATTTAGATATTCTGAAGTGAGAAAAAATGACGTCATAGTTAATTGGCTTTAATTAAGTATATTTAAAGATATGCCGAAGAAGAAACAAATGCATATTTTCAAAAATATATTTTCACAATTAAGGCTACACATCGTTCCGATATAATGGTTCTGAACTATGGAATCCACTGCCGCTCGAACAACACTACTGTAGACTGGGCTAAAGCCACATTTGTTCAAAAGTCTATGCTTCTACATGTTGATAAACTTACATGCATCAATTCCATCTTCTATGGACCGTATCAACATTGTAGGTAGCTATTTTTCTCATGTTATCAATGTAGCAGTATGAGCATTCACTGAGTATATGGCATTTGACACCAAGGAAATGTGCTTGTTAATTATTATTAAATAACAGTCAGCATTGAGAATCGGTAAAATACACACGTTCATATATAGGATAGTTACACACGACCATTCTACCCTAATAAACACATGTATTTACACGACTTAAATCAAACTTGCCATTTGCCAAGCCTAGTTTTCGTAGGCGCCGTTTTAAATAGTATTTGTGTTGACCGATGCTGTGTTAAAATAATATGTGAATGAGTACTTGAATTGTTTGATTGGCATTACTTAGAAGTTGACGGATGACAAAGAAGGCACAATTTATGGATAGTAACTTCTTTAATACTGTAAAGGCGACGTTTGGGTATAAATCCTTTTACCGTTGTCAAGCAGGAAACGTCTCTCTAAAAGTGAAATACTGTTTCCAAGAGTCAGAGAATGATCTGTCTCCATTATCTACAGAAACAGATTTCATTGGACATAAAAGGCAAAAGAGTGTTGAAAATTATATGAATGGATCAAAAAGGCAAAAGAGTGATGAAAATTATATGAATGGATCAAAAAGGCAAAAGAGTGATGAAAATTATATGAATGGATCAAAAAGGCAAAATAGTGATGAAAATTATATTAATTGATCAAAAAGGCAAAAGAGTGATGAAAATTATATGAATGGATCAAAAAGGCAAAAGAGTGATGAACATTATATGAATGGATCAAAAAGGCAAAAGAGTGATGAACATTATATGAATGGATCAAAAAGGCAAAAGAGTGATGAAAATTATATGAATGGATCAAAAAGGCAAAAGAGTGATGAACATTATATGAATGGATCAAAAAGGCAAAAGAGTGATGAAAATTATATGAATGGATCACTGAAAATCAGTGATGACACCCAGTGTTCCCTCTGCCGGTGGGAATGCTCTTTATTTCCCCTAATTATTTTGAGAGTAGTACATACTAAAACATGACATTACTTGTCAATGACAAGGACAAGAGAGAACATAAAAATAGATACAACAGATTGAACATGATATGTCAGATCATAAGCCACAGAAAGATTAATGGTGTTTATGAAATCAGGTATTTCTATAAATACCTTGTTTTCTTACTGGATGAAGACGTGATTTGATGAGGTTCTTTGTGTAACGCCCGCAGCGACTGATGAACGGTGTGGACAGGGATTTTTGACGCGGATGTTGACTGATGCAGCGCGTGATGATCTGATTTATTTTGATTGTCATGACTATGTCATTAAGGATACTAATAGGTAGTGATTGCTTAGTTTAACGGATTTATTATTGTGGCGAGTGGCGCCTGGGTGTATTGTAAGTGTGACATGTGACTGGGTTCTGTCTACCCTCAAGAGCAGGGACTGGACGATTTCGTAGGCTTGACTAGGTTTCTGTCCAGATAGACATACGCTCCGATGTGTCGGAGGGTGCGATTGGACGACACTAAACATAGCATGCACTGGCCCTCTGTATCTTATGAAAACAAATGGAGGAGTAAAGTTGAGTAAAATGAAGTAAAGTTGCTCTCCAAATTAACATCAGCACAGCAGTTTGTTATTATTTTTATCGTCCAAACAACCTTTTGTGGTGTAGACATAACTTTATTTGTAATAGTTTTCTGAAAAGTCTATGTGACTTGATGGAAATTGAATATGGCTTTCTGGGTAATTGGAAAGAAAGAACATACATCGCTATTATTTTAAACAATTACGTATAACATGTCACATTTGGTGTTGTACTTCTCGACTTTTTGCCACTTGTTTAACTTTACTTGTATTTAAACTTTGTAATTTATGCCATTTGTTTGCGGAAGTTAACCGCAATAATGAGATGGGGGACATTTATTTATGAGAAAGCTGACGGGTAACTGAATATATATCACATGCATTTGTATCTTTTTAAACAATTGTTTATAAAATACATGTATTTGGTCCACCGGTTCTGAAATATCTCGATAAGTTGTTAGTTGGTCAGTTATACTTCCATTTAAACCCTAAAATGCATGACATTTATTTGAAAGTTCCCCGCCATCATGGTAAGAAGAGACAGCTGAATGCGGCTTGGCCTAATTTGGGCCTTAACAGTCTACTGCGCTCATATACTGTGGAAAGATATCATTTATCAAATTTAGTATGTATGGGGGGAATTCGCATTGCAGTCAAAAACATGGTTTAGGATGTAAAACAGGAAACGAAATTGATCAAATTGCTGAAACCTATTAGTGTTGATTAAATAGTTTGCGAAAGTTATTTTCTTGTACATGTAAAGAGTTTGCCACCGAAAAGCTTTCTTGTTTACATTTGGGTTTAAGTGAGTGAGTGAGTGAGTTGGGCTTTGGAGTTATGTTTAACGCCGCTTTTAACAGTATTCCAGTTATATCACGGCATGTCAGCTTCATGTGGGAGGAAAGCCCAAAGTGATGCAGGTCTCAGACGTTTACATTTCGGCGAAACCCACGAGCACAGGTATGGTGCTGACAAACCTAGAAACATAATCGGGGCGAACCGGGATTCGAACCCACAATCATAGGTTTCTGGCGTGCCCAAGGGACGCAACTCTGCACAGCGAATCGCGGCGCCTGGGCCACCCATGCCCCCCATTTGGGTTTAAAGGAAGCCAAGTAATGCACAACTATAAACGGATGTGGTACAGATGTCATTACAACTTCTTGCCGCCGGTTGTTGGTTGTTGGCTTTGTTGGTTGCGCCAGCCAGGATAAGGACCAGTTTAGTGTGTCACCAACCAAGCGATGCATGAGGGCACTGACAGGTTTTACATGACCAGCATGAACGACTCAATGACCTTAACGTAAGCGTAGATCGAATTGTATCGTCATAAATTCACCTGGCAAAAAGGTTCTATTAACATTTTGAGACGATGGACAATGCTAGCTGTAAAAACGGGTTCAATCAAATTCCAGTCATATAAATGCGCCAATGGGCGTCACACATTGGTCCCATTTGAGGAATCGAGCATAGATCTGCGGAGTGACGATCTAACGCTTTAACCTCCCACACAGAAGCCACCTTGGTCTCAGCTGTTGCGAGGCAAATTAATTACACCAAAGTGAGTATACTGCGTCACAACGTCATAATTCGTTTGGAATTTGTTTATATTAAACCATAAGTAACACTTACGAGTCTTTGGCCCAGGCCCTAACCTAGTTAACTTATATACCTACAGTACATACTAATTGATTTAATTATTAATATATTTTATTGATATCTTTTCTTTCATGCACATGTTGATAAAATAGTAGGTTAAGACTACAAACAATTTTTCTCAAAATGTTTGAAAAAAGTTCTTCTTGCAGTATAGAGATAACGATTTACGTTACCCAGTTCCTGAAAAACTTGAAAAAGGGTTCAGTAATTTGAACCTTGATTTGGCTTTGTAAAAGAATGCCACAACTTTTAAATTTGTTAATTTGTAGGGGGCACGGGTAGCCAAGTCGTCTAAGGCGCCGCGATTCGCTGTGCAGAGTTACGGCACGCCAGAACCCTATGATTGTGGGTTCGAATCCCGGTTCGCCACGATTATGTTTCTAAGTTTGGCAGCACCATACCCGTGCTCGTGGGTTTCACCGAAGTGGTAAACGTCTGAGACCTGCATCACTTTGGGCTTTCCTCCCACATGAAGCTGACACGCCGTAATATTACTGGAATACTGTGTTAAAAGCGGCGTTAAACCCAACTCACTCACTATTAATTTGTAATACTGTTCTGAATTGTCTTTCACAGGAAGATGCTTTCGTCGGTTACGACATACTTGATGCATCCGACAAGGCTTCAGTCGGTAAACTCGACTTCCTGGCTTCTGATGGACATGCGCATGAGGACCTGTATATCAATGACGTCACACAAGAACAGACGATAAAAGTGGCACACCCTCATTACGACATTTTCGTCCTCAAGAAATACCAAGAGGTAATGCGCGTGTGCGTGTGTGTGCGTGCGTGCGTGCGTGCGTGCGTGCGTGCGTGTGTGTGTGTGTGTGTGTGTGTGTGTGTGTGTGTGTGTGTGTGTGTGTGCGTGCGTGCGTGTGCGTGTGTGTGTGTGGTACACAGTGAAACTTCAACTATTTTGTTGGCTATACATTTTTGTTAACCTTTTTATACTTTCAAAGAACATATTACATGCTGAAGCATATTGGTAATTGCAAAACGGTCCAGGCTTTGGTCGCACCTGATCTAACCCGGGACGGTATGGAACATATGATAATAAAACAGACAAAAAGGTAAATAATGAAATAAGTTGACACACAGGAATAGAGTGAGATAAAAATGGAATACAATAAGAACAATAGAAATACAAGCAAAGGGAAATATAAATATGTAGTAAACTATAAAGAAATGAAGCAAATTAATAATAAAAAAATGTCTTGGTTTTAAAGGATATTTGTGTAGGGTCCAGACAGAACGAATTTCGACGCTATCGTCTAGTATCGGCACTCCGCTTGTCCCAGACAATGGATAAATCGATTTATCACAAAATGGGTAGGCTTCTCGGTGCAGAATAAAGACCACGGATACAAACAACTTCGGGGGGTTGGTGGGTGGGTGGGTAGGGGGTGGGGGCGTCATTTACGGATACATATGCACATAAAAAGGTCAGGTAGGTATGACAATGTCTTTTCAGTGTTTACAATCATGGCGTCGCCTTTGACAGTCGGCTTTCAAGTCCAGACAAAAGATTGGGATTATTGTTATCATTATAAAATTAAAAGTCTTAGATACCGAAAATGAGCGTCTACTTGAGGCACCACTGATGTCTTATACAAGTGCAGGCAACACTGGAGATATCAACGAAGGAACTTAGGGAGGACGGTAGGCGTACCAATTCCAATACCTGTGCTTGTAGACCTCAATGACTTCAGGGTCTATTCCCGAACTTCGAATAGATGGATCTGGCCGACACACGCCCGAAACTTTACTTTGTTCATGTTGTCACTGTGTGGGATATACGACAGCATTTCGTGACATGACGACAATGTAATATGACTGGGCAGGTCCTAAACAAACGTCACGTCTCATAGATTAGAGTAGCTTCCCTTTGATAAAGGACATTCATACTAGCTTGGAACACGATCACTGACGAAGTCATTTTTGTGCTTTATAAATGGCCTTTAAAAAATAATACTTTGCCTCTATGGTAGTGAAGCCATTGCCAAATGGTTTCATTTCAAAATGCCCTTTTGTCTCTGTTCGACTGACTAATCAATACCGATATTGTATGTATAAACAATGTATCCCTTATTTTATGACATTCTATATTGTGTTGCTATGGGTAGCCCAGATATCAGAGCGTTGAAATTCCATAACAAACATAACAATCTTAAGACCGAGCGAATGGTACCAAGATAAAGATGTCAGAAGTGTCACTGTTTGACGACAGCAAGTACACTTATTGTATAATACATAGGGCTTTCCCGTTTTCTGATCGAAGTGAGCCCCCTTCGAAGTGACAGTATGTGATGCACGTATGTTTGATGTGACGCTGATGGATCTGTTTCTGGTGTCTGTCACATTACAGTCACATTAAAATATAGATTTCCGTGTTTTTAAACACCATCTGCTACTATGGAGACATGCTGATGAGAATAGAATGATTTAGTTAAATGAACTATATATCGCAGTCAGCTCAATCTCATTAAAATCAGATCTTAGTTCTCGCTACCGCTAAACAAAGATCTGAGGACATCCCATTACGGGTCACGTCAGACCGACCTTGCGCGAATTTTGACCCACCAATAGCATGACCAATCAGAAGGCAGCTTTCCCGTGCTTTACGGCACTTATTTCAAATTGAATTGGCGACTACGCTTCGAAACATATTTTGACAAATTCTCGATTACAAATTTGAAACCTAAACGAAAGAATATTCTGGAATGGCTAATAGATGGTCTAGATTGTATGGATTCAGTCATTAAACCCGTAACTATCGTTCGGAATACCCCATGTTAAAGTTTTCGAGGTTGTATGATTAGAAATCACATTCCGACTGTCCCTTTCATGATCTGGTAAGCGACGCTCTTATTGGTCGGATAAAAGGTCGTTCTGACGTGACCCCTAATGGGATGTCTTCATATCGTTGTTTAGCGGTAGCGAGAACTAAGGTCTGATTTTAATGAGATTGCAGTCAGCTATAATTTCTTTCCTTCGTGACGCCGAAGACCCGTGATCGATTGACATGGGTACAATATGTGAAGCCCATTTCTGGTGTCCCCGCCGTGATATTGCTTGAAGCTAAAAACGGCGTAAAACAATACTCACTCACTCAGCTATAATTTCCACCCTTCAAGTTTATACATAGCAGTCAAACTCTTCCATGTACAGGGTACCCGTGAAGATCCGGGGTAGAAATGATCTTCAGCAACCCATGCTTGCCATAACAGGCGACTATGCTTGTCGTAAGAGGCGACGAACGGGATCGGGTGGTCAGGCTCGCTGACTTGGTTGATGCATGTCATCCATCCAAATTGCGTGGATCGATTCTTATGATATTAATCACTCGATTGTCTGGTCCAGACTTGATTATATCCAGCCCGCCGTCATATAGCTGGAATATGTTGCTGAGTGCGGCGTTAAACAACAACCAACCAACCAAATCATGTCCAGGGGTTCTAGGTCGTGAGAATTCAATCTGTAAGGGTAACACCGAAATTTACTCAAAAATACTGAGAATAGTATTGACATTGGGGGCGGTGCTGTAGCCTATTGGTATACGCGTTCGCCAGTCTGGCCGAAGACCCGGGTTCGATTCCCCACATGGTAAAATGTGTGAAGCCCATTTCTGGTGTTCCCCGCCGTGATATTGCTGGCATATTATTAAAAGCGTAAAACCATACCCACTCACCGTATTTAAATTGTTTTGATAACAGCAGAGATGATCGAAGTCATCGAATCGGACCACCCGATCCCCTTTCGTCGGATGAGACGCGACAGGGGAAGATGGAGACCTCTGCGGAATCCTCGCGGGGCTGCATCGACTTAAGAAAGGAAACATCGTGTCTCGAATAGTAAACACGATCACTCACATTAACAATGACAGCGTTAATCCACAGCGTGCCCACTTGTCACCACGTGTTACCTATGACGTCACCTGTCACGTGTTTGTCTCCTCCAGGGCCGGGAAATGCTGCTCATCACCTCCAAGCCCGAGGAGGGGCGTCCTCGACGCGTCATTCAATGTGAAGACTCCAACATGACCGACACCGACTTCGTCCCGTCGTCGTCCTTAGTGGTAAGTGGAGAGATATATCGCTCTCCAGGCAGGATGAGGCGTCATAACTCGGCCTTAATATACAGTATATTATGTTTATGTCTGCTTTATTTATATCTATGTAATAAAGCGGTTCGACCTGCCTGCCTGCCTACCTACCCACCCACCCACCCACCCACCTACCTACCTTCCTACCTACCTTCACACACGCGTGCGAGCGCAGTAAAGATCTGTTTATATATATATATAACCAAATGATTTCATCAGGTGTATAAGTATTTAATATACCAAAAAAACAGTTCAGAATACATACATACATACATACATACATACATACATACATACATACATACATACATACATGTAATTAACTCCATCAATAACCGTAATATAGGCGAATTCGCCATCCGTTCCCCCAAACCGTTACACCCCATCGACCACCACCCGTGGAGTCTACCACACCCCTGTAAGTTGTTTATATAATGCAAGTTTACTTATTATACCAATGAATGAGACGAAACCAAACTGATCTGTCTGGCTGTTCCAGGGCCATAGCTACGCCACATGTTTAATGCTCCTATTTCATGTTCTTCTTCCCCAAGGACGGGGTGCTGGTAAAGAGCCCGGATGTGACGATCGAAAATTCTTTCGAGCGGACCTGCAAGCCAATTAAACTTGTTTACAAGTCATGTGACCTGATACCACAGGAACTTTATCAGCAAGAAGGTAAAATACTTTTTTTTTTAAAAACCCTGAAAAAAACACTAAAATATTCAAAATGACCCAGTGTATCCACCGACATCAAAATAAGAAATTGACAACAAATATACCCGTCATTCACACAATATTACCTCATAATCCATGTCTGGAGATTTCGATGAAGTTGGTGGCAGACGCTTTGTGTGTTCATCAATAACCTGATGTAGACAAGCGTGATAATTTATACACTTGAGAAAGAGCCTTAAATCTGTGCTTTGAACAGCGCCTATGACAGGTGCGTGTTCGTCACGAGGTCCCTAGGTCGGTCGCCTCGGGCTACTTGAGCATGGTCTCATTGTGTTGTTGTTTGTTTGTTGTTTAACCCCGCACTCAGAAATATTCCAGTTGTATGACAGCGGTCTGTAAATAATCGAGCCTGGACCAGATAATCAAGTGATTGATATCATGACCATTATCTACGCAATTGGGATACGATGACATGCATCAACCAAGTCAGCGGCCTGACCACCCGATCCCGTTAGTCGCCTATTACACCATGCATGGATTGGATTGTTGAAGACCATTTCTAACCAGGTCTTCGCGGGGGTAGGAGTTAACACATTGTACCTATGTGGGGAATCGGACCAGAACCTTCGGCGTGAGGAGCGATCGCTTTAACAACTGGGCTACGCCGACGCCCCCGTAAGCTAGATGGCCTACTCAAGGGATATATTGGATTTATAACATACGGTGATTACATTCACGGCATGGAGGTGTTAGGATACAACAGTAAAAACATGCATTTGCAGTATAAAAATAAGTCTAGGTTTTGGGACTTGAAGGAGTATCTGTTTTTTCTGATCTGAGAGTTCTTGTAAGTTTAAGGGGGCACGGGTGGCCCAGTCGTCTAAGGCGCCGCAATTCTCTGTGCAGAGTTGCGTCCCTTTGGCACGCCAGAAACATATGATTATGGGTTCGAATCCCGGTTCGCCGCGATTAAGTTTCCGAAGTGGTAAACGTCCGAGACCTGCATCACTTCGGGCTTTCCTCCAACATTAAGCTGACACGCCGGGGATATAACTGGAATACTGTTAAAAGCAGCGTTAAACATAACTCACCCACTCACTCACTTGTAGGTTTATGCTGAAAAAGCTGCGTGGAGAGGCAATCTGGGGAAAAAAAGATATACCATGTACTTAAGTTCGATTAAACCTTGTCAAAATCCAGTTCTTGTGTGATGTGTCACTATGTGATATAACACAACGCATTTTCAAGCTGTTCTTAAAAGTCGATTGTTATCTATAACTTTGTTAATGTCTATATTATGCATAAAAGGTTGCGCAAGTCATTAAAACATATATTGCCTAAGCCGTGATGTCACAGAAACCCTACACAAAAGCACTGAAACAAATTCAGTCATGACACGATATCAGGGCAGACAAGTAAACAGTCTCTCCTTTGGAATGAAACGACATGTGTGAACTATATTTTGGAAATATTTAGGATACGTGCCAAAATGTCACATAACATATTGATCGGAAATAGGTCATAGGATAGTTTCTCTTAAAGTTTTCGATTCCTCTTTGTTTAGTCTGATACATAATAGGCTTAAACACATCTATATTTCTTCGTTAACAGCCTCCCGATATGTGGATATATGGACAGATCCGTTGTTTGAATGTTCTTCGAGCTGCGATAGAGCCTTGTAATTTAGACTAGTCCACGGACTACGGTGCGCTACTATAAAATAGGGTCGGATCGATTTCGCGATTTAGATGCGTTTTGAAACACACTCGAAATAAAAACGGTATTTAATTGGGACCCGCTTAATAATCTATATATAGTTTTGGTTATCTGATAATAATGAGTGAGTATGGCTTAGCGGCGCTTTGAACAGTATTTCAGTTATATCACGGCGTGTTAGCTTTATGTAGGAGGAAAGTCCGAAGTGATGCAGGTTTAAGACGTTTATCACTAAGGTTAAGTGTATAGTGCTGACAAACATAGAAACAGAATCGTGGCGAATCGGGATTCGAACCCATAATCATAGCTTTTTAGTGCGCTTAGGGGAGGCAACTCTGCACAGCGGATTGCGGCGCCTAGACGACTGGGCCACCCGTATCCCCTATACAACATGGATGTGATCTTAATCAGGACAAACGATATAGTTGCATGTCCGTTTAGTTTGGTTTTAAAACGCATGACCGACGCACACTGAATTACATAAAATGTATTTATGTAGTCATGTTCGATATATCGGTACATTCGAGATATTAGATCTCGAGATAACGTCTGCATGTTGAAGTTATTCTCCTTTCTTCAGAATCTACCTCACCTGCTCTTGATGCTCTCCTGAGAGAGAGGCGGGAGGCTAGTAGCTATGGCAACTGGGGTGGACGATGGAAGGGAAGCCTCTTCAGCCCTTGTTGCTGGGGATGTAATCACTATGAACGATGCACGTGAGTACCGTCCAGGCGTGTATCAATGGTAATCTGACTTCCATAGACTTACAGACTATAAATGAATGGTTATATGTGCAGGTAGTTTCCATGGCAACCTTAGGCAGGGTTCCGGGTGTGGGTTGTTTCCATAACAACAGGGTGCTATACATGAGCACATATCTCGATAAAAGTTCTCCTATGTTAGGTTGATGTGGCTATACATAATAACGAGGCGCACGGCCGGTTCTGGCACCTCCAGGTCTCCATCAGTCTTAGCTAACATCGCTCTTGCCATGTATCTAAACCTCACACTTCCAATGCATCTATCAACAGTCCTAAATGCGATCATTGCAATGAATCTATCACAGACTTAAACGTGACCCATCAAGTAAATTTATTTAACAGACCTGAACGTGTCCCCCATCCAACGAATCTAAACAACAAACGTAAACGTATCCCATCCAAAAAATCTATCAACAGACCTAAACGTGACCTATCTAATGAATCTATCAACAGACCTAAACGTGACCTATCCAGTGAATCTATCAACAGACCTAAACGTGTCCTATCTAATGAATCTATCAACAGACCTAAACGTGTCCTATCTAATGAATCTATCAACAGACCTAAACGTGTCCTATCTAATGAATCTATCAACAGACCTAAACGTGTCCTATCTAATGAATCTATCAACAGACCTAAACGCTAACTATCCAATTAATCTATAAACAGACCTTAACGTGACCTATCCAATGAATCTATCAACAGACCTAAACGTGACCTATCCAATGAATCTATCATCAGACCTAAACGTGACCTATCCAATGAATCTATCAACAGACCTAAACGTGACCTATCCAGTGAATCTATCAACAGACCTAAACATGTCCTATCCAATGAATCTATCAACAGACCTAAACGTGACCTATCCAGTGAATCTATCAACAGACCTAAACGTGTCCTATCCAATGAATCTATCAACAGACCTAAACGTGACCTATCTAATGAATCTATCAACAGACCTAAACGTGTCCTATCTAATGAATCTATCAACAGACCTAAACGTGCCCCCTTCCAACAAATCTATTCAACAAACGTTAACGTATCCCATCCAAAGAATCTATCAACAGACCTATACGCGAACCATCAAATCATCTATCAACAGACCTAAACGTGCCCCTTCCAACAAATCTATTCAACAAATGTTAACGTATCCCATCCAAAGAATCTATCAACAGACCTATACGCGAACCATCCAATTAATCTATAAACAGACCTAAACGTGACCTATCCAATGAATCTATCAACAGACCTAAACGTGTCCTATCTAATGAATCTATCAACAGACCTAAACGTGTCCTATCTAATGAATCTATCAACAGACCTAAACGCTAACTATCCAATTAATCTATAAACAGACCTAAACGTGACCTATCCAATGAATCTATCAACAGACCTAAACGTGTCATATCTAATGAATCTATCAACAGACCTAAACGTGTCCTATCTAATGAATCTATCAACAGACCTAAACGTGCCCCCTTCCAACAAATCTATTCAACAAACGTTAACGTATCCCATCCAAAGAATCTATCAACAGACCTATACGCGAACCATCAAATCATCTATCAACAGACCTAAACGTGCCCCTTCCAACAAATCTATTCAACAAACGTTAACGTATCCCATCCAAAGAATCTATCAACAGACCTATACGCGAACCATCCAATTAATCTATAAACAGACCTAAACGTGACCTATCCAATGAATCTATCAACAGACCTAAACGCTAACTATCCAATGAATCTATCAACAGACCTAAACGCTAACTATCCAATGAATCTATCAACAGACCTAAACGCTAACTTTCCAATGAACCTATCAACAGACCTAAACGTGACCTATCTAATGAATCTATCAACAGACCTATACGCGAACCATCCAATCATCTATCAACAGACCTAAACGTGTCCCCTTCCAACAAATCTATTCAACAGACGTACACGTATCCCATTCAAATAATCTACCAACAGACCTATACGCGAACCATCCTATCATCTATCAACAGACCTAAACGTGACCTATCAAATGAATCTATCAACAGACCTAAACGTGACCTATCCAATGAATCTATCAACATACCTAAACGTGACCTATCTAATGAATCTATCAACATACCTTAACGCGAACCATCCAATCATCTATCAACAGACCTAAACGTGACCCTCCCAATGCATGTGTTCCAGAGCCCTGAACTGCACCCCTCCCCTGGACGAGCTCGACCGGATATGCATGGACTACACCTTCTGCACAAAGTGCTGGCACGACACCCCCACACGTGACCTCCCTCACTGCGACTGCCTCAAGGACCTCATCACTGACCTCACCCACATCCGGTGTCCACCCAACAACTACAGAGAATGCCGCCTGTACCGCAGTGACCTCAAGGGCATCATGACTGGTCATCGGTGCTGGGGTCGACTGGTCACTAAGATGTACGAGGCCTATCACTGTGGCTACAAGCAGGTGGGCTGCAGTCGCGGTCAGTGCCAGACCAAACCAGAATACTGTGTCCGGGGAAAGACCATGGTCCGAAACAATTTCAAGTGTGAGAGTTTTATGACCTGTGAGGAATCAACAAGGAAACTTGGTGGAGCTGCTAATTTCCGATCTTATTAAATATATTTCAATTATGACCATGTTGTGTGCTCTGTTCAATGGAGGGGCACGGGTGGCCAAGTCGTTTAAGGCGCAGCATTCTGCTGTGTAGAGTTGCCTCCCTTGGGCGCGCCACAAACCTATGATTATGGGTTCGAATCCCGGTTCGCCCCAATTTGGGTCTAGCTTTGTCAGCGCCATCCGCCTGCTGGGGTTTTACCAGAGTGGTAAGCGTCTGAGACCTGCGTCACTTCGGGCTTTCCCCACACATTAAGCTGATACAGTATCTTCACCAGAACTGGGTTTTATATTTGTCAAATATTTGTTCGTCGTGACCGACTCCATGGTCTTGTAGATAAAGCCTATGCATGGAGAGCCGAGAGGGGTAGAACAAGGACTGGTCGGCTCGAGCCGGGCTCGGGAACAGGATACTGTGTTTGAGTAGGGTATCACGGTTAAATATCACTGCGATATGGGCCAACTCTATAAAACGGCATGATAGTCCGGACTAGTACAGACAGACAGACAGACACGCACGTGCAATAACCGTGCACGCGACGTTCAAATCAACGTCACCCCATCTCATTTCATGAAAAGTTCACAGGACGTGTCGGGCTGCCAGTTCTTTAGTCCATTCAATATGCGCTACACGATCACTTTTGTACTGAAACACATATTACATGCTTAAAGTTGTTATGTCGGGCTCGCTGAATTGGTTGATGCATGTCATCGTATTCCAATTGCGTAGAGCGATGCTCATGATGTCGATCATTGGATTGTCTGGTCTAGAGTCGATTATTTACCCTATAAAGCTGGAATATCGTTGAGTGCGGCGCTAAAAAATCCAAACCAAACCAAAAGCAGTACTCAAGTCTTCAAGAATGGCACACTTACTTAAGCTATCCTGGATTATCAAATCTGATAAAATACTAAATACAAGTCCGAATGTACAGTAAAATACGTTATAACGAACTGACGGATATTACGATCTTCATTTTTGGTTCCCGGCCATTTGCTGTATAGATGCTGTATATATGCTTATAACGAACTACGGTTATAACGAACTAAAATTAGTGGTCCATTTGAGTTCGTTTTAACCGTAGTTTACTAACCGTAGTGAGTTGTGTGTAATCGTGTTAAACATAGCAGTATTGTCATATGTATTATGGGAGAACACATGGCTGATAGAGAACGTCACCACAAGCAGTTCATGTGTTACTTCTGTAGTCAAACACCTAATGCATACTTGTATATAACACAATATACTCACCACCAAAAGAAACGCGAACCACAGAAACATATATATAAGTGTGTACGTTAAGAGAGATAAATGTTTACAACGTTTTCCAATAAATGATAAAACTAACAATCAGTCAAGTGTTACCACAATGTCTTTATTCTAATCATGATATGCTGCACGTGATTTCCAAACTTTACACGATAATCATGCACGAGACAAATTGTGCATCTCGAGTCATGGATCTATGACGTCACATGTGATGCGTTCATGAGCGTCGGTTCACATGAAATACCAGTTTGTTTGTTTGTGCGCCGAACCAATCTAATATCTCCTGAATATGAGTAATTCTTCATAATATATTAAATAACATGTATGATGTTCGCGTTTCTTTTGTCGGTGAGTATATAAAAATTGTATTGTGCGAGAACTTTGAACATATCTTGCTCAATTTCTTGGTGCTATTTTCTATGACACACATACGCGCTCATACACGCACATACACGCGCGCTCACACACGCACATACACGCGCTCACGCACACACGCTGATCAGAGTAGCTCCTGTATTACGACGAAAAGGACTAGACCGAATATTGCAGTAAGTTAATGTACGGTCGAATGGATTTAGTGGGTAGTGATTAAAGTGAGTGAATGAGTACGATTTTACGCCGCTTTTAGCAATATTCCAGCAATATCACGGCGGGGGATACCAGAAATGGGCTTCACAAATCGTACCCATGTCGGGAATCGAACCTGGGTATTCAGCGTGACGAGCTAACGTCACCGGGGAGTGATTTAAGCCCTATGATTATAATATTCTGCACAACATTAAGGATATTAAGAGTGTCCAGGCGATGACTGAATATGACTTTGGAGATGGCGTCATATGAATAACATGCAGGTAAATCATTGTCTTGCCTTTGCATGTGTTTGTGTCAGGTGGGGCAGGATACGCTCATCTTTCTCGAACAGCTATTATCATCACTATTTGATAGAGATTCATAAACACATTCTTATGCTATCGTACACTCGACTCTTCTTTTAGCAGATATTTCTTATGAATATGAAAAGAGTACTCCGACTTTTTTATTGCCATGGAACTAACATATTCATCTTAATTTCCTTTAAAAATAATCTGGAATCGCGTTCCTCTGCCTTTCTCAGCATCGCTATCAAGGATTGAGAAGCATATTTAAATTTTGATATCTCATTGTTTCACCCTTTACTTTCTCTTATATAAATGACAGAAAGGATTGGCATCCCTTTTTCAAAATAATATGGATTCCATCGTGGAATCTTTTTATGGAAGCTTTTTTTCCGTGGTATCAATCTGCTTTTTCACATCTTCGTGAATGGGTTTTCCTGCATCAAGTACAAGCTTGAGTGAAACAATTAAACCAGCCTGAATGAAAGGAAAGAATTAATTGAAATATCAATATTGCCCTAACAGAAACATGTAGCCAACGTGTTCTGACGTGATTTGATATTAAATTAATGAAATATTCATAATTCAAATTATCGGCGTTGCAGACACCAATCAAAGATCGGAGTGACCACTTATCTACTTCCAATCGAAATAATCACTGACACTGCATGTATGATTTCCTTAAGAATAAAACAGGTTTGACATTTTCTCCTGCATTATGTTGTGAACATAATTAACAGGCCTATTCACAGTCTCACTGTTGCCCAAACAATATCACTGCAAACCTACCCAAAGAAGACACCAGGTGTTGGGGCAGCATGTTCTGCACTGCTCGTGACAAGTCGTTGCCGAAAGATTAGACAAACGTTTTTAAATTGCAAGGACCGTTTGCACCTTTATTGAATTTAGGAATATATATAAAAGGAAATACGAATACAAAGATAACACTCACCATGTTGTTGTGTCCTCGTTGGGCGCCAAGATATGATTGCGAGGGAACGCTATACATATATTTTTACAGGAGCTTCAATAACAAATTACGAATACTGCGGAAGTTCGTTGTCTCGAAAGTGGTAGCACACACATAGACCCCCAACGCCCACCCCCGCCACACACAGACACACACACACACAGATCCCCACCCCTACTCCCTGCCGCACACACAGAGAGATCCCCACCCCTACTCCCTGCAGCACACACAGAGAGATCCCCACCCCTACTCCCTGCAGCACACACAGAGAGATCCCCACCCCTACTCCCTGCAGCACACACAGAGAGATCCCCACCCCTACTCCCTGCAGCACACACAGAGAGATCCCCACCCCTACTCCCTGCAGCACACACAGAGAGATCCCCACCCCTACTCCCTGCCGCACACACAGAGAGATCCCCACCCCTACTCCCTGCAGCACACACAGAGAGATCCCCACCCCTACTCCCTGCAGCACACACAGAGAGACCCCCACTCCCTACCCTCGCCGCACACACATATATACCACCAACCCCGTCGCTCACACACACACACACACACACACACACACACACACACACACACACACACACACACACACACACACACACACAGAGGCTCCAAACCCGAACCGCCGCTCACACACACACACACACACACACACACACACACACACACACACACACACACACACACACACACACACACACACACACACACACACACACACACACACACACACACAGGCTCCAAACCCGAACCCCCACCCCCGCCGCTCACACACACACAGACACACACAGACAGACACACAGAGGCTCCAAACCCGAATCCCCACCCTCGCCGCACACACTCACATACCCCAAGTCCTGTCTCTCTCTCTCTCTCATACACATACATACACAGCCCCAACCCCCAGTCCCGTCGCTCTCTCTCTCTCTCTCTCTCTCTCTCTCTCTCTCTCTCTCTCTCACACACACACACACACGAACAGAAAATCATTTTCAAATGCACATATTTTACTTTTACCTGAGAACTGTAATAACATGGACAGGTTACATGGGGACAAACGGCGTTGAGATGTCACGCCTGTACAATCCTCTTACGTAACATTGCTGTTTACAATCTTAACCGATTATTTATTGATCTAACATGATTGATAGCAAGTCCCGATGTTCATGCGCTACATGCACAGTGACATAAATAACTGCAGCAATCCATTCGTCACTTGACAATACTAAGAAACCAATGATCCCCCGGCCATTGTTCCGTACCACAAGGAACGCCTTTAGCTCAAGGGCATCGATGGATGCACGGCGTTACGTCACAGCTGCTTTGCCTCGCTTTGTGTGTTGCGTAATAGACATATGTTAGTTGACATAGGTATATAAGGGATAGCATGGTCAGTGATGGTCAAACCCGACACAATGGAGAAAGCAACAAAGAAGCCCAGCGCCCGGCAGTTTGGATGCTCAGGCTATCTGATTGTCCTCATCTTCTTGTTTGCATCAGCTACTCTCCTTGCAGGATCCGTGTTGGTTTATCTTCAGCATATAAGGAGAGTTCAGGTGAGCTTTTGAATCGTTGTCTATCATATATCCCCCCGTCACACGTTTGCGAGCCTCACCTTTTTTCGAACCCCTTACAAAGTGTAAAGACGCGGTTAATGACGCATTTAAGAAAGACTCTTAAACGCCCACTGAAGACGTCAAAGAGAACGCCACATGCCGCTGTATTTTTCTGTTGCGAAGCTACTCGAGGAAAAAAAGACATTGAATTAGTAATGAAAACATACATCAAAACTTACCTTTTCACTAGTCCACATTTTAATCAAATTTGATCTGGTGATAATTTTGCATGGGAACAATCGTATGTAGCGATTATTTATCCGCTGATGTTTGTAATTTTTTATGTGAATGTCATGTGACTGATCATGTGATGCATCTAACTATTAACCTAACTGTAAGTTTAATCATGTGACGGTAACAAGATGGCGCCTGATCGGCTCGTCTCCTCTGTGAATCATTGTCCTATACTATTTACAAGGAATGGTCATTTAACAGAAATAAATGTTCTAAAAGGCAATACTTTATTTAAACGTATTGGGATTGTTATCAGACACGCCATGAGAAATACTTCTTTGGGGCTCGAAGACCCATAACACCGTATTCCACTCAGTGCTTTGTGAAAATAGGAAACGCAGTCTCACAGGTGTTCTTAAAGCTAAACACCAACAACAACAGCAACAACAACAACAACAACAACAACAACAATAGTCTCCAAGTCTACAGTCTATAATACTCAATGCTAAAGGATAGTGCTGGCATATTGCTGGAAGCGGCGTAAAATCATACTCATTCACTCACTTAAGGTGAGGTGAGGTGAGGTGAAATTGGGTTTAACGTCGCGTCCAAGATTATTGCACTTATATAGCGACGTGCATGCACGTGTATGTGTGTGTGTGGCTGCTTGTACTAGTCCGGACTGATGCCGATTTATAGTGCTAGCTCAATGAGATACCATGCCGCAGTTTAACATGAATACCCCACTCAGACACAGTATACTGACTCCGAGCCGACCAGTCCTTGTTTTAGCCCCTTAATGCGAGCGCCAGACAGGGTAACAACAAGTACAATCTTTTAACGTCTTTTTGTATGACGCGGCCGGGGATCGAACCCCGGACCTTCCCATCTCCGGGCGGACGCTCACTTAAGGAGATACCGGGGTATAATTCTGACATATAACTTTTTAGTAAATTTTCTAATCGTTTTATGTCGCGCCGCACGCCCGTTTTAGATTCCAGACATGGGTACGGTGTGTGAAGCCCTTTTCCGGTGTGAGATTTCTGGAATATTGCTAAAAGCGGCGTAAAACCATACTCACTCTAACTGTTTGTTGACATGCATCCACAAAGTCCTCCCGATCCTGTTCGTCGCCTCTTTGAGTAGTTTTGAAGCTCGTTAATCGAGTCTGCTTGAAACAGATATTTCGGAATGTATTTCGTGGTTCAGAACTTGTTTAATATTTATTCGGATTTGTAACACGCTTCTCTTTTCATATCAAGTTTATGTCGAATAAAATGTACTTATACCGAGCTTTAGAGAAATAATAACGAGTTTCGTATCCTATTTTTAGCTAGGTTTTAATGAACTTTCAACAACATTACGCTATACCCATGTGTCCTTAACATAGAGTCGCTTCACTCCTAAATGCATATCAAAACATCTCTGCGAACTATATATATAAACCGCTCGATATTTGAGAAATCCAACCTGAAATGCTGTTTAAAGTGGCGTTAAACCCGGCCCACTCACTCACTCACTCACTCACTCACTCTTTACTCATTGTCTACGTCAGCTACCACACCAAGTGGTGTTCTCCCATGACGTCACGGAGCCCGACCGCTACCTCGAGGGGAAGATGACCTTCACCGACACTGAAGGCGGGAAGACAAAGGAAGTCACGCAAAATGTCTTCACGGACGAGACAAAACGAGAACAGGTTCTCCACATTTCCGGCGAGAGGATGGAAGTTTATGTGCTACAAAAGTTTGCAGAGGTAGAGCAGTTTCTCCAACTTTATATTCTCCTGTTTCTTCAACTTTATGTTCTTCAGTTTCTACAACTTATGTTCTCCTGTTTCTCCAACTTTATGTTCTTCAGTTTCTCCACCTTTATGTTCTTCAGTTTCTACAACTTTATGTTCTTCAGTTTCTCCAATTTTATGTTCTTCAGTTTCTCCAACTTTATGTTCTTCAGTTTCTCCAAATTTATGTTCTTCAGTTTCTCCAACTTTATTTTCTTCAGTTTCTCCAACTCTATGTTCTTCAGTTTCTCCATCTTATGTACTTCAGTTTCTCCAACTTTATGTTCTATATCTTCAACTTTATGTTCTTCACTTTCTACAACTTTCTGTTCTTCAGTTTCTCCTACTTTATGTTCTTTATCTTCAACTTTATGTTCTTCAGTTTCTCCAACTTATATTCTTCAATTTCTCCAACTTTATGTTCTTCAGTTTCTCCAACTTTAGGTTCTCCTGTTTCTCTAACTTTATGTTCTTCAGTTTCTACAACTTTATGTTCTTCAGTTTCTCCAACTTTATGTTCTTCATCTTCAACTTTATGTTCTTCAATTTCTCCCACTTTTGTTCCTCAGTTTCTCCAACTTTATGTTCTTCAGTTTCTCTAACTTAAGTTCCTCAGTTTCTCCAACTTTATGTTCAGTTTCTCCAACTTTATGTTCTTCAGTTTCTCCAACTTTGTGTTCCAGGGTCAGCAGATGGCAGTGGTGTTTTTGACCAACTCAACATCAGAGGGCAGTATCGTCATGTGTACTGATGCTCCGCTGGAAGGAGAATACATTCCGAAAGCTCATCTGATGGTAATTGTTTCAGCAAATGCATACCACAATCCGTCAATGTCAGTTCGAGTTCGAATAATTGGCTAAGCAAAACATATTTATCGTAGGTTCGAATCTCACACTCGCCCTGATTATGATTCTTTTTTTCTTTTTTTTTTGACATTTTTTATTCCTTTCAAAGGGTTGATTATGATTCTTTGTTTGTTCTCACCACATGCGTACAAATGGATTTGACAAAAATGGTAAATGACAAAGAACTGCACCACTTCAGGCTTTCCCGATATAACTATTTGGTTGTTTGCTGTTTAACGCCGCTCTCAGCAATATTCCAGCTATTTGTCGGCAGTCTGTAAACAATCGAGTCTGGACTAGACAATCCGGTGACCAACATCATGGGCATCGCAATCGGAATACGATGACATGTATCAACCAAGTCAGCGAGCCTGAGCACCTGATCCCGCCAGTCGCCTCTTTCGACAGGCATAGTCGCCTTTTACGGCAGGCATGGGTTGCTGAAGACCTATTCTACCCGGATCTTCACGGGTCCGATATAACTGAAACACTGTTCAAATCGGCGTAAAACTCAACTTACTTAATGTATTTCATGTCTTATTACATTCTTTTCCAGAATGCAAAAGAGCATGATTTTGAGGGAACCATGAAAATGGCAGAAAACTTCCACCCTGCTAAAAAGACGCTCGAGTTCCAGTACCGTCGCTGTGCCGACATCCCTAAGAACATGTTCAGCACTGACGGTACGTACAGGTCTTTTCTCGCACCAGCTGGGGCAGTATATGTCATTCCGTGCACTTTCCTCGGTGTTCTGGGGCAGTAAAAGTCGTCACTGGCCTTCGCATCATTCTCGTTGTCGGCCGAATTAGCCGATCCATCTCTCCCTGTGACCTCGTGGTCAAGGACGCCAAAATAGTGTTGAGCTACGTCACTAAGCCGCGTCAGGATCCGCTGGTTGTGGGTTCGCACCGATTATGATCCTTTGACTATTGGTCTCATCTTTAGCCTTCATCTCATCGGGATTTCTTCCGAATGTAAGTTAGAATATTTATTAAATACTGATATAGTACGTAAACCCTTCACACAGTCAGCATTTCGTTTCTTTTCACAGTAAGCACGTCGAACGTCGATCACGAGACACCATCTTCACCCCTAGTGAGAACGAAGCGGGACGTGCCATATGGCTCCTGGTGCGGCCCGGGTCTCGGGGGACTTGGCCTATCCTGCTGCCCTGCGTGCAACGCACCCTATCAAAGTTGCGTGTAAGTTGAAAATGTTGGAGGATAACTGACTGACTGAGTATGGTTTTACGCCGCTTTTAGCAATATTCCAGCAATATCACGGCGGGGGACACCAGAAATGGGCTTCACACATTGTACCCATGTCGGGAATCGAACCCGGGTCTTCGGCGTGACGAGCGAACGCTTTAACCACTAGGCTACCCGACCGCCCCGTTGGAGGATAAACTTTGTTTGGTTTGTTGTTTAACGCTGCACTCAGCAATATTCCATCTTCATGACAACAGTCTGTAAATAATCGAGTCTGGAACACACAATCCAGTGATTGACATCAGGAGCTTCGCTCTAGGCAATTGGGATACGATGACATGCATCAATCAAGTCAGCGAGCCTGACCAGCCGATCCCCTTAGTCGCCTCTTGCGTTAAGCATGGGTTGCTAAGACCAATTCTCCGATCTTCACGGGTCGCAGAATTAACTATTCTTACACATTGACTATTTTTAACTGACGACGCGTGTCAACACCAGAAATCATTGCGCATATGTAACGTTCGTATATGCTAGCCAGCATTTAAAACAGAATTGTTTTATTACGGCAATATTACCACTAGAGCACAAAAACCAGGCCCGCTCATGGACTAAATTGAATAAAATAAAATTGCGTTTTCAGAATGCTGGTTAGTATAGTGTCAATTTGTCTATTTTCAAAAGCTGATTGTTAAATTATAACAAAGACAATAACAATGGACACTATTACGTCATCAGATCAATAGGTTGACTGCAGTCTTTAGAGGTCCACACTTGCCCTTGTATTTTCTCTTTTAACTGTCAATGCATACAATAAGCTATAGTTACTGGCATGTGACCAATCAGTCCTACTATTCATACCCTCGGACAGAAACCGGTAATTCGCCAAAGCTGCTAACTCTTGTCGTTTGTTTGATACCTTTATGACGTGTCTTCAGTGCCAACACCTGTGCTCCCCTCACGGACGAAGTGGACGAGTCCTGTTTCACGTTTAAGATGTGCGAAGAATGTACCAGCCACAGAACATCTGGACTGCCGTCATGCTTCTGCATCAAAGACTTCAGCGATGACCTTGAGAGTTCTCGTTGCAAAGGTCGATGGGGACTTATGAATGGACCAGGTTACGGGATGAACATCGACTATCATTCCAATGGTATGAACAATGTGGTTGAGAATCGGGTGAATGCGGCGCAAGATATGGCCAAAGTCCACACAGATGTGGCCGAAGCCCACACAGATGTGGCAATATCAACGGCTGAAATAGCCAACACACAAGCTGACACCGTCAATGCTATGGCCAAGCTTCTCAGTGAAGCGGTCAACTCAGGTGGACCGTCAGATATGCCTGTACCGGACATCCCTGCTCCCGCCTATCCATCAAGCATCGGAAGTCTGGCTTCGCTTAAGACCGCTGAGGCGACTGCCGACGCCCAACGGGAGGTTCAGGGTGCGCTCGCCGATCTCGCGAAGGCTAACCTCAGGGCCAATGTCCTTGGGAGAAAGAAGCGCCAAATAGGTTATAACTCGATCCCAATGTCGTACGACCGTCGTGCATGTTTGAAATACCGTAGTCGTACCATGACTGAGTTAATGCATCAGAGATGCTGGTGTCCCGTATTCATCCGTGTTAAGTACGTCTGCGGATATCAGCAAGTGGCAGGTTCCTGCAAGACTACCGCTGATGGAGAGAAGTGCGCCGTCAAGTATCAAATCTGTAGCAGGATCATGTCCAAAAACACCCTGAATGCCGTGAGCTTTCAGAAATGTCCAAGCATCCCGTGATGCATGTTTCCAAATAAAGGCTGTTTTGACAAGATAGACATCGTTGTTTGCGTATATTTCGACACAATTTGTTTGTTTGTTTGTTGTTTAACGCTGCAATATTCCAGCTTTATGACGGCGGTCTGTAAATAATCGAGTGAACTACGCAATTGGGATCGATGACATGCATCAACCAAGTCAGCGAGCCTGACCACCCGATCCCGTTAGTCGCCTCTTACGACAAGCATGGGTTGCTGAAGACCTATTCTACCTCGGATCCTCACGGGCCATTTCGGCACAATTGAAATATTTTTTATGAGTATATTCATAGCAACGATGTGAGTGAGTGAGTGAGTATGGTTTTACGCCGCTTTTAGCAATATTCCAGCAATATCACGGCGGGAGACACCAGAAATGGGCTTCACACATTGTGCCCATGTCGGGAATCGACCTCGGGTCTTCGGCGTGACGAGAGAACGCTTTAACCACTAGGCTACCCGACCGCCCCTATTGATATTAGTACTTTAGTACGTCCATTGAACCTGTTCACAGTGGTTCGATGGAGCAATGTTATCAGTAGAGAGTGAGTGAGTAAGTTAGGTGTAACGTCGCTTTAAACACCATTCCGAGCCACCTTTGTAAAGCTGGCAATTGGTTTATTGATAATTGAAAAACCAGAGGTTTAGCGTGCGCATAACCACCCCGAACTGCAAGGTAAGGAAACACACGGCAGACAGGTAAAATTATTACATTGATACTGGTATTTCAGTCCCCCAACTAAGTTCTATCTCCACCCGTTAACGTTCTCCCGTTGTGATTTTGGGTTCGAACCCGTGTCGCGGGATCTTATACTTGGCGTCAACCTTAAAAGGGGATTGGATCGCCACGTCTTGTAATCCAGGTGCTTATTGTGGCATCGGATCCAAATGGTTGGTCTGCCTGCTCCAGAGTTTATCGGCTGGGATGTACCGTGATGGTGCTGGGTTATTCATCATGCCTGCGTAAAACAACATTCACTCATTGGTGATTCCAACGACAGTGTATTAATTGGCCGAAATCTGCACGCCACTTTGCGAACCGGATGTCGATTTCGTTACACGATTTTGATTGGAGTGTGCATAGACTCATTAGTCCAGCCAAAATAGGTCCATTGCAGGATTTGCAAAGCATATGTACCTCCAACTCGGCGTCAACAGATATTTTCCAAATCTTTTCAAGTGTTTAGTCAAGGTGCTCATGTGAATTCGCTGGGAAAGACCCGTTTCACCACAATATAGTTTTGGATTATCGATCAGATCGTCTTCACTGGGCGCCGCCATTTTGGTTAAAACAAATGCAAGTGATATGAGAGGTAGAATCTGATTGGTCAATAGGAGGGACATAGAAGGGACATAACTCGTAATAACCACTGGTTGCGATACGAAGGAGCCCAGAAATCCCAGTCCAGTACGGCATGGGTGGAAACAGGACTTTTACAGTCAGTTAACTCCCTTGCCTCGGGAAGTTGCCCGGGTAGAACGAAGTGGGCTCAAGCACCCGTTTTCGCAAAACCGAGTACCCGTTTTAATGGCAATACGACACTTTGACTTTTCTGAGCATCATCCGAGTCCAAAGCCTCAAGACGCTGTATCATTTCTCTTCCATCCGTTAAACATGCATACTAAGATGTGAGTTATCTCCCCTGTTCAGCTACACGAGGCCTTGACCCGACGCATGCTCGTGTACTCATGTGCCTAACTCAGCATCGTCCATAAACATAACAAACACTGTTGTTTGCATAAGGAAAATTTTAATTGTAAAGAAATGGTTAAAATAAGATTATAATGATAAAATACATCGTCTTATGGGGAAACATTTACAATCAAAATGAAAGTGGATGAATTACCATTCAGTGTTACTGCATCAGTTGTATCAACTGTACAATTCAAAACAGTTGTCATTCCAACTGCACAATTCAATCCGTTGGCACTCCAACTTTACAGTTAGAATTGTTGTCCTTCCAACTGCACCGTACATACAGTGTGTAAATCTCAAATACCACAGTTATAGCGTTTAAACAGTTGTGCAGCATCGATGTGGTCAACTGTTCAGTTCACTAGTAACCGACTGTACAGTTGAAACAGTTGCAGACCAACATAGTGACCAACTACAGTTAAAACAGTTGTGCACCAACAGTAACCAACTGTGATGTTGAATCTGCCGCACACCAACATTGTGACAACTGTACACTTGAAACGGTTGCCCACCAACCTCGTGACAACTGTACACTTGAAACGATTGTCCAACAACATTGTGACATCTGTACACTTGAAACGATTGTCCAACAACCTCGTGACAACTGTACACTTGAAACAGTTGCCCATCAACCTCGTGACAATTGTACACTTGAAACGATTGTCCAACAACCTCGTGACAACTGTACACTTGAAACGGTTGCCCACCAACATTGTGACAACTGTACACTTGAAACAGTTGCCCATCAACCTCGTGACAGCTGTACACTTGAAACGACTGCCAACGAACCCCGTGAAAACTGTACACTTGAAACGGTTGTCCAACAACCCCGTGACAACTGTACACTTGAAACGGTTGTCCAACAACCCCGTGACAACTGTACACTTGAAACGGTGGACCACCAACATTGAGACAAGTGTACAGTTGAAATAGTTGCCCACCAACACTGTGGCACCTGTACACTTGAAACGGTTGCCCGTCAACATTTAGACAAGGGTACAATTGAAATAGTCGCCCACCAACCTCGTGACAACTGTACACTTGAAACGGTTGCCCACCAACCTCGTGACAACTGTACACTTGGAACGGTTGCCCACCAACCTCGTGACAACTGTACACTTGAAACGGTTGCCCACCAACAACGTGGCAACTGTCCACTTGAAACGCCTGCCCACAAACCTCGTTGCAACTGTACACTTGAAACGGTTGCCCACCAACATCGTGACAACTGTACAGTTCACAACACAACTTGCCCTCAATACAGTTCAGATATAACTGCACCACCATACGTACGTGACGACACACCACATCCCACACAGTACAGAAGGTCCGTTACAACAGCACATGGTGCGTGGACCTCACAGCTGGACACTCAGTTTACTGAAAGACTCCAGAATGTGCCCTGTCCACTACATGCCCGTTGGATGTACCCGTTGACTGAGCGAACACGTATCCCACTGTACGTCCTATACCTTTGATCCAGACCAAGGAAAACCCCGAATCAACCTGTGGTATAACAACTTGTAACAACAGATGCAACTATACATAAACAACAATTATGAAAAAACCCCTTAACAGTGCTTTTTGACGTAATCCCATTTTCGATCTTAAGTTCAACACTAAATACCTTCACCGCATTTTTTTCACCTATATATTTGCTCAATGATGGAAGCCGATGCTCTCGCCACATACCAAGCATTTAAAACAATGTGGATAAGCAGTTAGTTTTACCTTAGGAACATATGAACTCATGTCAAACAGTTGTAAATCGCTGTGATGGATACATTATTCTGAAAACCTCAAGCAGCCTCTACGCCACATTGGCCAGCAACATCCGTAAAGTCCCGTCACAAACAGTTCTGTCCTGTCTTGCACTCGCTTCGTTATACAACCATGGTTTACTACAAGCGTGGAGTCCTGTCTTGCACTCCTAACACACACATGGCATATTACAAGCGTGGAGTCCTGTCTTGCACTCGTTATAAAACCATGGTTTACTACAAGCGAGGGGTCCAGTCTTGCACTCGTTATACAACCATGGTATATTACAAGCGTGGAGTCCTGTCTTGCACTCGTTATACAACCATGGTTTACTACAAGCGAGGGGTCCAGTCTTGCACTCGTTATACAACCATGGTATATTACAAGCGTGGAGTCCTGTCTTGCACTCGTTATACAACCATGGTATATTACAAGCGTGGAGTCCTGTCTTGCACTCGTTATACAACCATGGTTTACTACCAGCTTGGAGTCCTGTCTTGCACTCGTTATACAGCCATTGTATATCACAAGCGTGGAGTCCTGTCTTGCACTCGTTATACAACCATGGTTTACTACAAGCGTGGAGTCCTGTGTTGCACTCCTAACACACACATGGCATATTACAAGCGTGGAGTCCTGTCTTGCACTCGTTATACAACCATGGTTTACTACAAGCGTGGAGTCCTGTCTTGCACTCGTTATACAACCATGGTATATTACAAGCGTGGAGTCCTGTCTTGCACTCGTTATAAAACCATGGTATATTACAAGCGTGGAGTCCTGTCTTGCACTCGTTATACAACCATGGTTTACTACAAGCGTGGAGTCCTGTCTTGTACTCGTTATACAACCATGGTATATTACAAGCGTGGAGTCCTGTCTTGCACTCGTTATACAACCATGGTTTACTACAAGCGTGGGGTCCTGTCTTGCACTCGTTATACAACCATGGTATATTACAAGCGTGGAGTCCTGTCTTGCACTCGTTATACAACCATGGTTTACTACAAGCATGGGGTCCTGTCTTGCACTCGTTATACAACCATGGTATATTACAAGCGTGGGGTCCTGTCTTGCACTTTTAATACACACATGGTGTCGAGATTTTGTTCTGGATATTATATATTTTCTCATCTACTGCTACAAAACCAAATATTTTTATGTAATTTTTGTGGGAGGCAATTTTTGTGTTTTCCCAACAGCATAGTTCCTTTTTTTCCAGACTTTCTTGGACAACTTATTGTTTTCGTTAAAATCACAGCTTCCCCCAACCAATCCAGAATATCAACTGTTTGCTCCCGAAAGTAGCAAAACCTCGTTAACACGAAAAGATGAAGACAACTGCATATATGACGAGACACACGCAAATTCGTCCGATTGAAACCCTAGTGCTGGTGAGGTCTGAGAAGGGATCGTAATGTAACCTCGTCTTATATTGAGGGTGTATGAAGTCTTACGGTAATACAGTAAACTACGGTTATAACGAACACGCTTATAACGAACTTACTTTTTTGGTCCCGACTATTTGCTGTAGTTATGCTGTATATATGCTTATAACGAACTACGGTTACAACGAACTAAAATAAGTAGTCCCTTTGAGTTCGTTATAACCGTACTTTACTGTAGGTTCTCTGAGGACAAGCACTAAAACTTGCCAGAGACTGTCATAAGTTGGCGCTTTATATCCGAATTCTAAAAACAGATGGGACATGATTTCTTCAATCATTTTACAGTTTGCTTTGGATCGATAAGTGATAAAAACTGGTTTAGGTTCTTCTAAATTTTATAAATATTAAAATCTGACTTGTAACGACGCCTTATCGTTTAATCAAATTTTGCTTTAGTCATATAAAAATCCCGTGGATAATGTTTATTATCAAAGCGGTCTTTACCGTCGGTGGTTCATAAAACACCTTGTCATGATAGTATTCTCATACCGGATAAACGTGTCCTACGCATATCATCTATCTGGAAACCTACCAACTCTGAATGAAAACAGAATCTATAAATAGATAACAATACCTTTGGTTGTATCTACAGAACCTTCAAATAAAATGCATATTTGTAACATAAATCATATCGAGTGTAACAATAATAACCAATATATCATAAACACCTACCAGTGCATAAGTTCATATAAGAATAATACGTATTGTGAACAATGTAAAAGGCCAACAATGAAAAATAGTATGTACATCAATTACGCATAGTTCATGCGACTACAACATAACCAAAATTTCCCACCCGGACCAGCCAGAACATCAGCCGAGCCCGTAACAAGACTACTACATGTGTTAGAAACCTGGTTTCCTACAACTAGTGTTGAACTGCACACAACTCATCTTGGAAAGCTACAGTAATAACGTACACGCAACGCCAACGCCAACTTGAGAACCCTCCTTTGTTGACTATTGTGGATCACTAAAGCAATTGCTAGGCAATCAAATGCGTCTTTGTCATATACAAACACTACAATGATTCAGTGGGAACATACAGTCAACACCGCTGTGTCGAACTTTGATGTGTCGAACTGACGGTTGTATAGAAATAATAGCTTGGTCCCTGCGTAGTCCATATTTATTCTCTTAACCTCTGATGTGTCAAAGTTACGTTTGTCTCCAAGTCAGTTTCCAGTCCCAAACATGTACTTCCAGCACAATTGTACTCTGATAAGTCGATCTTGCATAGACGCTGTAGCGCATTTTTCGGTTGTGTCGAACCTCGGATAACTCGGACTGTTTACGTAGGTCCCTTCAACGGTGTTGAGTCTATGTTCATATGTAAGAATTCAATTTTAGTTCATTCAAAATTTCAAATTCAAACTGTGTCAAATCGCCATTTCAATGAAAACATAGGGAACAGGTTAATACATTTAGTAAACTCCATACCACTTCCTATTTTTTTTAACTAGAGAGGGTGGGACTTTTGAAAAAGGTCAGTGTCATGAATGTAGAAAAATACACAAAGTAGACGCTTAACTACTTTGTTAACAGAGCACGGGTATGACGTTGACCATTATCGAGGCGTATAGAGGGTGCAACTCTGGAGTGGACTTTAAAAAAACGTATTGAAAATGTTCCCACTGGAAACTCGTTCCCACCCTACCATCATAAATGCTCAGACCATTTGGAAAAAGAACACCCTTATTGTTGTTCCATTGGCAACAGATGGCGTTACAAACACAAATGCCTTCGAAATGATGTGGAAGTCTTGTACAACATATTGGTCCTAAAACCTAATCATGATTTAACAAACGAAAAAAAAATGTGCTTACGAAAAATAATTTTCAGCAGGACAGTTGAATGTAAAATTATCAAAATAAATAAATAGCACTGATATGTTATACATGTGATTTAAGTGACAGAGCAATTTTGTTCCGAAAATATATTTCACAGACGCTGAAAAATATGGTCAGTCAACTCCTTTAGGACACCAGTACATACGTGAATAGTCTCCTACTTCTCTACCAGAAACTAACACTGCTTGGCAACATTAAATCTACGTATAAGTTCATTATGCATAATTTTGACATAATATAGTCAACAATGATTTGAGTATGCCTAATACAATATCCATACACGCCTGAAACATATCCTTGGTATGTATATGCTGAAACATATACTTGATATGCATATGCAAATTAACGAATTGTGGAAGTTTACTCCGTATCCTGTATTGAATACCCAAGTCACAAATTATCGGACTAAAACTGAAGCTGGGATGACCCACAGTGGAAAAACCTAACGAGGAGTGAACGGATATACCGCTTGTCATCCCTTTATTTAGTTAGCAATCTCAGATCATAGAGATGCAAGTATCATTTTTCTGTTATGAAGACACAATCAAATAGTACGTGCACAATAGATTGGTCTTTAAATGGACGAAAAGATACAATGGACTTTGTTGTGTCAGAAACAGCTCCTGCCAAGTTCAGTTTGAGTTTAACACTGGACGAAAAAACTAATTTTTCATTGAAAGAAAGAACGAACACAGAATGAACACTCATTTCCAAAGTGTCAGATTGCTTTAGAGTGAGGTTAGACTGTATAACACATTTGAAAACATGGTAAATTTGTTTGCAGATATGTTGATTTCAAGTTACGGTATGTTTGGGAATTTTGTAAAGTAAACTTTTTGTCCTGTGTGAGAAATGTGTTTGAGTCTAAAGGTTATGGAAAACAGACAGGAAGGATGTGATCACAACCCTCGAACAAGGCAGTTAATAGGACCATGCAGGGTACAGGGGTTTGGGGTTTGACCCCGGGGACGGGTTGGTGGACCGGTGTCATGGAGTGGATGGTAAACCAAGAGATATGGGTTGTAGTAGTAGAAGTAGTAGCAGGAGAGGTGGAGGTGGAATGGGCCGGATGGTATGAACGAATATTCAGGTGTGTAAGGATGGGGATAGCTTGCAGCCGGGCATGTAGGCCGTGTGTGTGTGTGTTCGGGGGGGTGGGGGTGATTTGGGGTGGGGTGGGGGGTGGGGGGGGGGGGGGGGGTGGGGGGTAGGGGGGTTGCTTTAGGTGTGGTACTTCACGGTAGGTGGGAAACAGAGTGTTGGGGTGTATGTTTGCTTATAATTAATGACTTATAATTGGGTACTACGATTAACTCCACCCTGTTAACATGTTTATGGAGCAAAATGTACGTTTTCGAATGCTTACAGTTTTCGCCAATCAGATGACATTATATCACGTGACACAACTCGCGCAGTCAGAAATACGAACTCCAAGAGACTCTCATCACAATCAGTTCCTTACATCCGAAATTCTTTATGCCGCTGAACAGTTAAGTTAATGTCAACACATAGGGTTTTACAACTGATTTCATCATAAACGACTAGTTTCCTAACCGACTTCATTACATCCGAGGTTGACTGAAATTTGTCAGATTGACGTACCTTCGCATAAAGAGGACAAGGGTGAGATCTCGTCACACCATACCTAATAATTCTACCATTCGAGCACTGCTCGTTACTAGAAAGCCACCGATATGTAACAAAAACTGACATCAAACAGTGTTATTTATAAATTATGTTAAACACAACAAGAAACACATTTGCCTTGCTTTTCTACTACAGTATATTGCTGTGGGGTCCCACAAAATAGAAAAGAGTTGTAGAAATATGGCTCAACAATGCAGTATGTACATAAAATAACATCAACATGTCAATGGCACCAAGGCCTCCAAGACAAAACAGGAACACTTGGTCACCCCCCAACGTGTGCAGTGACCCATGACATAGCGTCTCTGGTAGAACCAACATTATCATAATGTAAAGATTGCAACAATAACAGCAGTTGTTCACATATATTCAGAGTTATCTCCCCTCTAAGCAACAACTACAATTGTAGTTCAAATGTAGGCAATGAAAACACGCATTTTCTACAACTACGAGATGATTTTAGAGAAAGAAAATTTATATTTTTTTAGTGACAACTTTTTTAGTGTCGACTTCAGTGTTCAGTTGGCACTTCCGGTCGGTCGACTCCTCCTTCCGGTTCTATCCTCTGCTTCATGAAGATATTCTTGGTGGGGACCTTCGGCTTACCTGGAAGAGCCTTCCGGTCCTGCAACAAGACGTGCATTTGTGTTAAAAGTCACATCGGCAATATTTAGGCCGTTTGTTTCTTTGTTTGTTTGTTGTTTAACGCCGCACTCAGCTATACTCGAGCTATGTGACGGCGGTCTGTAAATAATCGAGTCTGGATCAGAAAATCCAGTGATTGACACCATGAGCATCGATCTACGTAATTGGGATACGATGACATATATCAACCTAGTCAGCGAGCCTGACCACCCGATCCCGTTAGTCGCCTCTTACGACAAGCATGGGTTGCTGAAGACTTATTCTAACTTGGATCTTCATGGGTATATCTGGGCTGGATAGTAACTAAATTTAGAACAGGTAAGGGACCGGTCATTTAGTTCAGCGGGGTAATATACTGAAAACAATTACCCCCCCCCAATACCTGTCCGATTTTTTTGAATGTCCTTGTACATTATTTTTAAGACACTAACTCAATTTGTTATATTATAAAATGTGGTCTCATGGCCCACGTAATATGTATATTAGATTTTATAACCCTCCCGAATTTCTTTTTGGGGGGACCCTCCCCGAATCCATCTGATCTCCCTCCACCCCAAACCCCCACCCTTTATCATATATGACCGGTTCCTTTTACATTAATAATTTTTATACATTTAGACTGTATAAAACCTGTCGACAGTGGACAGTGAAATAACTAGATTACGTAAGTCTCACTGATGAGACTGAAGAGAGCTGAAGGTAGGTGGTTCGATGTGTTAATATATGACACTTGTTGTTGTCCTGCCTGGTGCTCGCATTAAGGGTCTAAAACAAGGACTGGTCGGCTCGGAGTCAGTATACTGTGCCTGAGCGGGGTATCCATGTTAAAATGGGGCATACTATCTCACCGGGCTGGTACTATCGAACCGGCATCAGTTGTGAATAGTACAACACGTGAGTGAGTGGGCGAATATTGTTTTACGCCGCTTTTAGCAAAATTCCAGCAATATCACGACGGGGAACGCTAGAAATAGGCTTCACACATTGTACCCATGTCGGGAATCGAACCCGGGTCTTCGGCGTGACAAGCGAATGCTTTAACCACTAGGCTACCCGACCGCCCCGAATAGTACATCAAGCCAGGCACGCATTCATACGTACATGCAGCTCCTTATATAGGTGTAATAATTTTGAACGCGACGTTAAACCTCAATTTCACCTTACCTCTCTCTTACATTAGCAAGTTGTAGAGTTGACCTGAGCCCACTCTAGTAGATCTAAAGTATGCAACGTTAGCTAGTCACAGGCTGTTCCAGCTAAGAAAATAAATACTAAAGGTTCTACTCACAGAGGCGGGAATGGGTGTGGCCACTTCCTTCACAGCGTCGGGCTTGGCCGGTTTGTCAGTGGAGTTGATGTACTTCAGCGCACGTTTGCTTGGGTCACGTGACCTGTCGGTGACCTCTGAACTCTTCTGAATGCTAACGCCGAAGATGTCTTCGTGGAATCGGTTTGCATCCTGGAAAATGGTGAGGTTGATTAAAATTTGGAATCCCATTAAATCTGCCTAACTACTATCATGAACATGACATCTGTTCAAGGGGACGCTACTCTTTCCCAAATGGTATGGTGTTGTTGTTCTTTGTTTAACGCCGCACTCAGCAATATTCCAGCTATATGAGGGCGGTCTGTAAATAATCAAGTCTGGACCAGACAATCCAGTGACTGACATAATAAGAATCAATCTGTGCAACTGGAATACGGTGACATGCATCGATTCTGGACCAGACAATCCAGTGATTGACATCATGAGCATCGATCCACACAATAGGGATATGATGACATGCATCAACCAAGTCAGCGAGACTAACCACCCGATCTTGTAAGTCGCCTCATACAATAAGCATAGTCGCCTTTTACTGCAAGCATGGGTTGCTGAAGAACTATTCTGATATAACCCTGGCTTCGTGGAGCACTGTCCCAATTTCAGGAAGTTGTCACGTGACATTTAAAATACCTTAGTGTTACTGACAGCTAGACCACCTCAAAGGGGGCACTAATTTTAGTTCGTTATAACCGTAGTTCGTTATAAGCATATGTATATAGCATATATACAGCAGTGGTCGGGACAAAAAAAGTTCGTCATATCCGTCAGTCCGTTATAAGTGTGTTCGTTATAAATGTAGTTTACTGTACAATGTGCAGTTTGATCAACCGATCAACCAACTTTGCATCTATCTCAATCCTTTCGATATTATTGTCAAACACATTTTTAAAAAAGATCATTTATACACAAAACGCCTGAGGCTCGGAACGTGTATTTTTCGCGAACACATGTCATCACTGATTTTCAGTGATCCATTCATGTAATGTTCCCAGTTATTTTGGCTTTTACACCAAAAGGAAATTGTTTTATTTCCATGAGAAACTCTTTGAGTGTTCTGACCACCAAGAGGTAAAGCGTCCGCCCGGAGAGCGGAAGGTCCGGGGTTCGATCCCCGACCGCGTCATACCAAATACGTTAAAAGATGGTACTTGTTGTTACACTGTCTGGCGACATGGCATCTCAGTGGGCTAGCATTATAAAATCGGCATTAGTCGCTAGATAAGTGCAATAATCTTGGACGTGACGTTAAGCCCAATTTCACCTTTCACCATATTGTCAGCTTACCCTCAGTTTGAGGACGAAGGCTCTGGCAGTGTCTGGCGTTAATCCCCCTTCCTCACAGAGGATCCGCTCCAGGGTTCGCGTGACGTCATCAGCCATCGATACGTCACCGCACACGTAGAAATGTCCGCCACATTTCATCATAGCATGACAAACATCCTTGGCGTTCGTATGGAGTATATCTTGCACGTACACCTGAAGAAACACAAAACAGTGTCAAGAGAAGCGTATGTCACGTACATCGGAATCTGTATCTCACAATACACGAGATGTGTTTGATCTCACAATACACCAGATCTGTTTGATCTCACAATACACGAGATATGAACAGTTATATCTCACAGTACACGCGATCTGATATATCTCACAATACACGTGATACGTCATATCTCACAAAACGCGAGATCTCTTATACATCACAATACACAAGATTTGTATATATAACAATACACGAGATCTGTTTTTCTCACAGTACACGACATCTTTTATATCTCACAATACACGAGATCTGTCATATCTCACAGTACACGAGATCCCTTATACATCACAATACACGAGATTTAAAAATATCAAAGTACACGAGATATCTCATATATCACAATACACGAGATCTGGCATATCTCACAGTACACGAGATGTTATATCTCACAATAAACAATATATGTTGTATCTCACAATACACGGGCTCTGTTATATCTCACAATAAACGAGAATAGTTGTGTCTCACAATACTCGGGATCTGTCATATCTCGCAATACACGAGATTTGTCTATATCACATTGCACGAAATCTGTCATACCTCACAATACACGAGACTCTGTTATGCACCTGCCATATTTCTGGAGTCATGACATCCACACAAAGAGGTGGTTCTATCAAAGGAATATTTATTTTCTCTCCAGGTTTTCTTTTCCTAAAATTAATATTTTCGAGTCGAGGTGGTACAGAAACGAAGCCGAAAAAAACATTTAGAAAGCTAGCCTCTAATTAGTTCAAGAACACACGCATTCTTCAGTTATAATTTGTGGTCAAAGCAAGCTCACGGTTCTCTGGACTTCATCCCCTATGGGTGAGTCAGTTGTGTTTAACGCCGCTTTTAACAGTATTCCAGTTATATCACGGCGTGTCAGCTTAATGTGGGAGGAAAGCCCGAAGTGATGCAGGTCTCAGACGTTTACCACTTCGGTGAAACCCACGAGCACGGGTATGGTGCTGTAAAACCTAGAAACATAATTGGGGCGAACCGGGATTCGAACCCACAATCATAGGTTTCTGGCGTGCCCAAGGGACGCAACTCTGCACAGCGAATCGCGGCGCCTTAGACGACTGGGCCACCCGTGATGTGGTATGACTTTCACGCAGAGATAGAACGTATCGGAGTAAATGATCTGGTTATAATGAGATTGCCATAACAAACTATTTGATGATTAGGTTGCGGCCCGCCCCTTAACATTCGTCACCACTCGCCCCTTTCCGTAACCAATAAGAGGACCCGTCCCCCTATCTATGAGTGTTATGTGCGGAAACACGTGAAACCAATCAGAATGCGTGTATGACTTCAAGTACTTCCGTCAAAGAATCCCTCCGGAATTTCTTTTTCATTTTACACGTTTTGCATTTAAAAATATACCCAAGGTATAGTTAATGTGTTCAATCATTCTGTATAATACTAAAACTCCCGATGTGTTTTCAATAGCATCTGGAATATAAATGATATATGGGGAAAATACATTACGCAAAGAGTTGACAAGTCTCTCAGCTATGCCCGTTTGCGCTTAGACGGAACCCAGTCGCAAAATGGCCACGAGAGCGGAACGAGTCGTTTGGGTTCGTCTCGGAATAACACAAGTTGTCACGAATGGGCCCTCACAGGTACCTTTGACTTGCCCGGCTCTCGCGAGAGGGCGACGTAATAGTTGGACATGACCCCTTCCTCCTTCAAGAGCTTCAACTCCTGCTCATAGATGTTATCCTCCGTCGACATCCGGCAGCCGAAATACATGTACATGCCTCCCCAGCCCCGCTTCTCGCCGTCTGGAAACAGTCAAAAGTTGTACATTAGAGACAAGAACCTGATACACATTGGCAGGTTTCAGTGAGAATAGTGAATGAGCGAGCAAGTGAGTTTGGTTAAACGCTGCTTTTAACAGTATCCAAGTTTTATCACGGCGTGTCAGCTTAATGTGGGAGGAAAGACAGAAGTGATGCAGGTCTTAGACGTTTACCACTTCGGTGAAACCCACGAGCAAGGGTATGGTGCTGACACACCTAGAAACATAATCGGGGCAAACCTGGATTCGAACCCTCGATCATCGGTTTCTGGTGAGCCGATAGATTTCTGTGCGACGCCTTCGACTGGGCCCCACCCCCCACCCCCCACCCCCCACCCACCCATGAAGCCGAGTGGCTCCCACTTGTTAAAGCAAGACCAACAGATCGTTGAATACAGGCCAGCGTGCTTTTGCAATTATAGTCACCTTTTCATTATGGATGATAAAGAAAAAAATCATAGTTTATTTTCTCAGGGTATATAGTACTTGGAAAGAAACCATATTTTGTTTTGTATATTGCAAAACCGATCGTACGTATCATTTCTGTTTGAAGTAGAGTAGTTTCCTTCGTTACCGTACTGAGAAAAGGTTTTGTATTTAGCTGACGGCATGACTTTATGTTTTGGAAGTTTGTTGTCGAAACTTAACTTTAAATAAATTATTATTTTAATAAATAATTATATGATATAAATTAATAATTATAACAATCATCAAAATAACTGTGAACATTACACTAGATCTATCAATAAAGCACAGCAGCTTGACTATGATATCTTAAGTGATCAGTTGTACACACCAATGAGTCAAACAGCCCTTTGGTAAAAAGGAGTAGACACTGATATGTATTATGACATCAATATTTATCTTCAACTACGGTTTACTTGTTCTTCTTCAAAAATATATATGTATGCGTGTTTAAATAATTAAAATATATATACATGCATGTTTGAATAATTAAAATTATATATATACATGCTTTTTCAAATAATTAAAAATATATATACATGTATGTTTAAATAATTATAAAAATGCATACATGAATTTTAGTATTGGGAAATTTCGGATTACACATTTTTTTGTAATCCATGAAAACATTCGGAAACCCACAGGTTATTTTCCCGCCGTCACGAAAGAGTTAACTGTCTGAGCTAAGATTAATGTCACAAGTATTGTAACGTTGCGATTGGTTCAAGAATAGCTCTTATACCAGTCGATTTTTTTGTAGTAATTTGCTGAGATTTGTTTAAGCTCACCTTCGTGAATAGGCTGCAGAGTATCGAAACGGAATGGAGATATGATTATATGAATAATCTGGGGTGTACCCGAGGTTATATTGTACTCACGTGTGGGGACCGGGTGCATGTCTCGGTCCACCTTACGTTGTTGCCAGAAGCTCCGGAAGGGTGCGATGCCGGTACCCGGACCAACCATCACCATCGGCAACGTGCTGTCCTCGGGGAGCCGGAAGTTGGGGGCGCTGTTGGCGAAAAATGTCGACCATATTATCTGACTCCTACATGATTGCCTAGACAGGCAACACCATAAAGTCAATGGCTCAGTGCTGTAGCCATCAAGTGCGAAATCAACTATGCTTGAAGCATCTCCAACTCTCACTATCGGTTTGGACAGTAACGGGATGTTGCAGAGAGTAAAGGTCTCCACTCATTATATTAAACAAATTAAACCTATGACCCATGCATGTGTGTTTGTCAGCATCCATGACAAAACAGACTCAATTAAAGTAAACTATGGTTATAACGAACTCGAAGGGGCCACTAATTTTAGGTTGTTATAACCGTAGTTCGTTATAAGCCTATGTATAGCATATATATAACAGACGTGAAATGGGGTTTAACGTCGCGTGCAAGGTTATTGCACGTATAAAGCGACGTGCATGTACGTGTGTGTGTTTGTGTGGCTGCTTGTACTAGTCCGGACTGATGCCGATTTATAGTGCTAGCTCACTGAGATACCATGCCGCAGTTTAACATGAATACCCCACTCAGACACAGTATACTGACTCCGAGCCGACCAGTCCTTGTTTTAGCCCCTTAATGCCGAGCGCCAGACAGGGTAAAAACAAGTACCATTTTTTAACGTCTTTTGGTATGACGCGGTCGGGGATCGAGCCCCGGAACTTCCGCTCTCCGGGCGGACGCTCAACCACTAGACCACGGAGGTGGTCTTTTAGAGACAGCTTCCTGCATCAGCTTGCGCATCTCCAGGTAACTTCCTGAATTCCTGACATGCGCATATCGATGTTTTGTTACAGTTGTTTGCAAACCTTATGACCTCTGCTTTTAAGATGCATATGTGGGGAATCATAGACGGTTCACATTGACACCTTTTTGTAAGGGCTAAAAAGCGACAATGAGGAACCGCGTCAACGCGACAATGTCCCTTTGAGGATTCCATACATATAATGTTATAATCATGCAAAAGACTACTCACGCTCTGATAACACAGGGAACGACCTCGCCGGTGTCACACCTATTGAGCCAACAGGAACACACGCCCTCGTGAACTGGGCCAGCACCACCTACAACACCACGACATCAACTACAGGCTTCAAATCAACGTTTATGGTTTGCTCAATATGTGCATGTTTTGTTGTTAAATACATCAGGGATGAATACAGACTTGCTCAGAGGCCGATATTGAGCCAAAAGTCTGCAACAGAAGTTTGTAAACATTTCAAAATTGGCATTTACGAATTCCCAATTCATAATATGAAACTAATATTATGGCTTAGTTTGCATTTTACCGGTAACAGGACCAGATTATGCATATTTGCTTTGGTTTAAGTTATTGAATGCCGTAACTAGCAACTGTGCTTGTCGTATGAGGCTTAAAACGGTATCGGGTGGTCAGGATCGCCGACTTGGTTGATGCATGTCACCGTATCCCAATTGCGTGGATCGATGCTCATAATGGCAATTATTTACAGAACGCCGTCATATACACATGTAGCTGGAATATTGCTGAGTTCGGCGTTAAACAACAAAGAAACAAAGAAACAAAAAAGTAATTGAATTGAATGCAATGTTAAAACACTCTGACAAAATCAAAATCAAAATTTTGTATAAAAAAGATTTTCTTTTCAAATTTCCTAATATAACCAAAACTAATATGGAAACGTCTGTTAATAGACCATTAGAAAAAAAACGAGTTTTAATTTTTCGTATTAATACAACACAAACAGATTAATATCTGTTGATTCACCACATTGCAAATAATACATCTTAAGATACATACATAATATTACGTCATGTTAAATACGCGCCCTTATTTATTTATAAGTTGATGTTCTATCAGGCTACCTTGGGTCCTGTATTTGACGACGGCGATGGTGGCGTGCACCTCCCCGGGGTAGGAGTAGGGGGAGGAGCTGATGCTGTAGTAACGCTGCTGAAGGAGGGGGAGCTGCGTCATCAGCAGTGACGGCGGGACCTTGAGGGAGGGGAACTCGTCCAGCACCTCCACCAGTGTGGGCATGTTGTCGTACTTCCAGTCCTCGTAGGCGTGGGATTCCTGCACATGAAGGACAGACTCTGTTTGAGGAATTACGGATTTTGTGTCCCAAACTTCAAGTCGGTAGGTCGAAAAATTAAATTCCAATTTAATTTTTTTTTTTTTCGTGAATCTCAAAATGTAAGTAGGTAGAAAAAACAGGTGGGGGCGGGGGAATAGGGGATCGCAATAATTCGTTGTGTTTTAATTTTTTTTACACGTTTTAATGATACAATTTTAATTTATTTGTACTGATAGGGACAGAAAATGATGGTTTATGGTAACATTTTACTTACTTCTGGTGGGGTGATTATGAAACACTGCTTTTTTAAAATTATTTTGCACATTTTTAGAGTCGGGAGAAAACAAAGTTTTAAAAGGTGTATTCATGGGTGAGTGTTTAACCGCATATCGAAAATAACATGATGTGTCAGTTTATTGAAGAAGGAAAATCTAAAGTGATGCAGATCAGGATGTGTACTATTTTGACGAAATTAACAAGAATGGGTGTGATGCTGACAAAACCAAGGTTCATATTCGGATCTAATATTGGATTCAGACACACGCAGAGCAGTCACTGGGAAACATGTGCTCTTGCATACGAAGGATTACATTTTCTTTTATATCTTTGTAATTATAAAAAACTTTATGACTACCAATAAATATGCACGACAAACACATGCTACAGTATAAAATAACACATCTGTTGAAGAACAAATCCAAGATTTGACATAAGTTACACCATGAGTGAGTGAGTGAGTTGGGTTTAACGCCGATTTTAACATAATTCCAGTTATATCACGGCGTGTCAGCTCAATGTTGGAGGAAAGTCCGAAGTGATGCAGGTCTTAGACGTTTACCACTTCGGTGAAACCCACGAGCACGGGTATGGTGCTGACAAACCTAGAAACATAATCGGGGCGAACCGGGATTCGAACCCACAATCATAGGTTTCCGGCGTGCCGAAGGGACGCAACTCTGCACAGCGAATCGCGGCGCCTAAGACGACTGAGCCACCCGTGCCCCCTCACCATGAGTTTGGCCAACATTATATATGACAAATCTTACGAGCGCTTCCAGCAATAGCTGATTTCGCTCCATGGCTACTCACGCTCGACAATAGCTCCAGCCTTTCCTTGTCCTCGTCACGTGTTGCTTGAGTAGCCAATAGCTTGAGCAGGGCCTGGGAGGGGGGCGTAGTTACATCCAAATACCTCATGAACGCCGTACGCAGTGAACACTGTGGCATCTTCTCGAACTTCATCCAGTTCTTAACAGACCCTAATCAAGATTAAGATGTCAAAATAACTACGTCATCCAATTAAATACGTGATGACTTCTAAATGGTTTTAACCCAATTCTTGAAAGATATCCACGCACGAGTCAAAAGAAGACAATGTAAATAAAGATTTGAATAGCATCCTCATCATTACTAGTTCGGGTATATTCATCGATATCCGAAGAGATTCTGTCATACGCGAAACGTGCTTGTTACATTTCTAAATGCAATAGAAAATGTTAAATGTATCATGAAGAATGGCAATTAAGTGGAAAAGTATTATTGACCAGGTTAGTATTATATTTTTCTGTCACATATGAAGATTTAAGAAGACAAATAACCTTAAAATACAATCTGCGCGCCATCTTAATAATTTAATAATTTATATCTTGTTTGGTTGTCCTTATATATATAACCATAACCTAGCACTCAGTTGGCGAGCACTATCAAACCGGTAATAGGTGAGGTGAAATTGGGTTTAACGTCGCGTCCAAGATTTTTGCACTTATATAGCGACGTGCATGCACGTGTGTGTGTGGCTGCTTGTACTAGTCCGGACTGATGCCGATTTATAGTGCTAGCACACTGAGATACCATGCCGCAGTTTAACATGAATACCCCACTCAGACACAGTATACTGACTCCGAGACGACCAGTCCTTGCTTTAGCCCCTTAATACCGAGCACCAGACAGGGTAACAACAAGTACCATCTTTAACGTCTTTTGGTATGACGCGGCCGGGATCGAACCCCGGACCTTCCGCTCTCCGGGCGGACGCTCTACCACTAGACCACGGAGGCGGTCTCCAAACCGGCAATAGCTCGGACTAGTACAAGTAGCTACACACACAACAAACAAGTTTTGCAGAAGGAAACTAGACCAAAGTCATTCAAGTGTTGCCAGACTCTAACCCTGACGTTCATACCGAGCGGAGTTGCCTTCTCCTGAAGGACCTCTGTCTTCACGACTTGGTCGGGAGGAGGCGCATTGTGCAAACGAGCCAAGATGGCCTCCACAAGTTCTGGTGAGTTTGCAGGGTAGATTCCGATGTGGTCTCCAGGATGATATAACATTTCGATGGCTCCCTGTGTATCAAGGCGAACCAAAATTGTCTGTCGGCTGGAAAACATGAGAAGGTAAAGTTAGTCAACAGATACGGAAGTGTGTGAACAGTGATTCCTTTCCTGCAATAAACCGCGATCACGACCTGTCCGAAACATCACCTTTATAAAAACAATATGATAAATAAATAAACATAAATAAAGTGTGGTGTGTGGTGAGGTGTGGTGCGGTGTAGGCTGTGGTGTGTAGTATGGTGCAGTGCGATGTAGGCTGTGACGTGGTCAGGTGTGGTGTGGTGTGGTGTGGTGTGGTGTGGTGTGGTGTGGTGTGGTGTGGTGCGGTGCGGTGAAGGCTGTGGTGTGGTCAGATATGGTGATGTGTGGTGTGGTGTAGGCTGTGGTGTGGTCAGGTGTGGTGCGTGATGTGGTGCAGTGTAGGCTGTGGTGTGGTGTGGTCAGATATGGTGATGTGTGGTGTGGTGTAGGCTGTGGTGTGATCAGGTGTGGTGCGTGGTGTGGTTCGGTGTAGGCTGTGATGTGGTGCGGTGTAGGCTGTGGTGTTGTGCAGTTTAGGCTGTGATGTGGTCAGGTGTGGTGTGGTCAGATATGGAGATGTGTGGTGTTGTGTTTGTGGTGTGTGCGGTGTAGGCTATGGTGTGATCAGGTGTGGTGCGTGGTGTGGTGCGGTGTAGGCTGTGATGTGGTGCGGTGTAAGCTGTGATGTGGTGTAGGCTGTGGTGTGTCGCGGTGTAGGCTGTGGTGTGGTGTGGTGTGGTGTGGTGTGGTGTGGTGTGGTGCTTAGTAGGCTGTGGTGTGGTCAGGTGTGGTAACAAGCATGTCGGTCCTTCCCAAGGACGACACATACATTCTCTGTGCCTTAGAATGTGAGGACACGACATGCGTTGCGGTGTGGTGTTAGTTGTCGTGTAGGACTTGGTCCGGGTCGGTGGGGTGCGGTGCGGTGCGGTGCGGTGCGGTGCGGTGCGTGTTGTGTGGTGTACAGGAGTCACAGGAAGTCGAGGGAGGCAGGTGTGTGTGGTGGGGGGGAGGGGGGGGGGGGGGGGGGGGGTATGAGGGATGCAGATACTCACGGCGACTCTTGAGTCTGCAGCTGCGTCCTCTCTATCACCTTACACGGCATCACGGCTTTACTGTGTAGCTTGGCGAGAGCTGGGGACAAGACGTTCAGATATATCAACACATACCCTAAGGATTACATCATGCTAGATTCCCGCGTTAGGGTACCCAGACGACGTCAATACATACGTCGAGCGAACGTTATAACCACTAGTCTTGAACTATTTTATTACACTCACTATTGGGAAAATTCCATTCCATGTCGTTAGACATCAAACTCCCGTATTTCCCGAAATGTGATACACCATGTTCCTACATACTATTATAAAGGACACTTACGTGGCTGACTTGTGTTACGCTTGATGTAGATGTGGTTAACACTGGTCTAGTCACAGGTAAAATTACCAATGCTGCCGATTTATGCCAGGGTTGCGTCCCTTAGGCGTTCCAGGAACTAGGGTCGTGCGTGCGACTTCCGGTTCGTCCTATTTACTTTATATTCCCCGGTCTGTCAGCACCATGTTTGTTGGTTTCACCAAATTGGTAAAGGTCTGAAACCTGCATCACTTCACTTTCCGCCCACATCAAGCTGGGACGCCGTAATATGAGTGAAATGCTGTTGAAAATGGCGTTAATCCCAACTCACACACTCACTCCACCTACCTTCACACACGTCCTGCTCCTTCTCGTGGTCCATGGGCGTGATACGGAACTTGCCCGGGGTCCACGTGTTGTCCGCACTGGACAACGCCCCCTGGACCTCCGACATGTTGATGTCGTCGCCGAGGCAGAAGGTATCACAGGCGGCCTGTAGTGAAATAGAGGTAGATTAGTCCGTACCTAGGTTAGAGTAGCTGAGCAATACACTGTTGTGTCGAACATTGATGTGTCGAACTTTGATGTGTCGAACTTATGGTTGTCTCGAAGTAAAAGCTTGGTCCCTAAATATTCCTTATTTATCTATCATACTCGGTTGTGTCGAACATCGGATAACTCGAAGCATCAACTTCGACACAACAGTGTTTGACTGGATATATTGTACTTGCTTACTGTTGCAATACACGATCCGTTCCCTGGCAACATCCCGTATAAGCATGTTTAACACTAAGCAATACTCCCCTGTATGTAAAGGATAAATGCTTGACGAGACAACCAGTGGTTGATATTAGGAACAACGACTACGCCGTCGGGTACAATGGCACACAAACAGCAAAGTCACATTAAATACCCTATTCGTCTGACTCACATTGAAGACCCCATGTCCAGTCCCTTGCTGTATCTGACTCACATTTAAGACCATATAACTAGTCCAAGGGTGTGCCTGACTCACATTTAAGACTCTATGGCCAGTCCCTTGCTGTGTCTGACTCACATTCAAGACCACATGCCCGAACCAAGGGTGTATCTGACTCACATTTTAGACTCTATGCCCAGTCCTTTGCTGTATCTTACACACATTTAAGACCACATGCCCGGTCCAAGGGTGTGCCTGACTCACCTTAAAGACCCCTTGCGCCCAGTTTCGGAAGGACTCCTCTTGTCCACACAGCTCGTCTCCCTCCCCGATGTCATAAATCTTCTCTCCCCCGAGCTCCCTCAGCACAGTGTCCACATAGTGGCCGAAGGCACAGAAGCTTGGGTAGGCCCGTGACCCCAGCCCGAACACTGAAAATCTGCAACACCAGGCGTTGACGGTAACATATGTCGAAGAATATATTTCAAACGAGCGGCTTAACTAAGCCACCAATAATTGTTATGCAGAGTTGCACCCATCAGCAGATCCCATCTTCCCGAGGCAAGGGAGTTAACTGACTCTAAAGGTGGAAACTGGAAACTTTACAGTCAGTTACCTCCCTTGGATCGGGAAGATGGTAGATCCAGGATCCGCTGGTCGGATTTTAGAATCAATTGTCCCTGTGTATGATCCCAACGTTTTGGGGGGTTCTTATTCCTCATTCTTATGTCAGCCCCACATGAAACCCATTAAAGGTGAGGTAAGGTGAAATGGGGTTTGACGTAACGTCCAAGATTATTGCACTTATATAGCGACGTGCATGCACGTGTGTGTGTGTATATGTGTGTGTGTGTGACTTCTTGTACTAGTCCGGACAGTGCCCACTGAGATACCATGGCGCAGTTTAACATGAATACCCCAGTATACTGACACCGAGCCGACCACTCCCTGTTTTATCCACTCAATGCCGAGCGCCAGGCAGGTAACAACAAGTACCATCTTTTAACGTCTTTTGGAATGACACCGGGAATCGAACCCCGGATCTTCCACTCTCCGGGCATACGCTCTACCATTAGACCACGGAGGTGGTCCATATTAATGGCAATACATTGATGTAGATGTAATATGTATGAGTGAGTGAGTGAGTATTGTTTTACGCCGCTTTTAGCAATATTCCAGCAATATCACGGCGGGGGACACCAGAAATGGGCTTCACACATTGTACCCATGTCGGGAATCGAACCCGGGTCTTCGGCGTGACGAGCAAACGCTTTAACCACTAGGCTACCCGACCGCCCCTGTAATATGTATGCCTACAGCTGCAATGATGTAGTAGTACAGTGAGTGTAGCTGTAATAATGATGTGCGAAGTCGCACTGTAGTTTAATGGTGCTGACTACGTGGTATGAAACAAGCTGATACGTTGTCGAGCACAGCAGGGGAGATGTCGAGGTAGGAGTACCTGATGTTCCCAAGAGGACCCGTCTCCATCTTGAGGTTGTCGTCATCGTTGTCGCCGTTCAAGGCGTTGTCGTTACTGGGGCGGATATCTTTGTCACTCGACGAGCTCATGCGGTACATGGACGACTTCAGGTCCCCGCTGGAGTGAAATGTGAAATATATACATGATTCTGGCAATAGAAATACCACAGATGAAAGATATTTGAATGTGAAAGACTAAGGATATTTTTAAATTGGATGCTGAAGATGAAAGATATCTTCAATTTGAATGCGAAAGACTAATGGTATTTTTAATTTGGATGCTAGAGATGAATGATATTTTCATTTTGGTGCAAAAGATGAAAGATATCTTCAATTTGGATGCAAAAGATGAAAGATATCTCAATTTGAATGCAAAAGATGAAAGCTATCTTCAATTTGGTGCAAAAGATGAAAGCTATCTTCAATTTGGATGCAGAAGATGAAAGATATCTTCTGTTTGGATGCAAAAGATGAAATATATCTTTAATTTGAATGCAAAAGATGAAAGATATCTTCAATTTGGTGGAAAAGGTGAAAGATATCTTCAATTTGAGTGCTACAGATGAAAGATATCTTCAATTTGAATGCTGAATAGTATTTCAATTCAGAAAAAAATAACTGATCATACGGCAGTTGAATAATATTGTCAATGATATCATTCAGATATGATATCCAAGGTACACATTATTGCATCTTATGTTTCACACACCAAGGGAATTCAAGGAATCAAGCTACATTCCTCGCAAAGACATTGCGTCAGGAAATACTCTGAAACTGCGTTAAAAAGATATTTTACGACACTTCATCCATTTATGAGGACGGGTCGGTTTTGTTTGTTTGTTCTTGAACATGGACTCAATAATATTCAAGCTATATCACAGCGGTCTGTAAATAATCTAATCTGGACCAGACAATCCAGTGATTGACATCATGAGCATCGATCAGCTCAAATTTGATACGATTGTAAACCTAGTCAGCGAGCCTGACCACCCGATCCCGTTAGTCGCCTCTTTCGACAAGCATGGGTTGCTGAAGACCTACTCTTACCCGGATCGTCACGGGGGAGGTCGCAGTGTCACCCGTACTTACTTGTTACTTCCTTCCGGGTGTTTCATTTCAAACAGACTCTTCGCAAAAGCCTAAAACAGATGTAACAAAAATAAATGTGATTAGGATGCAATACGATCGATGGTGGATGTAGCATTGTGAGTGAAAAGTGGTTGCCATCTTGAGAAGCAACGCCAATTACTCTAAAGGGTTTGCTTCCATTGTCTTTTGGTATTCACCCATCAGCGGATAATATCTGTTGGCCTTCCTTGCTTGTTTCCACCGTTTGTTATCTTACATGTACATATATCTGCTCTCTCTCTGCCTCATGGCATTCATTCACCTGATGGAGGTGTAAGCATATACTTCGAGACGTTGTGTTTCCTTATAATAAAGAAGTTGACATCCATAAATTCTCCTCCTTATGTGTATCACTTGTAAATGCCATTCAAAGATAATGTTAACAGCGCTCTATCTCGGAGACTTTTGGAGTGGAAATCGAACATGAGAGAACCGTACCGACGCTTATTCAGCACTCAAAGAAATCTTCCACGGTTTTGTTGTTTAAAATCTAATTTGATATAAAACTTTTAAAAATGAAAATACACAACTGCTGATAGGTATCCTAAACATCATATCTTGAAAATCAATAAAGTTGGGTTTTTAGGCAGAAATTTACATTTCAAAGATGGTTGACGAAATTGTTTTTTACCCCAGTATTCATAGATCATGAACCAATATATTTTTAGAAATTGATTCTTACCCAAGTATTCATAGAACATGAACCAATATATTTTTTAGAAATTGATTTTTAGCCCAGTATTCATAGATCATGAACCAATATATTTTTAGAAATTGATTTTTACCCCAGTATTCATAGATCATGAACCAATATATTTTTAGAAATTGATTTTTACCCAAGTATTCATATAGAACATGAACCAATATATTTTTTAGAAATTGATTTTTAGCCCAGTATTCATAGATCATGAACCAATATATTTTTTAGAAATTGATTTTTAGCCCAGTATTCATAGATCATGAACCAATATATTTTTTAGAAATTGATTTTTAGCCCAGTATTCATAGATCATGAACCAATATATTTTTAGAAATTGATTTTTACCCCAGTATCTATAGATCATGAACCAATATATTTTTCGAAATTGATTTTTACCCCAGTATTTATAGATGATGAACCAATATATTTTTCGAAATTGATTTTTACCCAAGTAGTCATAGAACATGAACCAATAAATGTTTACACAAAACTACCCACAACAGACTACAATAGATAAACTACTGCAGGAATGAGTGGTGGTTAAATAGACATAATCAAATTTAACAACAGTTCTTTCACACTTCAATTACATAAAAAAACTCGGTGTACTTTCTTTTGCCCCTCAGTTTGTGTGTAACATTGCTTTTACCTCGCCGTTCTCTGGAGGATCGCCGTTGCCGAAGGTGCTGGTAACGATGAGGACGAGGGCTTCGTGTTCGAGGTCGATGATGTCGTACTCCTCCATACACAGCACCTGTAGGAGGATGGGGAATTAGTCGTCTACGTGAGGTTTTATACACCCCAATGTATATTCATACATATTAATTTGTCTCAATCAAAGGGCTATTTACCACTTCACATAGTTATTTTTCAAATTCAAAGGGTTATTTACAACATCAAAGGGCTATTTAGGCAGTGACTGGCTATTGTTTTAAACTATATTCAGGACTAATCTGGCCTTACCATGAGGGCTGTAAATAATCGAGTTTGAGCAAGACAAACCGGGGGCTGATATCATGAGCAAAGATTCACCTGAGAGGGGTCAGTAAATGACGATCAACCACGTCAGGCATGACGAGAAACATGCACTGGAGTTCAGTTTTCACCGGAAATCCCTACTAAGGGACACGGATGAGTATAATTTTACGCCTCTTCCAGCAGTCTCACGGCGGGGGACACCAGAAATTGGCTTCACACATTGTACCCTGTGAAGAATTGAACCCGGGTCTTCGGCGCGACAAGCTAACGCCTTAACCGCTAGACTACCCCAACCCCCCTCTGAGGGACAAGGGGTGGGGACGTATTCCTCTCAGAAATTCAACGGGACTCTTCCTATCAAGTACACACAGATCTTGTAGGTATTTTCGGGACGGCCATTGTACAGAGCGTACCCGTGAAAATCCGGGTTAGAATTTGTCTTCAGCAACCCATGCTTGTCGTAAGAGGCGACTGACGGGATCGGGTGGTCAGGCCCGCTGACTTGGTTGATGCATGTTATCATATCCCAGTTGCGTGGATCGATGCTTATGGTCGATTGCTGGATTATCTGGTTCAGAATTGACTTTTTTTTTGCCGCCGTCATAGCGTGAATATTGCTGAGTGCGGCGTTTTACAATACACAAACAGAGCGACATTTACCTTAGCATCGAAGCCGTGTTTGAAGATCTCACAGAGAGTCCTGGCGAACCTCTCGGACTTGCCTGTCTCCGTGGCGTACAGAACGATACACTTCACTCTCCGCGCCAGAGCCTTACCCATCAACTTGGCCGAAAACTTCACAGCCCTGGGGACAGTTAACACATTAACGTTTTCTAAAAGTCAGTAACTATATTTGACAAATTAACATCAATTACGCAAACCGTTTCTGCTAAAAGTGACGTTTATGAAATGAGACAAGGATGTGAATTTGATAAAGCGTTGAAACGTTCATGTACCCATTTCACGTTTAAGTCTGTCATTGGTCTCAACACCTGAATATTTTAAATAAATTATCACAGCTGACGTAGCGAAAAAACACAAATGTGAAAGCCAATTGACCAGAGCCTAGGGCACCTTCTCGAGCGCCATGGATCTCAATGAAAGTTATTATTTGCGCCAATTTTAAATAATTAATTACTATCAGTTAGCGAGTTATCTCCCCTCAACCACATACCTGGCTAGTTCCCTGAAACCAAACTTCCGCTTTGGTCGGTCTAATGACTTGGCCTTGTCGCCACGATCCTTCTTCCAAATGTGGGATTTCCAGGGGTCTTCCTGAAAAGATAGCACAGAGCTAGGTTTGAACCACATGGGTGTACAAAAAAAAATTGATCTTTCGAAACACTTTCGTCGGTTCTTATTACAGAACAATATTTTCACCAACGTCATATGTACAAGAAAAAATGTCATTAAGTTTATAAAACAAAAAAGCGGCTTGTTAGAAATTTTGCGAACGCTTCCAACTTTTGTTGATTGTGTCTTTGTTGTTTGGCGCCTCACTCAGCATTTTTTTCAGATTATGACGAAAGTACGTACATAATCGAGTCTGGGCCAGACAGTCCAGTGATTGACATCATTAGCATCGACCTACGCCATTGGGATACGATGACATGCATCAACGTCAGAGAGTCTGACCACACGATCCCGTCAGTCGCCTCTTAGGACAAGCATGGGTTGCCGAAGGCCAATTCTAACCCGGATCTTCACAAGGGTAGTGCATTCGTGACCAACTCGTGTTATTCCGGGACAAGCCGAATAGCGACTCATGCCCATCTCATGGCCATTTTTGCGACCGGGTTCCGTCTCAGCGCAAACGGGCATACCTAAACAATTGTCAACTCGTTGCGTAATGGTTCACATGTATTTCCCCATATTTCAGATGCAATTTAAAGCACATCGGGACATGCGGAATTATACAGTATGATTGAACACATTTAACTGTGTCTTGGGTATATTTTTAGATGCAAGACATATGTAAAAAAATCAAAAATTATTTCTGAGGGATTCTTTGACGAAGAACTTGAAATCATACGCGCATTCTGATTGGTTTGTCGTATTTTCGCACATAACATTCATCGATAGGGGACGAGTCTTCTTGCAGGTTACGGAAAGGGGCGAGTGGTGACGAATGAAGGGTAGTGTTGCTTGAAATCCAGATACTTTACATACCTGATACTCATATGATGGTTTGAGCTTATACAGAAGCATTTCTTGGTGGAACACTTGTGTCATGCTCCCACTCATGGGTGGTACCACCCACACCCAGTCTGCCGGACACCCACCCCGGAGACGCTGTTCGTTCTCCAGGTGTTTGATGAACGACTCGGACGCCGCGTGGTGGTCAGTGATGGTCACGCCTGAGGACTGGAACGATATGCGGTTAAATAACTACCACGGCAAGGGTATGCGACGGTACGTATTAATAAGATAGTCGAGCGGTGTATGCTTTATCTGGTAACTTAATATAACATGCGGGATCACCAGCAATATCACCAGAAATGGGCTCGATCCTCGAAACTGTTTCAAGGTTTCAGTCATTTCCGAAGAGGAGACGTGAAGCCGATGCTTTCACACTGACATAACACTTGACGAAAAGCTCTCTTTACAAAAATCGAAAACCCATGGGACGAATAATATGCAAAAGCATGTGTGACGTTTCGATGAGTCTGTACTGACATCACACACGACAAAAAACTCTCTTTCCAAATTTGAAAAAGTCACAGGCCGAAATATCCATGTAATATCCAAGTTTCCAAAATCCGATTTAATTTCCAGGAATATTCCACATGTGGGATTATTTTGATTGCGAAGTCGTGTGAAGACTTGGATTGTCTGTAAGAAGACTGTTTTGATTGTCTTTGGCTGTGACGTCTTGGATTGTTTGTATTATGTAAACTGCTAGGCCAAAGAAACTACACACTTGAACACTGGATTGACCAAAACATTATACACATTATAAAAACGTTACGGGAGTGTAAACAGTCGCCAAAACATTGCAAAATTAAGTCCAAAACACAACTATGATACCCGGATGAAACACAGAACCATCGAGTAACCATTTAATGTTTGTTTCATCTTGAGCCACCGTCAAACATGTTTGGGAGTTACGATCGTCTTAGCACTAACGTCGTGTTGTGGAACGGGGCCCAGGGCACACGAGGACAAATGCACTGGATTTTATTCCATTCTGTAACAGTTGGTACACATCGTATCATTGAAGCCTTCAAAGACAGCTGAGCAAGAGCACTGAGCACCGGGGCCCAGGGCACACGAGGACAAATACACTGGATTTTATTCCATTCTGTAACAGTTGGTACACATCGTATCATTGAAGCCTTCAAAGACAGCTGAGTAAGAGCACTGAGCACCGGGGCCCAGGGCACACGAGGACAAATACACTGGATTTTATTCCATTCTGTAACAGTTGGTACACATCGTATCATTGAAGCCTTCAAAGGCAGCCGAGCAAGAGCACTGAGCACCGGGGCCCAGGGCACACGAGGACAAATACACTGGATTTTATTCCATTCTGTAACAATTGGTACACATCGTATCATTAAAGTCTTCAAAGGCAGCTGAGCAAGAGCACTGAGCACCGAAAACAAGACAACCTTAGATATTACCAATTGGAAAATTATATACCGTATTCGACGTAATGAGCGCCCAGGGTGCTCTCAAAATTAGAAATAGGGGGCTCTTATTAGAATAATATTTTGGTGGAAAAAGAGAGTTGAAAGATAAATTTCGTGGTTTATGCTGACACTCTGAAATGTTTATATGCGACAGATACATTTTTCCAAAATTTTATTGCCCATAATTAAGAATGCATATAACACACGAGTGCGTATTATACGCGAATAAATAAGTCTTGTGTACATTGATCATTCGGAAGGAGTGCTAATTTTGATTTTTCACTAGCCAATATATTAGCAAATATCGCCGTGTTCGCTTATTAGAGCGGGGCGCTTATTACGTCGAATAAGGTATATCCTTTTGTTTTACGGCAGTATATGTTTGAACATGTTCCCAACACTTGGTGTTGTCTGGTGTTGTGCTTTTGGTTGGAAAACCATGGTTTGGAAAATAAGTTGAAAGGTTTTCCATGTATCACTACTCAGATAATATATTCATGTGACTTACGTTGACAGTAGACAACTAATGTTCGGCTTTTGGAGACATTCTCCATGTATTTACGTCGAATATATGTCGTAGCATCATATATTGTGCCGAAGCCAACGCTATTGTAATATGTAATACTGTGGTGCAATGCAGCTACCAAGATTAACGCTCCTGAAACTTCTGTTTATCAGCTTAAAAGTGTCCTATGCGGTTGCGGGTTGGTTAAGCTCAAAGCAGGGTTCCTACCTGGAAGCTGTGTAAGACTGCAACGTTCACCTCCACTAGGGCTCGGTCACGCCACAGTGAGGAGCTCTTACGGACGTCCAAACCCATCTTCACTGCAACTTGCTGAAACACAGAATCACTACTTGTTGATGTATACATACAGGGATATTACTACAATATTACGTATACAATGATAATTTTTACCCCTAACAAATAACCCGCTGTGGTAGAGTGTATACAGTCTTTCACCACAGTGGAAGACAGCAACGGAATGCATCACTGTGCGGGGTTGCGTCCCTTGGGCACTCCAGAAACCTATGATTGTGGGTTCGAATCCCGATTCCCGATTATGTTTCTAGGTTTGTCAGCACCACACCCGTGCTCGTGGGTTTACCAAAGTGGTAAACGTCTAAGACCTGCATCACTTCAGGCTTTCCTCCCACATTAAGCTGACACACCGTGATATAACTGGAATACATTCTAAGCGGCGTAAAATCCGATGCATTTACTTACTGTATTCCTATGAAAAGCAAGCACCTGCGGGGGTCGGGCAGTTATTATGGGAGGAAACATTTAGTTTGAATCCTGACATATCTCCACTTTCTGACCTGATTCATTTCTTGATGTCGCAACAATATTACGACAATGGGGGCGAATCAAACGAATAGAAATAAATGTAGTTTTATTAGCAAATAAATAACTTGGTCGTACGAAATGGTCGTAATTGTTGCTGAAATAGACTCACATAGATTTTTCCTATTACTTATTACATTGTACATCTTTAATTAAAAAAAATAAAAAGGAAAATGTTAAGATTACAACATTTCCCCAAATGCCATGTACGCAAATCGATAAAAGCAAAATCCTTTTCTGTATGTCAGCGTTAGCGTCTGATATTTCAGTAAAGTACCCACTGTCACACACAATACCAGTTTACAACTAAACTAGATCAGTACTGACATCGAGCCACCAGTGTCGACATCCACGTAAGAATGAGTGGGCCTTAATGATTTAAAGTGGGAGTGTTGATTAAAAATCATACCGACATATCATAGGACGCTATTTTGGTCAGACCATGATGAACGTCAAATAAGGTCCAACCGGTAGGAAGACGGGACATTTTCTGGATAACTTTTGTATTGCCTATTTCTTGATAGATGATCTATATATACACACACGCGCGCGCGCACACATACATTCCTTCCTTCCTTCCTTCCTTCATACATGCATACGTATATATTTATGGTATGTTTTGCTCCTTAGTATATATATTGGCTTGCCGTAAAAAGCGAATATACTTGTCGTAAGAGGCGACTCAAGGGATCGTGTGGTCAGGCTCACTGACTTGGTTGACGCATATCATCGTATCCCAATTGCGTGGATCGATGTACATGATATCAATCACTGGATTGTTTGGTCCAGACTCGATTATTTAGTATAGAAATCCAAAGAAAGATGCGATCTATTAACAAAAAACACGGCATCCACCTACCGGCGTGTTCTCTACTGTGCCTTGACCCTATTATTACCCGCAAAGGACATATTGATTGTCTTATAGTTATGTTGTTACCATAGTCAGATCCTTGCCATGGCACCCAGACCCATCACTGACCTTCATTGTACTTATACTTGGCTTCTCTCACGTTAATCCCAGTGGCTTCCTCGCTATTTGGTTATATATGTACATTAATTCTACCTTGTGTATTCATATAAGCACGTATATATTATGTATAACTTAATACACTTTCAAATTTCACCTGACGAGGGGGCAAATGTAGCCCTCAAACGTCATTACAAACAAAAAAGAGCATGGTATCTATAAATGTTTCGTGTCTGCATGTTCTTCCAACTTCTAAATACCTATCAAAGACTCATCAAGATATTTGCGCGTGTAATTATCGTCCAGATGTTTAACCCCTCGGCTAACACAGTGGAGTGAATTGGTTTTGTTTAACGCCACTTTGAACAGTATATGAGTTATAAACTGAGGGGAAATAAAAAGTATACCGATTTTTTTATGCAATTGAAAACATGTTTGTAATATTGTAAGTTTGTGCCGAAAAGGGCAACTTTATTGATTTTCAAAACTATTTTTTTAAAATTTGTACAAGTTTCAAAACAAATTTTATTATAACTATAATACCATGTAGAAGTATTCTTTCAGTGCTGACTTATCACAGTGCAGTTATTTTGGGGATATGATATCGCTAACTTAAGATTTAAGGTTGAATTGAGACGCAAACATATGATAAAATTATCTCAAAGGTATAGTTTCTTTTGTTACTCAGATTATAACGACATGTCAGTCGGATGAGAAACCCAAGACATGGACATGGACCATAATCACGACGATCTGGATTCGAACTCAAGAACAGGAGCTTACCTGGATTACTGCAGAACAATAGCGAAAAGAAATCTCATTAATTTACAAAACGTCTCTTGTTGTTGAATACTTGTAAAGCACTAGAATATGTCAAACAAAACGAAATAGCGAAGTACAAAATGTCGAATTGATCATTCAGCTACTGCCTACACACACAACGAAAAGGTTAACGCATTTCACTGTTCTGTTCTATTACGCAATGAAACTACAAGGTCCAATTTCACTTTGAAATTTCACATGAAGAAGCTATATATTTTCAAAATATCGATTTTCTGATTAAAAAAGAAAGACAAAGCAGATCCATACAATTTCCAGGCAGTTGTGAAATCTATATAAATTAACTTCTCATTTAAATGTTTCACAACGATAGACAAATGACAAATGAAATATTTGATGAAGCTTGAAAAATGGAAAGAACGAATAAGGGTTGAGCAAAAACCCATTACATGTCGACAAAAATTTGACAAAAAGTGTGTCTTCTTTTCAGAAGCGAGATCAGAGAACCAAATGACTTTGAGTAAAAACAAAACCTACATTTGCAATCTTTAATCCTTTTTACTTACTGCATACAATAACGGCATACTTGCGGTCGAAGTCTCGTCATTGTGGCGTGCGTCGTCTTTCATACATTTTACATCAGGGCACGACAGCGTTTTCACTGGATGATTAAACGTGATTTCTTTGTACGTAGTAAATGCAAGCTTACAAGTTTGCTTTCCATTGTCTAAGCCTACGATGCTCATGAAATATTCATCTTATAATAAGAAAGTGTTTTCGTTCAATCTAAGGTTTATGGTTTAGTTTAATAAAAGTAAGGATGTCTTGGAAATTCTGACCTTGGGACATAATTATTTCAAAACAAAGGTATTGAACTTGACTTTAGAACCATGGCTTGTTTTCATAATGCAGTTCAGTGCTTAAAGGCGACTAACGGGATCGGGTGGTCAGGCTCGCTGATTTGGCTGATGCACGTCATCGTAACCAAGTTGCTCATGTTGTCAGTCACTGGATTGTCTGGTCCAGACTTGATTGTTTACACCCCCGTCATATAGCTGGAATATTGCTGAGCGCCGTGTAAAACAAACAATGCTAAACGACGTGAAACGTGGAACATGTAAAACATGCTATGAGTTGGGTTTTACGTTTTGAATAGTACATCAGCTCGTGAGATCACTTATCCTATCCAGGTTGGACTATGCTAACAGTCTGCTTATTAATATCAAACAGGATGTATGTAGCAAATTGAAACGTGTGCAGAATGCTGCTGCCAGATTGATATGTAGACGAAATAAGCGTGCACATGTCACTCCTTTATTAAAATCATTACACTGGCTTCCAATAAGATCTAGGATTGAATACAAAGTCGTGTGCATTGCATACCAGTGCTACTATAGTACAGCGCCTTCCTATCTGAGTGAACTTCTTACCCTACACCAGCCAGCACGAGATCTCAGATCAGCACATAAACTCCAGTTTAGTGTCCCTATGGTCTCACTCAAAGCATTCGGCAACAGAACTTTTGACGCACAAGAATCATGTCCAATGCAATTTCCCTATTTCGACTTTTACCATATGTTTTTTCAGATGAATACTTGACTCGCATTTGCATGTGTTTGTGACGGGTGCCACCGGTGGGGCAGGATACGCTCACCTGGTTTTATCACTAATTGAAAGTGATTCATCAATACAAGTTCATGATATGGTCGGAATGGTACAATGGTACAATGGTAAACCTGTGCCAATTTGGACCCCACCCCCACCCCCAACCCCCGTCAGCCGTCACGTTGTGATACAACTGCAATAATGTCCAAAGCGTTGCCAAATCTAACTGACCACCTCCAATAACGGCAGCCTATACAACTGATCATCCTGAAACCACGTGAATAAACTGCCACGTTTTAATCCTCTCATTCGTAATTCATAAACCTCTACTGGGTAAACTTGGTTGTACCTCAAACAGGTACAAGTACCTGACAGGACTTCCTTATAAATGTTGGAGTTTATTGAGGAAACGATGATCTCTCTGATAACAGCATTATTTGAGCAAATCTAGAACACAGCTAAAGGCTTTGGTTTCTGGGCCCTTAAGGCACTTGCCGCTGAACGTCGTGACTATATTTATCATGACATCTGTATCTTCAAATATTCAGGACAATTTGTCACAAATGAAAGGAAATGTCATCTGTAATTAACTGAGAAAACCGCATCATCTGTTTCAGTTTTAGATCGATTCATAAAAATGACAAGAAAGGATCTACAACATTGTGTGACAAGAGGGATGACTTCAACTTTTCAATGGTCAAGTTGCCCTCCAAATCGAGCAATATTCAAGCAGCTCCAGCCTTTGTTTAATTTGCACAACTTTTTAGGTACAATCGAGCTCTTCATTGTACGAAGATTTCAAAGGGAGTCATACGAATCATACCCACACTGTTTGATCAAGGTTACAACATAAAAGGACTTAGTAAAGCTTTCAAAACGTTTAGTGATAGACACGCGGAGGGCAATTACGCCCATGGATCGCCCAGTCGACCAACGCCCATGGGCTAAATATACGCGACAAAATCATGTCATATCTGCCAAAAGCAGTGTCCATTGTACCATTCCTATCATATCATAAACATGCATTTATGAAACACTTTCAAATAGTGTCAAGGTGAGCGTATCCTGCTCCACCGGTATCAACCGTCACAAACACATGCAGGTGCAAGTCAATATTTTTACCTGAACACGGGAACATAATTATGGTACAAGTCAAAATACGGATAGTACAGGTGAGGTGAAATGGGGTTTAACGTCGCGTATTGCACTTATATAGCGACGTGGATGCACGTGTATGTGTGTGTATGGCTGCTTGTACTAGTCCGGACTGATGCCGATTTATAGTGCTAGCACACTGAGATACCATGCCGCAGTTTTACATGAATACCCCACTCAGACACAGTATACTGACTCCGAGCCGACCAGTCCTTGTTTTAGCCCCTTAATGCCGAGCGCCAGACAGGGTAACAACAAGTACCATCTTTTAACGTCTTTTGGTATGACGCGGCTGGGGATGGAACCCCGGACCTTCCGCTCTCCGGGCGGACGCTCTAACATTAGACCACGGAGGCGGTCCGGATAGTATAGGACATTAAAGTCATACTACTTTTGCAGTAAGTTGACGTTGGTTATCCATAAATTTATTCGTGAGTTATGGCGAAGGTATGAAGAGGCTTATCGTCGGCTACAGTCGGCTCTATTCTGCAACATCTGCTTCATTAACGACCTCATCTACTTGGTATGTAAGACCGTCGCGTCATCTGAATCTCGGGCAAATGTCGTAGGTTCTTCTATGCATAATGCTTATCGAAGCAAGAGACAACCCCATATAATTGTCTATGAGTGCACAACCTACCGACAGATGGCGCGGATACAAACGAGGACCAATCAAATCTTTCATAATCCCTACCGTATGTCGGCGCTGCTGAAGTATTGATTTACGGCAAGTCGTGAAATGTTATAGTTTGTCGGGTCGGTATTCATTGATGTAACAGGGTAAAACAACCCGAGATACTAAAACAACGACGTAAATATAACGACAAATTAAACCTTCCTGTGTGATAGCTATCTCAGTTGTAGATAGAATTTACATTAAGAGCATGCGCAAACAGGCATCCAATCTTGGCGAGTGCGTAAACACCATCAAACGATGAGCAAGCGGACCATGACAATAACACGCGGTTAATTTGGACTGTGTGGCAAAAATATGAATTATGAGATGGCTCAATATTCTTTTATGGAGTCATTATTATGTATCTGTTAATGCGATAAGCCTTGATACACATGACATCTGAGTCAAATCTCGTTGTAAGCGAGATTATAACATGTTGTCGGTCCCTACGTGAGTATTAGCCTCCGGGACATATGGGACCAATATGGCGCCTTAGTTTCATTACCTCGAACATTGGGTGCCATAAATATGAAACTTGTGAGAGAAACATTTTATATCGGTTCTAATTCGCGATGGTTTTAAAGTCAATAGACAATAGAGTGTCTACTTTATCCGCTATGATATTTGATAGTATTGATGCTGTTATTTAGTTAGTCTCAAGAACAAGCAGTATGTGTTTCAAACAAGTTGTCAGGAACATCAATTTGATTACGTTTACAAAAAGTGTTTGTAGTTTGTTGTTCATCGTCCTGCAACAAGCTTACGAAACGACAGGTTGGACCGTCGCTTATATAATTTCATAAAGAGTTATCCCCCCTTGGGACGAAACGATCGCCAGTTGCAGTGAAGAGTAGATTAGGACACAATCTCATTTAATTCAGATTTTAGTTCTCGCTACCGCTGAACAAAGATCTGAGGACATCCCATTACGGGTCACGTCAGAACCCGTCAGTTTTAATGAGATTGACAATAGGGAAACAAATAAACGTCGTTGTTTCTTTGGATTAGAGTTAGTAAATGAAATAAAGCTGATTCAGCAATATTCCAACTTACCAGGGCTTGCAAATTATCGAATCGCGGTCTTGGTAGTGAGGGGAAGTGTTAGTTCAATAATCGAGTAGTAGTAGTAGTAATATATGACGTTAATTGTAACGTCGTATCTGCCATTAAAGAACTTCGACATTGTAAACGGGTGGTTGATGGCGGGATGCAAGCGATCACTGTTCAATCGGCTTTAACGGAATCTCCGCCAGCGGGAGAAGAGTGTTGGTGGGGGAGTTACCTCATTTTATTGCAATGCTATAAAGTACTGTATTTTTAGAATGTGTTTCGGGGGCACGGGTGGCCCAGTCGTCTAAGGCGCCGCGATTCGCTGTGCAGAGTTGCGTCCCTTTGGCACGCCAGAAACCTATGATTGTGGGTTCGAATCCCGGTTCGCCGCGATTATGGTTCTAGGTTTGTCAGCACCATACCCGTGTTCGTGGGTTTCACTGAAGTGGTAAACGTCCGTGACCTGCATCACTTCGGGCTTTTCTCCCACATTAAGCTGACACGCAGTGATATAACTTGAATAATGTTAAAAGCGGCGTTAAACCCAACTCACTCACCAGAATGTGTTTTTCTCGAAATCACACGCAAGTCGCTTTGAATGATAATTGCATCACGGAGGAACACCAAATGGGCATTGGTCTTGACGTTGATGACCTTTGTGAAAACTATAAGCACAGTGATGGTGCATTTGTATAATAAGGTAGAATATAGGATTCTAACCCATTATCAATTGATAACGGCTTCAGCAATGGTGTTTCCTATTGTGAATTCACTATACACGATCGCAGACTTTAGCTTCTTATCAAATGTTGAATGTCTTTTAGTATTTCCTCATTAATGACAAAAACGACATTGTGTTCCCTTTGAAAGGAAACGGCTGTGCTAAAGCATATCTTTACATCATCTGGTAAGGAAACAAGGTACTTTTCATATGACTGTCTAGGTGCTCTCGATAAACGGCTCGAAATCTAATTTTCGTCATCTATGACCAATCTCTTTGTAATCCGTAACCTCTCTAAAACGGATACTGTCGTTACCATGGCTCTACATCTATACTCCATCCACTAAAACCTATCTCTGTGTAAGTCATAACCTCATGAAACCGGCCTCCCTATAAACCGATACTCTCGATAAGATGGCTGTACATCTAAGCTGCACCCACTAAGACCAATCTCTGTGCAACTTGTAATCTCTCTAAACCGGACACCCTACAACGCGATACTATCTATAAAATGTCTGTCTGTCTAAGCTCCGCCCACTCCGTAGCTTTTTTAAACCGTCCATCCTATGATCCACACATTAACGACACGGATTTGTTACACTCCCCATGTGATTTGAAATTTATTTACAAACCTCAGTGAATTGTAATGGTATATCAGTAATTAGTCACTGTACACACGTGGACATATGTAATACACACGCGTAAAACATCATCAAAGCAGTTCGTATACATGAATTTTATACATGATAATTAAAAAATACAATTCATGATTGATCCCGATATTGACAAGAACGTCACTGCCAGAGAATAATCCGTCTGGATTATCAGTGTACAGATTCCATTGGGCGTAAATGGCGAATATGAATCATATGGATCGCTGTTATTCAGTTCTGACACCTGTCATACGATGTAAACAAGTCTTGGCCAGAACATCAAGTGACGGAGCCGACAATCCATTGACACGATAGCGCATGTGTTAAAACTACATAAAATAGGGATATAAACTTCAGAATCGTATATTTGTAATGTAATGTTCTTGAAGACGAGACTCATATCATATACAACTGCCTTTTGTATGAATATAAAGAGAGATAAATGTGAGAGATTTCGTGATTTGTTACTTAAAAAACAGCCAACCTTACAAAATGGGTACATTTGCAGATAAATAACACATTTTACTTTTGCTGAATATTTACTTTGTATATTCTAACTGAGAATGAAATATAACCTCACGAATCTACATTTATTTATTTTAATGTAATATGGGTCATATCGCCTTGATTACAATAACTTTTATATCCTCATGCGTGTTTTTCCACGTTTCGTACAAAACCAAACCATATGAAACATACGCCTGTTATATGATATGCGGTGCTAAGTCCTCTCACTCAACTTATAATGACTCATATTTGTCTGGGAAATAACACTATACTATGACGTTAATCTTTACCGTTGCGTTAATAACTGTAACAAAACACGAATAGGTATGTTATATGCCAAGTATATTGCGCAACGTAAGCACTATCTGGGGGAGAGAGGGTATTTAAGCGCCGTACAGGATATGTAACCATACCTATCACCGTACAAGCCATGTAACTAAATCAAGCTTCGTACAAGCATTGTAGTTACATCTACCGCTGTAAAGCAATGTAACCATATCTAACACCGTACAAGCAATGTAACCACATCTAGCTTCGTACAAGCAATGTAACCACATCTAGCTTCGTACAAGCAATGTAACCACATCTAGCTTCGTAAAAACAATGTAACCACATCTGGCTTCGTACAAGCAATGTAGCCACATCTACCGCTGTAAAGCAGTGTAACCATGTCTAACACCGTACAAGCAACGTAACAACATCTAGCTTCGTACAAGCCATGTTACAACATCTAGCTAAGAACAAGCAATGTAACCTCATCTAGCTACGTACAAGCAATGTAATCCTATTCAACGTCATGTAATCAATTTAAGCACATATCAGTAACAGCGGTATGTAAGCACATCTAACGTGGTTGTTCTACCTCGGTGATGTTGTAGCGGGACACGTCACAAAAATCTCTCGCCCCGATCTCTGTCCCCATATACCAGCCATTGAAGGGGGCCGCGGTGAACTCTAGACCCCCACAGTCAAACAAGATGGCCGACACGGCGGGGAGACCGTACCACCGCAGACCCAATTCGGCAAACCAGGGGTACCTGTTGACAAGAAGGAACATGTAACAGTGAGATGGATTAGAGACGATCAATGCTTCAGTTATCTCAAAGGATGTGAGTGGTTGGTTGGTTGTTTAACGCCGCACTCAGCAATATTCCAGCTATATGACGGCGGTCTGTAAATAATCGAGTCTGGACCAGACAATCCAGTGATTAATATCATGAACATCGATCCACGCAATTGGGATGGATGACATGCATCAACCAAGCCAGCGAGCCTGACCACCCGATCCCGTTAGTCGCCTCTTACGACAAGCATAGTCGCCTTTTACGGCAAGCATGGGTTGCTGAAGACCTATTCTTTGCCGGGTCGTCACGAGTAAGTGAGTGAATTGGGTTTAAAGCCGCTTTGAACAGTATTCCAGTTATATGACGACATGTCAGCTTTATGTGGGAGGGACGCCCGAGTGATGCAGGCCTAAGACGTTTACCACTTCGGTGAAACTACGAGCACGGGTGTGGTGCTGACAAACCAAGAAACAAAATCGGGGCGAGCCGGGATACTGTGCAGCGTTTGAGACCATACCATACTCTCTTAATGGGTAGACAATGCCGTTGATTGCAGCATGAGTTACTCGCGTACCTTTTTGGTGAACACCTGGTGTCGTCACTGATCTTCAGTGATCTATTTAATACTTTTCACTACTATTTTGTTTGGCAGATAATTGAGACTAACTATTTTCGGACGATGACGTTATTTATGTTTATTTATAGCAAATTAAAATATATTCAAAAAAATCTAAAACATGTCAAAGAAAGAAAAATGGACGACTCATTTACGGGTATTGGCCTATATTTTCTATTGAACTTGTATCAATTGGATGTGTTTTTAACTGAAACTTGCAACCTGTTATCAAACCTTCTGTACGCGAGACAGACAAATATCGTTGTCGTATATGAACTGACCACTGACCATCTCATTACTCTGATTAAAACACGGCCTAGTTCGACGCAAGTATCGCCAGCTGATCTAACGGCTAACACACTCGACACCTACAGAGCATCCTGGGTCAGACCAATCCATATCACGGCTTGTTAATCCTCTATCGGCTTACCAATATTGGAACCATTTCTCGGTTTATATTCAGTGTCAAGGTTACCACTAATTTAAAGTTTTCTATATCCGGATGTGACCTGGATTTAGATATTGTGATATTGGTCGCCGCAATCAAGGGGAAGCCATGGGGATTGTAGTGTTACGGGGATGCTGAATGAGGAAATGAAAGCTACGCTATCTTTTCCTGATGTCCTGATCTCAATCTGCTCCCCCCTTACCCTCCCCCTTCCCAACCCCCCTATGTGCATTTTGATATTCATCAATGTCTTTCTGTCGTACAATTTAAGAATTTAGATATGGAAATTAAATCAGTTGACTTTTAAGTGAAAATATTGAATTTTCAAGATCGTCAGATATCGCTAGATTGCTGTTTTCGTTGTACGCATGCATTCGTCATTTATAAATACTGTACGTTGATTGAAAAACGAATAGATCTAGTTTTAGATTGATAAAGCTACAGCTGAATTAATAACGTTGTACTCTGTATAGATGGATATAGAATAACCCGTAATTGTACAAACAACGAAGGGGATGTGGAAACTGTGTAGATGAAGAACATCCGCGGTTACTCCTTGTGATGATGTAGTTGTGTCAGGTGTGATGTGATGTAGTCGTGTCAGGTGTGATGTGATGTAGTCGTGTCATGTGTGGTGTGATGTGATACAGTCCTGTCATGTGTGATGTGATGTAGTCGTGTCAGGTGTGATGTGATGTAGTCGTGTCAGGTGTGATGTGATGTAGTCGTGTCAGGTGTGATGTGATGTAGTCGTGTCAGGTGTGATGTAGTCGTGTCAGGTGTGATGTTGTGTAGTCGTGTCAGGTGTGATGTGATGTAGTTGTGTCAGGTGAGATGTGATGTAGTTGTGTCAGGTGTGATGTGATGTAGTCGTGTCAGGTGTGATGTGATGTAGTTGTGTCAGGTGTGATGTAGTCGTGTCAGGTGTGATGTTGTGTAGTCGTGTCAGGTGTGATGTGATGTAGTTGTGTCAGGTGAGATGTGATGTAGTTGTGTCAGGTGTGATGTTGTGTAGTCGTGTCAGGTGTGATGTGATGTAGTCGTGTCAGGTGTGATGTGATGTAGTCGTTTCAGGTGTGATGTGATGTAGTCGTTTCAGGTGTGATGTGATGTAGTCGTGTCAGGTGTGATGTGATGTAGTCGTGTCAGGTGTGATGTGATGTAGTCGTGTCAGGTGTGATGTGATGTAGTCGTGTCATGTGTGATGTGATGTAGTCGTGTCGTGTGATGTGATGTAGTCGTGTCAGGTGTGATGTGATGTAGTTGTGTCAGGTGTGATGTAGTTGTGTCGTGTGATGTGATGTAGTCGTGTCAGGTGTGATGTGATGTAGTCGTGTCAGGTGTGATGTAGTCGTGTCGTGTGATGTGATGTAGTCGTGTCAGGTGTGATGTGATGTAGTCGTGTCATGTGTGATGTGGTGTAGTCGTGTCAGGTGTGATGTGATGTAGTCGTATCAGGTGTGATGTTGTGTAGTCGTGTCAGGTGTGATGTGATACAGTCCTGTCATGTGTGATGTGATGTAGTCGTGTCAGGTGTGATGTGATGTAGTCGTGTCAGGTGTGATGTGATGTAGTCGTGTCAGGTGTGATGTGATGTAGTCGTGTCAGGTGTGATGTGATGTAGTTGTGTCAGGTGTGATGTAGTCGTGTCGTGTGATGTGATGTAGTCGTGTCAGGTGTGATGTGATGTAGTCGTGTCATGTGTGATGTGGTGTAGTCGTGTCAGGTGTGATGTGATGTAGTCGTGTCAGGTGTGATGTAGTCGTGTCAGGTGTGATGTGATGTAGTCGTGTCAGGTGTGATGTAGTCGTGTCAGGTGTGATGTGATGTAGTCGTGTCAGGTGTGATGTGATGTAGTCGTGTGAGGTGTGATGTGGTGTAGTCGTGTCAGGTGTGATGTAGTCGTGTCAGGTGTGATGTGGTGTAGTCGTGTCAGGTGTGATGTAGTCGTGTCAGGTGTGATGTGGTGTAGTCGTGTCAGGTGTGGTTTGATGTAGTCGTTTCACGTGTGATTGATGTTGTCGTGTGAGGTGTGATGTGATGTAGTTGTGTCAGGTGTGATGTGGTGTAGTCGTGTCAGGTGTGATGTGGTGTAGTCGTGTCAGGTGTGATGTGATGTAGTCGTGTCAGGTGTGATGTGATGTAGTCGTGTCAGGTGTGATGTGATGTAGCCGTGTCAGGTGTGATGTGATGTAGTCGTGTCAGGTGTGATGTGGTATAGTCGTGTCAGGTGTGATGTAGTCGTGTCAGGTGTGATGTGATGTAGCCGTGTCAGGTGTGATGTGATGTAGTCGTGTCAGGTGTGATGTGATGTAGTCGTGTCAGGTGTGATGTGATGTAGTCGTGTCAGGTGTGATGAAGTCGTGTCATGTGTGATGTAGTCGTGTCAGGTGTGATGTGATGTAGTCGTGTCAGGTGTGATGTAGTCGTTTCAGGTGTTATGTGGTATAGTCGTGTCAGGTTTGATGTGATGTAGTCGTATCAGGTGTGATGTGATGTAGTCGTGTCAGGTGTGATGTAGTCGTTTCAGGTGTGATGTGGTATAGTCGTGTCAGGTGTGATGTGATGTAGTCGTGTCAGGTGTGATGTGATGTAGTCGTGTCAGGTGTGATGTGATGTAGTCGTGTCAGGTGTGATGTGATGTAGTCGTTTCAGGTGTGATGTGGTATAGTTGTGTCAGGTGTGATGCGATGTAGTCGTGTCAGGTGTGATATGATGTAGTCGTTTCAGGTGTGATGTGGTATAGTCGTTACAGGTGTGATGTGATGTAGTCGTGTCAGGTGTGATGTGATGTAGTCGTTTCAGGTGTGATGTGGTGTAGTCGTGTCAGGTGTGATGTGATGTAGTCGTGTCAGGTGTTATGTGATGTAGTCGTGTCAGGTGTGATGTGGTATAGTCGTGTCAGATGTGATGTGGTGTAGTCGTGTCAGGTGTGATGTGATACAGTCCTGTCAGACGCTCATGGCATGCTTAATCATTCGAGAAGTGGGGGCACGGGTGGCCAGTCCTCTAAGGAGTTGTGTCCCTAGAGGACTGGCCAAAGGAGTTGTGTCCCTTGGGTACGCCAGAAACCTATGATTGTGGGTTTGTGGGATTGTTGGTGAAATGGGGTTTAACCTCGCGTCCAAGATTATTGCACTTATATAGCGACGTGGATGCTTGTACTAGTCCGGACTGATGCTGATTTGATAGTGCTAGCCCACTGAGATACTATGCCGCAGTTTAACATGAATATCCCACTCAGACACATTATACTGACTCCGAGCCGACCAGTCCTTATTTTCGGCCCTTAATGCCGGGCACCAGACAGCAACAAGTACCATCTTCTAAAGTATTTTTGTAAGACGCGGCCGGGGATCGAACCCCGGACCTTCCGCTCTCTGGGCGGACGCTCTACCACTAGACCACGAAGGCGTCTGTTGAATAACGGACTTATACTGCAGGTAACGGATATGAAGAATAATGGCCTTATACATTACTCACAGTAGCGTGCAGCGTGCAGCTGCTGTGATCAGGGCAAAGAATATTGTATTATTGTGACGTGATAACCACATCGCTACCTCACAGCAGGACATCAATATAGAACACATAGGACGTATTCAAAACAAGTAATTGCACAAACGTTAATGGAAATGAGGTGAATTAAAATCGTTACTATTTTTTTCTGATAAACATAACATGTTTTGATTATTAGCACTATATCACTTATAAACACCACACGTTTTACCGATTATTTTGCAACACGTTTAGATGAGTTGATAACTTGAAATATAGGGATGCAACCGGTCCATATAAATTATCCTCACCCGGATATGTTACTGCCGTTTGAGGTGTCACTTCGACGGACAAAAGATTTATTTTCAATTTCAATTTCAATTTAACACTGATCTTTTCATCTTACTGTGGGGGCGGTCGGTAGCCTAGTGGCTAAAGCTTTCGCTCGTCACGCCGAAGACCCGGGTTCGATTCCCCACATCGGTACAGTGTGTGAAGCCCATTTCTGGTGTCCTCCACCGTGATATAACTGGAATATTGCTAAAAGCGGCGTAAAAACATACTCACTCATCTCACTGTGCATCCATATATTTCTTAAAACAGAACAGATTATGTCGCATATGAAATTCCTAAATAGATTTCTCGAGGTATATTCACATATTTTAACATAAACAGCCACACCATATAGCTGCAATATATGTTCAACGTTTGGGACCGAACCATACTCTCCTTATGGTACAGGGGCGGTCGGGTAGCCTAGTGGTTAAAGCGTTCGCTCGTCGCGCAGAAGACCCGGTTCGATTCCCGACATTTGAGTGAGTTAAAACTTAACGTCGCATCGGCAATTTTTCAGTCATATAGCGACTCCCGACATTTGTACAATGTGTGGAGCCCATTTCTGGTGTCCCCCGCCGTCAATGCTGGCATATTGCTAAACGTGGCTTAAAACCACACTCACTTACTCACTGTATGGTTGAATACCATTAAATTAGCAGTAAATACAGGCTGCCTGGGAACACCTTGTGTCGTCACTGATTTCCAAGGATGCATTCATTTAATTTTCACCACTGTTTTTCCTTCGGCAATTTAATCAATTTAAACAAAAACATTCATATATTGAAAAATCTGAAATATGTTACCTCACAGCGGGATAGCAATATGGAACACATTAGACTTGTTAAAAAGAAGTAATTACGGTAGCTTAGAATGGAAAAGTGGTGAATAAGAATCGATAAATATTTTTTTTCCAATGATGAATAACGTGTGTATAATTAAAAACAATGATATGTGAACACTACACGTTTTAACAAAATACTTGCAACACTGATGATGACATTGATGACTCGAAATAATTTTGAAATACATATTAAAGGATTCATCGTCTGTGAAATATTTAACGTGAGTAATATCATGTTTATGTAGATGCTGACATAGAGTGAGTGAGTGAGTGACGTCACTTTGAATAATATTTCAGTTATATGACGACTTATAAGTTCGAAATCTTAGACGTTAACCACTTTGGTGAATTTCGCGAACACGAATATGGTGGTGACAAACTTAGACACATAACTGGGACGAATTTGGTATTCGAACCCACAGCCATAGCTCTCTGGCACGCCTAAGGGACGCAACTCTGCACAGTGTACTGCGATGCCATAGACGACTCGGTCACTCGTGTCCCTAATAGAAAGCTATACAACGGCATCAACATATATGAATATGTAGTAATATAATAAGATAGATATGACATTTGCTATTTTATATTGTTCATTCATGTAGGACAATGTTTGCCATTTATCATTTTAATTTGAGAGATGTTTAGTATACTGTCTGCCAGGAAGACATAGTTTTACCTGTACGTTTTTTATAGCGATTTATCGGCGTCTATGTTCTCGCGAATCAGTAATAGCCAGCTGTTGACAGGTACCCACGTGTACGCTTCTAAGGTTACCAATTTGCAATATTACAGATAGCTGCAGCGGACGCGATGAATGTTTATGATACATGCATTTCCAGATATATATCAACATATTTTACAGTGGATTGCATCAAAACGATCTGTATCAAAAAGCATAAAACGAGTGATAAGTACACGTCGCATATTGTACGTGTTTATTTCTATTAACACTTAAAGTCGGAATGGAATATTGTTACACGTGGTGTCTCTTTAGAAATGTGATTTTGTTCGGAATATGCCTCCAGGTCCCTAGCAGTTTATTGGTACCCGGTAGAATGAGATTGTAATGTGACTCTTAACCGTCTAGCGCCTCAGATGCACTTGGGTTGTCTACTCCTTAGGGAAGGGGCGGTCGGGTAGCCTAGTGGTTAAAGCATTCGCCCGTCACGCCGAAGACCCGAGTTCGATTCCCGACATGGGTACAATGTGTGAAGCCCATTTCTGGTGTCCCCCCGCCGTGATATTGATGGACGTCAACGTCAGAGAAAAATCTGCATCACCTCGGGCTTTCCTCCCACATTAAGCTGACACGCCGCGATTTTACTGGAATACTGTTAAAAGCGGCGTAAACCCAACTCACTCACTCACTCACTCACTCACTCACTCACTCCAAAGTAGGAATACGTTTCATACTTACTTTGGATGTTTCATCTGAACTTCAAGAATAAGTTCCGGTGGAATCTCAAACACTTCCGGGTCGTGACCTCCAGCGGACAGGACAAGCGGCAGGACATCAAAGTTACTGCCCTTGCCCTTCCACCCCAGCTTCTCGCATACCTGAAGGTCAAGGACGATAAACATGGAGTATACTTGTAATAAATAAGCCTTTTTTGGCCACGTTTAGCCTAAGTTCAATATTTGAATTTCACCACCACCACTACTACTACTACTACTACTACTACTACTACTACTACTACTACTACTACTTCTACTACTACTACTACTACCACTGCTACTACTGCTACTTCTACTACTGCTACTACTACTACTGCTACTACTACTACTGCTACTACTGCTACTTCTACTACTGCTACTACTACTACTGCTACTACTACTACTGCTGCTACTGCTTCTACTACTGCTACACATCATCATACTACTTCTACTACTGTTGCTGCTGCTACTTCTGCTACTATTACGGCTGCTACTACTATTACTACTACTGCTACCACAACTACTACTACTACATGTACTACCACTGCTGCTACTACTGCTACTACTACTACTACTGTTACTACTACAACTACTTCTACTACTACTACTACTGCTGCTGCTATTACTACTGCTGTTATTACTACTCATACTGCTGCTGCTACAGCTACTACTGATACTATGTACAACTACTGTTACTACTAATACTGCTCCTGCTACTACTACTACTATTGTTACTACTAATACTGCTGCTGCTACTACTACTGCTGCTGCTATTACTACTGCTGTTATTATTTCTCATTCTGTTGCTGCTGCTGCTACTACTCCTACTACTCCTACTTCTACTACTACTACTACTACTACTACTACTACTACTGCTAGTACTACTGCTGACTGTGGTGGTGGCGTTGCTGCTACTACAACTAGTACTACTACAAAACTGCCGCTGCTGCTAATACTACAGCTGATGGTGGTGGTGGCGTTGCTACTACTACTACTACTGCTGCTGCTGCTGGTGTTGCTAGTACTACCGCTGATGGCGATGGCGCTGTTACTGTGAGTACTGCCCCTACCACAACCACTAATGCAGTTGCCGATTAATAGTATTTTACATTTACTTCTACAGCTACCAATATTGCAACAGCTACGCTAAATACAGCTTCAGGTGATCATTATAATAATGTTTCATCAATTTTAATGATTCAACTTCAACAATAAAGTCAAGGTCATGGATAGAGTGAATGAATGTTGTACGCTTTACGCCGCACTCAGCACTATTCCAGCTACATGACGGCGGTCCGTAAATAATCGAGTCTGGATCAGACAATCCAGTCCTTGACATCATGAGCGTCGATCCACGCAACTGGAATACGATGACATGCATTAACCAACTCAGCGATCCTGACCACCCGATCCCGTTAGTCGCCTCTTGCGACAAGCATAGTTGCCTTTTACGGCAAGCATGGGTTGCTGAAAGACCTATTCTATCACCTTGACCATGTAAGCCAGTGATTGATACTATGAGCACCCCTTTATTACCACCGATCCCAAATTCATCTGTACCCAGAGAGTGAGTGAGTGAGTGAGTGAGTGGGTTTAACGCCGCTTTTAACAGTATTCCAGTTATATCGCGGCGCGTCAGCTTAATGTGGGAGGAAAGCTCGAAGTGATGCAGGTCTCAGACGTTTACCACTTCGGTGAAACCCAAGAGCACGGGTATGGTGCTGATAAACCTAGAAACATAATCGGGGCGAACCGGGATTCGAACCCACAATCATAGGTTTTTGGCGTGCCCAAGGGACGCAACTCTGCACTGCGAATCGCGGCGCCTTAGATGACTGGGCCACCCGTGCCCCCGTACCCAGAGAGGGGCGGTCGGGTAGCCTAGTGGTTAAAGCGTTCGCTCGTCACGCCGAAGACCCGGGTTCGATTCCCGACGTGGGTACAATGTGTAAAGCCCATTTCTGGTGTCCCCCGCCGTGATATTGCAGGAATATTGCTAAAAGCGGCGTAAAACACTACTCATTCACTCACTCACTCACTGTACCCAGATGGAGCGTTGTGTTCTCACCTCTGTGAATTCCACGTTAGCAGGGTCACCAATGAAGCTGCCGTCGGCCTGACGGTACCCAGCGTAGCGGATCAGCTGGAAGTTCCATACCTTGAAATCATGTTTGCCGTCAGTACGGTGTGGGAAGATCGTGATAGCAGATCTGCATGGCAAATACAACAGAGGAGCTCATTGTACAAACTGTAACCACTTTATAACTGAGTAACAAAAGAAACTATACCTTTAAGTTGACTGTATAATATGATACAGCGATGTTATAACCAAAAAAATTAACCGACTGGATCCTAGTCAGCACTCAAAATTACTACTACGTGGTATTATGCGAAAACATATTTTAAGGTTTTAAGTCAAATTTTATTTTAAATAATATACTTTTAATTAAAATTTGACCTCCTAACTTAAAAATATTTTTTTCGCATAATATACAGCTGCTTATGTTGATGTGAGGTGAAATGGGGTTTAACGTCGCGTCCAAGATTATTGCACTTATATAGCGACGTGCATGTACGTGTGTGTGTGTGTGTGGCTGCTTGTACTAGTCCGGACTGATGCCGATTTATAGTGCTAGCTCACTGGGATACCATGCCGCAGTTTAACATGAATACCCCACTCAGACACAGTATACTGACTCCGAGCCGACCAGTCCTTGTTTTAGCCCCTTAATGCCCCTACCATGTTTGAAATGTAAATTTGTGCTGAAACAGCCATAAGATACCCATAAGCAGCTGGACCGCCTCCGTGGTCTAGTGGTAGAACGTCCGCCCGGAGAGCGGAAGGTCTGGGGTTCGATCCCCGGCCGCGTCATACCAAAAGACGTTAAAAGATGGTACTTGTTGTTACCCTGTCTGGCGCTCGGGTCACGTGGATGCAAATTTATTTCTGACTCCAGACCTCTTTGAACCTATTTAGTTTTACACAATATTACCCAGCCACAAAGTCCTTTTTACAAACTAGGGCAGGAAAGAGTGATGGTCTGGACTAATGCCGGTTTTATTGTTCTAGCCCACTGAGATACCATGCGAGTTTAACATGGATATCCTCACTCGAACACCGAGCCGAACAGTCCTTGTTTTATCCCCTTAATGCCGAGCGTCAGACAGGGTAACAACAAGTACCATCTTTTAACGTCTTTTGATATGACGCGGCGTGGGATCGATCCACCGACCTTCCGCTCTCCGGGAAAACACGCTATCCACTAGACCACGGAGGCGGTTCCTTCACGTAGGAAGAAAACCAGTAGTAATGAAGGTCGTAGACGATGAACACTTTGAAACTGAAGAGTTGACAATGCCTATGATCCAAGGGGGTAGCCTAGTGGTTAAAGCGTTCGCTCGTCACGCCGAAGACCCGGGTTCGATTCCCGACATGGGTACAATGTGTGAAGCCCATTTCTGGTGTCCCCCGCCGTGATATTGCTGGAATATTGCTAAACGCGGCGTAAAACCATAATCACTCACCCACTATGATCCAAGGAATCATTGGCCCAGCCAACGGACGCAACTCTCCGGGAGCTTAAACCATAGTAAAGTTATTAACATAACATTTTTACATCAGGGCCGAATGCAGACAGGTTATGCCATGTGATAGTCACGTGAAGGACACATGTTCCAATATGGATTCCTTCCGGTGCCTGCCGAGATTGCGTATTGAACTGAGTCGAGCTAATTGAAGTAAAACATGGCCAAGAGTTATTTCCACCTGATATTTCCTTTGTTGGTGCCGTATTTGATGTGGTTACACAGGGCCTCAAACATGCCTCTGGCTGTGGTGATGTGCCGGGCGTCAAACACCTGGACAGGAAAAGAACATTAGATGTGAGAAGTCCTAACATGTTATTTCCATGCTCGTGTTGATCACACGATAGCGGACTGAAATTACAAAACAGCTGCACCTTTTCTAGTCATACTTCCATCCTATGTCATGTTAGGTTTACAATTATTCACAGACCGCCGTCATATAGCTGGAATATTGCTGAGTGTGGCGTTAAACAACAAACAAACAAACAAGCACAATCGAATATATTCCAGCTTTATGATGGCGGTCTGTAAATAACCGTGCCTGGACTAAGCAATCCAGTGATTGACATCATGAGCATCGATCCACGCAATTGAGATCGCTGACGTGCATCAACCAGGTCAGCGAGGCTGACCACCTGTTCCCTTTAGTCGCCTCTAACGACAAGCATAGTCGCCTTCTACGACAAGCATGGGTTGCTGTAGACCTATTCTAACCCGGATCTTCACGGGTTATATTTCTTGTGACGAAAGTGACATACATTTAATCTCACATGTATGGATCCATCCATCCATCTATCAAACCATCCATAAATCCATCCTTCCATCGATCCATCAAAACAAAAATCCATCCATCCACCCACACATCCATCCATCCATCCATCCATTCATCCATCCATCATCCATCCATTCATCCATCCATCGATCTAGTGAAATGTCTTTAATCCGCACGGTGACATTCAAAGCGAATTCTTTCGGATTAACGAATTCCCGGGTGAACGAGTAATGCCCCTTTAAATAGATGGGCGTTCCCAAAGGTAATCGCCCGGATGTTGAGAATTCAAGATAAGACGTTTCCTGACTGACCACTGCCTCTCTGCGGATGATACCCGAATACACTGTCATTGTCAGAAACAGATCTGGAAACTACACATTCTGATTTAAACAAAGACCTGAACAGAATGGACATCAATTACTTCAAAATTGACATCGATATTTTATCGTTTAGGAGGTATAAACGTACAGTACGATATTCACGTAAATCCGTTACGCAATAAATGTTGAAGTTAGTTAAACATTGCAACAATATTAACTCCACAGAGTGTTTGTATAATCATTCAGCACAATAACGCATAATGATGATGATGATGATGATGATGATGATGATGATGATTAGCGCGACCTGGAAGTACTTGGCTAGCCACTCAAATGCCAAGGAACCATTTGCACATTGATTTACTAATAATTCATAATACTGTAAATACCGTATAAAACTGACTTAACCAGCAATAAATTGTAATACTCAGTGCTAAACGACTGGCCAGGTAATACACTAATTAACCTGGGCAGATGAAAGTGGTATTTCGGTGCTGGCTCCTGTTGTAGTCGATGTTAATCTGTGATCTGTGACGCGCCTACAGACGTGTCATCCCTGATGGATGGACCGGCCCACGATGAAGCTGGGTGATAGTCGGGTAGATTCATCACACAGGATTACACATGACAGCCGACAGTATCTGTGATTAAACTGGCCAGATAGCGCAGCGGCGGATCAGATGGGCCTTTGTGCGATCTGATAGCTTTGGTGATATATGCCGTTGTCGTGTGGTCGTTATGTGCATATTCCGCACGCTTTTCACAGTCATAAGACTGGTATATTGGTTTCAATTTCATACATATTCCGCACATAACTCATCTTCCCGAGGCAAGAGAGTTAACTGCCTATAAAAGTCCAGATTCCACCCTTGCCGATCTAGGCTGGAATTCATGGGCACGATCGTAGTGCCACCAATGGTTATTATGCGTTATGTCCCTTCTAAACCTCTCCTATGGACCAATCCGATTCCATCACTTGCATTCGTTTCCAACAAAATGGCGGCGCCCAGTCAAGACGATCTGATAGATAATCAAGATCTATATTGTGATAAAACGGGTCTTACATCGCGAAGTGCATCAAATCACGTTAGCACCTTGATTAAAAACATGAAAAGGTTTGGAAAATATCTGTTGACAACAAGTGGGCGGTGTGCATGCCTTGCAAATCCTGCAATCGACCGAAATCTGCACGGCAGTTAACGAACCGGATTTCGATTTCGGTGCGCGATTTTGATTGAACTATGCATAGACTCGTTAGTCCAGCCAAAATGTAACTCCATAATACCAGCCTAGTTCGGCAAGGGTGGAAACTGGACTTTTAAAGTCAGTTAGCTCTCTTGCCTCGGAAAGATGCTCATAGCTGGAAGTATATTTTCTGTACAGCAAAATAAAACGTCATCGCAAAGAATGGAAAGAATGAGAGGACGGTTATGACAGGTAGCATGTATCTGGTGTATTCCAGTTGTTTTCTATCAATATGAACAAATAAAACTTCAACACTAGAGAATAATCAATTTCGAATATCAACCGAAACAGACTTGTTGTGAAAAAAGGCAGTATAGCATGAACATTATTTTAATGGATCACTGAAAACCAAAGATGACAACAGGTGTTTTTAACAATGGTGCGCATGTCCTGTCCTTCTTCTGCGTGAAAATATATTTCATAGGTTTGAGAGCCTATAGTGGTTAAAGCGTTCGCTCGTCACGCTGAAGGCCCGGGTTCGATTCCCGACATGGGTACAATGTGTGAAATCCATTTCTGGTGTCCCCTGCCGTGATATTGCTGGAATATTGCTAAAAGCAGCGTAAATCCTCACTCACTCACTCACTAAAGGAAATTGTTTGTCCTGTCTATACAACACCCATTTCTGTCTACCTACCTGTAGCTTTGACCACTGTATTCTGCCGATACACCTTGGGGCATTTCTCCACGCCGTCTTGGCACCGAAGGTCAACTCAGCGAAGGTCAGATCATATGTTCCTGACTTCTCAACACTGGCGACAACTTCCGCCCACCGCTTCTGGTGGGATGCCGTGTTGGACCTACATTCATTCAAACAAGATTATTAGAGCACAACAGTTGTGGTCGGAAGCTTGCCTTTAAGAAAGTGGTTATTTAGAAACTTCGTTTAAATAAGGAAGCACTGATGGCTCGTGGTCACGTGAGCCGCTATTCTGTGTGAGTTGCGTTCCTTAGGCGAACCAGGATCCAATGAAAGCGGGTTCGAATCCCAGGGTAGCTCTGATACTGAACCTTGGTAGGTCGGCATCATTACCAGTGCCCATGGGGTTTACAAAAGCATTCGTTTCGGAAGCTGACGCACTATGAATGGTTTTTTAATATTATTTACAGACTGAAATAAACAAAAATGCAGCAAAGAGGGTTTGGGTGATACTGGCACAGTCAGGCTGGTTAGGCTCATCATCAGCTCAGGGGCCTTGCCCCCTTTACACGCACCCCTAGACAGAGAATTGGACTTCTCCCAGGAAGCGCTGCCTAGTCAATCCCACCGAGAACTTTTCGGAGAATGTGAAGACTCCCCAAGACTGCAGCCTTCTGCATTACCCAGATTGTCAGAAGGGCTGTAGTCCTGGTAGCAAACCCGGGTACTTTCCCAATGTCAGTCAGCAGATTGGGAGGTACCAAACCTAAGGCACCGAGAACAATGGGGAGTCGGACAAATTGGTACTTGGGATGCAAGCGTGACATTTCGAAAGCGAGGTCCGCATATTTGCCATGTTTTTCCTCAATCTTTTCAATCACATTTGTGTCAAAGGAGACAGAAAATTCAATGATATAAATGATTTCTTTGGATTTATCAAAAAGGACAAGATCAGGTTTGTTGGCCTGGATACGTCTGAGGCTGTATACGGGCCTATTCCAAAGGATTTTGTATTTATCATTTTCCATGACGCCCTCTACATATTCCGGGTCGTACCATGGATGGACCTCTGTGTCAAAACCACAAGCATTGCGAAGGCGGTAATACAATGATCGAGCTACCCCATCATGTCGCTTAAGATACTGTGTTTGTGCCAAAGCTGGGCATCAATGTGTTGGGCAGTCTCATTACATTCATTACATAATCTACATTTCATATTTACATTTTGATGCAAAAATCACACATTGACGGTTTCGAGTTGGAAGTGACTGGTCCTGAGCAGCAAACAGAAAGCCTTCTGTTTGACTTTTCAGGCCAGACCAAGCAAAGGACTCGGCAGGATTGCTGAGCTTCTCAACACACTGCACATAAACCCGATGCAGTGGTCGTTCAGAAAGCCTCTCCTTGAAAAACTGGGCCGATTTGATATGGCACTTCGCTTGGTTGACACTCATTTCTGTACCGTCCAGCAGTACAGGACCATCAACAAAATCATCACCAACATTGAGATTATGTCCCACATCCTTGGCTCGTTTTAGAAAACTGTGGAATGCCTTGTTTTCATCATTTCGTCTTGACATGCTTCACAAGAGGATCATCAGACCAATAAATGTGTGCAAAAGTGCACAAAACAATTCTATCGTGAAGAGCCTTTATTATATTATTTTTATTATTATAAATCTAATTTTGATATCAATCATATTTTCCTTTGCTATAGGCTGTAATGGTATCAGTCCTGCTCATGATGAGAAGGAAATTCGAGAATAAGATACTTTAGCCGTTCTGTTACAATACAACAACCAGTGTTTGTAATATGTTCTGATTAAAATGGAAGTTGAAATGGTTCTCATGCAGACATGTTTCACAATATAGTGGCAGTTGAGCGCCTTCATCACCAACGAGAAATACGTTGAAGAGGGGTTATATCGTATGTTCCAACGTGATGTCGATACACGTAAGTACAGCTTTATCATATTTCACTTAAGAAATTGTTTAATCGGCAAACTCATTTCGCAAGCAACTTGGTTTTTTTCAAAGCAGCAAAGGGATTAGAAAGCTCTCAGTAAAAGCATTTATATTTTTCTCGAAGAATCCTAAGATGAAACGTTTCTTTAAAAATATATATTGACATATGATATTCGATTTCAGACACAGGGGAAAACAATTTGTGTTTTAGAAAAAGACCAGTTGTTCTAACTTTCATAGGATTCTTCTGTTCAAGAGTATTTCAATACGTGAGGATGTCTTTATCCGTACTCACATATTGAATAGTCACAAAAACATAGATTAAAAAATGGGTTTCTATGGGGAACACAACAATCCCCATCATCGACGATCCGTTTCCAATAAAGTATCAATCTTTAGTCGCTCGTAAGTTGTTTGTGTTTAGGCTAAAATACAAATTCATGCACAAAAGGTCTGTGTTTGTTACCACATGGTTATCCAATCAATCAGGTCATTGTACATACCAGAGTACGTCTGTATTCACTAGCATTACTCATTACGTAGAGGGGCGGTCGGGTAGCCTGGTGTTTAAAGCGTTCGCTCGTCACGCTGAAGACCCGGGTTCGATTCCCGACATGGGTACTATGTGTGAAGCCCATTTCTGGTCTCCCCTGCCGTGATATTACTGGAATATTGATCAAAGCGGCGTAAAAGCATACTCACGCACTCACTCGGACACGTGGAGGACTTTGATGATTGCCTTGATCGACATGCTTGTTGTTACAGTAAACTACGGTTATAACAAACTCAAAAGGACCAATAATTTCGATAATTCAAGGCTACTTCGCCAAGGTGGAAACTGGACTTTTACAGTCAGTTAGGACCCTTGCCTCGGGGAGATGAGAACATGTTGGAATGACTGATACTCGTCAGTGAGCACTGGCTTAGTGCAGAACATGTTCTGTCCGTCTGAAAATTGGTTTCGTCAAATCAAGTGGGTGTTTCTAAAAGGCAGTGCAGGTTCCACGGAAGAAAAAAAAAATCAATCATCTGAATAGTCGAAACATCGATCGCTAAATTGGAAATAATACTTTTTTGGTTATATTTATGTAACAAACAGACGCATCGACATTCAAATCGTGGCTAGTTCGAGCCATGGCCTCACGTTGCACTAGTCTTTATCACAGGTCTACATACATCCTTCCAAGTGCAATATGCATTTCACAACGTATTAAACTCGTATGTCTATTGTATTTGTCTCTATTACATAATGACACACACCAACTCATTGATCGACGATATTTTATCACCAGTCAATATTTGCATAGATGACACCCCCCAGCCACCCCCAGTCCCCGCCGGCAGCGCCAGACAAGGGATGAAGTAAAGCTCCAGCATGGTTTTCCCCTTTGTCACGGTTGTCGTTAGACGCGTCGACATTTGGAGTAATCTTACAAATCGAATCATAACAACAGGAACATGTCTAGTGTTCTACGGAAAGCGGATTGTTGTGGAGGACAGGGGGATGTTTTGGCTACCTACCTTTTGATCGACGTGTAGTACTGATCAATGAAATCCTTGGCGTGATGCAGCAACTCCTCCCTCGGACGGGGGACTCCAGGGGGACGCTTGCCCGCCTCTGCCATGATAGATCCCATACATCGCTCGGGGGTGCAGGGCACAGGCTGAAATGAGGGTCGGTGTTAATGTGAAAATATGTGACAGTGATGTGAGGCTTATGGTATAGTTATGTGTGTTAGTTTGTTGTTGTTTTTTAATGCCGCAGTCAGCAATATTCCAGTTATATGAAGGCGTCTGTAAATAATCGAGTCTGGACCAGATAATCCAGTGATTGACATCATGAGCATCGATCCACGCAGTTGGGATACGATGCCATGCATCAAACAAGTCAGCGAGCCTGACAACCCGATCCCGTTAGTCGCCTCTTACGACAAGCACAGTCGTCTTTTACGACAAGCATGGGTTGCTGAAGACTTGTGATGTTAGGTGCATGGTATAGCCTGAAATGAACCATCGGTGTCAATGTAGAAATCTATGTACAGAGATATTAGGTGCATGGTATAGCCTGAAATGAACCATCAGTGTTTATGTGGAAATCTATGTACAGAGATGTTAGGTGCATGGTATATGCTTAAATGGGACATCAGTGTTAATGTGGAAATCTATATACAGAGAGGGTTGGGAGAATATATTGAATGGGGAACATCAGATTTAGTGTAGATATATAAATGCAATACGCCTTTTTAACGGTGGCATGTGTAGCTTCTATTCATAATGTTTCGCCAATTTGAACAAACGTTTAAAAAGGATGTTTTTTTCTTGGATCACATATATATTTTAATGAAACCAGGTCATCTCATTCGACCCAATTGAGCAGCCATAAACTTAGAGAATTGTGTATACACAAGAAACCACCCTTTTAAAGGACATTCAAAACGCCAGAGAATATTCAGTGTCGAATATCTGCCAAAACACATTCCTAGGGCGTAAAAGATAAAATGGTGAAAATCATTGATGACGCCAGGTATTTTCAATACCAAATGGACACCTGTCTCAGAGCTATCAATATCAGGTGAACACAAGATTATTTATTCATTTTCGAAACCTGATGACAACAAGTGTTAGAGTTATCGGCATTGGGTTTATACACAGCTATCCGTACTATCAATATCAGTAGACAAACAGTATATACGTACTATCAATATCAGTAGACAAACAGTATACACGTACTATCAATATCAGTAGACAAACAGTATATACGTACTATCAATATCAGTAGACAAACAGTATACACGTACTATCAATATCAGTAGACAAACAGTATACACGTACTATCAATATCAGTAGACAAACAGTATACACGTACTATCAATATCAGTAGACAAACAGTATACACGTACTATCAATATCAGTAGATAAACAGTATATACGTAATATCAATATCAGTAGATAAACAGTATACACGTAATATCAATATCAGTAGACAAACAGTATATGCGTAATATCAATATCAGTAGACGCCTTTATGCTACTATAAATATCAGTGGACACATCTATATATACTGTCAATATCAGAAGACACACCTCTATACGTATTGTCAATATCAGTAGATACTCATCTTCATGTACTATAAATACAAGTAGACACACATTTATACATACTGTTAAATCAAGTAGACACATATCTATGAGTACTGTCAATATCAGTAGACAAACAGCATATTCGTACTGTCAATACAAGTAGACACACTTCTATTCGTACGGTCAATACCAGTAGATACACATCTCTACGTACGGTCAATACGAGTAGACACACCTCTATACGTATGGTCAATACAAGTAGATACACAACTATACGTACTGCCAATACAAGCAGGCACAAATTTATACGTATTGTCAATACAAGTAGGCACACATCAATACGTCCTGTCAATAAAAGTAGACACATATCTATACGTACTGCCAAAACAAGTAGACACACTTCTATTCGTACGGTCGATACCAGTAGATACACATCTACGACTGCTGTATTATTGCTGTGACGATCAATCTAAGCGTGGAAGAACTTGTTGAACATCGATTTTAATTGCACTATCAATGCCAATAGACACTCATACGTGTACCTTTCATCGAGGTTCAACTTATACAGGGACCATATAACCAAAAGATTCCATCTAAATACTACCAATGGATACTAAAGTAATTATGCAAACTCAAGTATTATAAATTAAAAAAAATATCACTTATGTAAGTACTACCAATACCGGATGGACTCTCTTTGCAGTGTTAGCAGCCAAAACTAACGGACAACTATGAGAGTACTATCAATACCAGATTGGTTTGGTTTGTTGTTTAACGCCGCACTCAGCAATATTCCAGCTATATGACGGCGGTCTGTATAAATAATCGAGTCTAGACCAGACAATCCAGTGATTGATATCATGAGCATCCATCCACGCAATTGGGATCGATGACATGCATCAACCTGACCACCCGATCCCGTTAGTCGCCTTTTACGACAAGCATAGACACCTTTTACGGCAAGCATGGGTTGCTGAAGACCTATTCTACCCCGAATCTTATATCAGAAGAACACTCATTTGTTAAATTGACCCACACAATAAACATATGTGCATATTGATAACACATACGTCCATAAAATATTCCCAGTTAATAATCATTTATTTATGCAAACAACATCTGATTACATGTGATATTTCACTGGTGAGATTTTGAAATCCTATGTTCGAGCTGAAAGATCGTCAATATTTGTTCAACACTAACGCCTGAGTTGAGACGTACTTTGTGAACGCACTGCCACCACTACAAGCTGTGACGCTTGTAACACATCCATATCATGTTACCTTCAGCAAATTACATTTAGGGAGATACACAGGTGGTATGTGCATTTTACTTGGAGCTTGTTAACTGTTTCTGATACTTACGCCTAACGCTGTCAAGTAACACGAGGTGGTGGTGGAATTGGGTTTAACGTCGCGTCCAAGATTATTGCACTTATATAGCGACGTGCATGCACGTGTATGTGTGTGTGTGGCTGCTTGTACTAGTCCGGACTGATGCCGATTTATAGTGCTAGCTCACTGAGATAACATGAATACCCCACTCAGACACAGCATACTGACTCCGAGCCGACCAGTCCTTGTTTTAGCCCCTTTATGCCGAGCGCCAGACAGGGTAACAACAAGTACCATCTTTTAGCGTCTTTTGGTATGACGCGGCCCGGGATCGAACCCCGGACCTTCCGCTCTCCGGGCGGACGCTCTACCACAAGACGACGGAGGCGGCACAAATAACACGAGGGATGTCATGTGTGATGACTATGGTTCAAGGGCAAGGTCATCCCGACAGGTAAGGATTAGAAACAGATGGGGTACTCCTTCACACGAGACCACCCTTCGTTATGAACAACCTTCTAGGGGTGACTGTCACCTTGCAATAAGTATGAGTTAGTTCTGACGCAACAGTCAGCCATAGTCCAGGTCTGTCAGGGAGGTATTTCTCGAGGCCTCCACTTTATAAAAGTAATGTAATCCATCAATCGGACATTAAGACTAAAGAAACCATCTACAAGTCATCATCAACCAAAATTACAAAAGGTCTGTCACTGTAATAATTATCAATTATCATGAGACTATACCCACAAAGACAGTTATCCATAAGACTGACTAATTATATGAATCGTCCACTAAGATCTTTTCGAACAGCCTGGCTGATTATACAAACTGTGATGTATGTTGTCCATTCGTCTGACTAGTTATAAAATTTGTTCACTAAAACTTTATCGATTAGTTGGAATAATGACAGTTATAAATAGTGAGCAGACGCGGTTCCAAAAGAAGCCTAAAGCTAGCTGTCCAAAATTTAATCATTTGTTTCTGATGCAATAACATGTATGTCTCCTGACATCCCCTTAAATAGCAACTTACCAAACAACACTGATGAAAAGCGCAAGCACAGATGAGTTCAAACAAAACTGAGTCCACATCATTTATTTATTTATTTACGCGAACACATACGGTTCTAAATATGGAACTAGATTATGGCGCAGGAATTGGGTGAAAACGGGGCAAAATTATGTCCTTGCGTTGTTGTGATGTCATGATGACGTAAGTAGTAATTTCCCTGTATCCTCTGGACCAATTACTCGGACATGTAAGTCGGACAGTTAACAGCCACGGACAGCTAATGACCAAACAAACATGATTACATGAAGAGGTTCTAGTCTGGGACCAATTTTCTAGTCCCCGAAAATTGGACGCAAATCATTCTTACCACCCCTGATTGTCTGTTAACTCACATGTAATGAATATCAGTTTAACAGTTAATGATCTCTCTAATTGAACAGAGACAATGGCCCAATTTCAATGTCTCAGTGTAGAATGTACATGGTATTTAGCCAGGTCTCCGTCAAGTACCTAATTTGTGTACTCACCTCAATATGTTTCTGATGGAGAATGTCCATGGTGGTTTTGTCATCAATCAGATTCTTCAACTTCGTGTACTTCTTGGGACTCGGAGTTGCGGAGGAGGCCCTTCGGTCGTTCCTTCTGGACATGTTTGGGCTTGTCATGGTTGCACTCTTTCGTCGTTCGGGCTTCTTAACTACCTCCTCTTCCGACGTGTGCCCATTCTTATCCGGACTTGTGAGACTGTTCTTTCTCTTATCAGACTTCTGTTCCGACTTTTGGGGCGTCTTGTTGTGAACACAGTTACCGGGCGCGTTGTCGTTATCACTCTGAATCTTCACATCCCCCTTGACCACCACCGTGATCTCATCATTGTCCTGAAATATCTCGATACTCTTCCGAGCAGGGCTGGAGATGGCTCGAACCTTAATCTCACTCACTGCACCTTCAGAATTCATCTTGTTCATTTTCACAACACTATCTGGTCCATTTGTCTGGAACTTAGGACTACTCAGAATAATTTTGGGTGAACCGTGGGCTCCTGTATCTAAGATGGTCTCGTCAAACCTATCTGGTGTTGTCTTAGAGCGAGGAACCTCACCGTTGGGTACGTGCTGGTCTGAGGCGGTTTGCGTTATTGCATCGCGAAGTTTGGAATCTATTTCTTCTAGGCTCCCTTCTTCCATAGAACAACCCTTATCCTTCTCCACTCTGGATTTTGAACTGCCCTTTCTCCCTACTTTAGGACTCGCTTCGTCGCCGTTACACAATTTTCTAAAGCTCCGTACCGGTGACGTAAGCGGGGAAGGGGTTGTCGCAAATGTCCTCTTAATTCTGCCAACAAAGGTGTTATCTACAGGCTTAGTGACACGTATGGTCTTTGGCATACCATTTTCCTGGAAGGTGGTTTCTAGGTGGGTGGAATATCCTTCAGGTCCTCGCAGCAGCAGTACCACGGGAGCATCTGTCGGCACGGCTTTCAGTATCTCGACTGCGCTCTCGTAACTCATCTCCGTCAGGTTGATATCATTTATCCGAAGTATGACGTCACCCACCTGAACCAATCCGCTCTCCTCGGCTATACCACCTGACACGAGGTCTGCCACCACCACGTATGGTTTACTAGTCCGTTGCTTGACAAGAAAGCCAAGGCCGCCATGTTTCTGTTTGATAAGTTTCACCCGGATCGTATTGGGCTGTGGGTCAGTATTGCCCGGCATGATGACCACTGGTTATGAACACAACAAATGAAAACTTCTTACATAGGCGTCCGTCCGTTTCGAAAATAATCGGTTTCGACTTCTTAGATTATGATGCCCGCATCTCCCTCTGAAACAATAGACATTCGATTAAAACATTGTTCAGCATATTCAGTATGGCATTATGTTACATACCAGCCGATGAAGACTCACAGCATCAGTGAGGACAGGATTCAGGTTAGGCGTCTCTCGGATTTATCTACCTTATACACTTCAAGTCTGACATTTCACTGGCAACGTGAAACTAAACCTTACGCAACAAAAAGCCATTATATAAAATGATTTCAGCTTCATCTGTACTTAATTAATTTTAACCCCATACGTGGTCGTGCAAATGTAGGGCGGGCAATCCTCAAAGTGTTGCTCTGTGAAAAAGGATAAGACATTCACTGCACCTCCACAATAGAATTAAAACGATCATCTTTCTCATCAGTTGTTTATTATTTCGCCTACTTAAGTGAAGACACTTTTCTTCGTCATCTCGAGAAATGTCAGTTTGCTCGTAAGAAGAGATCAGATATCAATAATAAGCGAATGACAACTTGTCAAATCACGAAACTGTCAACTTGCCATATGCAAATGTCAGAAAAGACGAAGGTTTGGCAAGACTGTGGTGCCGTTGGCTCATATGGTACAGTTCCATAGTTATCTGCGATCGTGGGTGTATGTCCTATATTACCTTAACGTAGCATGACGCTTCGCCTCTTTGGCCGTTTGGTACCCTATTCAATGTGTAGTACAGTAAACTACGGTTATAACGAACTCAAAGGGACTACTATTTTTAGTTCGTTATAACCGTAGTTCGTTATAAGCATATATACAGCATAACCACAGCAAATAGTCGGGACTAAATAGTAAGTTCGTTATATCCGTCAGTTCGTTATAAGCGTGTTCGTTATAACCGTAGTTTACTGTACTACCAAAGTCTAAACACAGTTCTATACAAAATTGAAAACAGCTCTATACTATAATAAATGTGCAGTACTAGAATATTCTAATCACAGTTCTACACAAAAATAAGTGTGTAGTACTACTAATTTAGACACCCCTGAAAATCCGGATTAGAATTAACCTTCAGCAACCCATGCTTGTCGAAAGAGGCGACTAACGGGATCGGGTGGTCGTGCTTGGTTGAAGCATCTCATCGTATCCCAATTGCGTAAATCGATGCTCATGACGTCAGTCAGTGGCCTGCTGGTCTAGCCTCGACTATTTACAGACTGCCTTCATATAGCTGGAATTTCACGGCGGGGAACACCAGAAATTGGCCATGTGGGGAATCGAACCCTGGTCTTCGGCGTGACGTGCGAACGCTTTAACCACTAGGCTACCCCAGTGCCTCTAGGTAAAAAGAGGCTATAAGAATAGTAACCGTGGTAGATTTAGAGAATATCGTTTTACGGATGTGTAAAACAAGTTTATTTTCGCTGTGCTCGTTTTCGCAAAGTCAGAAACGAGTTAAAGATAAAATGGCTACGGGATGGGCATCGGTCGCTATTCGGCTTGTTCCAGAGTGACACGAGTTGTGCATCAGTGTATCCTTCACCTCTGTCGGTTACGAAGGCGCTGGTATATGGACAATATATCTTTCCGACTAAAGAATGATATTTTCATTTTTTGTTTTGTTTGTTGTTTAACACCGCACTCAGCGCTATTCCAGCTATATGACGGCAGTCTGTAAATAATCCAGTCTGGACCAGACAATCCCGATCCCGTTAGTCGCCTCTTACGACAAGCACAGTCACCTTTTACGGCAAGCATGGGTTGCTGAAGACCTATTCTACCCCAGATCTTCACGGGTCCCACGCAATTGGGATAGATGACATGCTTCGACCAAGTCAGCGGACCTGACCACTCGATCCCGTTAGTCGCCTCTTACGACAAGCACAGTCACCTTTTACGGCAAGAATGGGTTGCTGAAGACCGGATCGTCACGGGTCATCTGTAAATAGGTTAGGGTGGGGTGGGGTGGGGTGGGGTGGGGTGGGGGAGAGGGAGTGGTTCAGCCTTGGTGTTATATAAATTGTTTGTAAATAAGTCAATAAATCAATGTGGCTGAAAACAAATGCACGCGCATTTGTGAAAGAACAAGGTCAAAACAAACTTTAAATTGCTTGCAAAATATATTAACCATAAATGTTAATATAAATGAATTTCAATAATTTCAAGCTCTCATATATAAGCATATTCGAAATAATTTTATATTATGATATATAGTTAATGCAAAGTTCACATTTCACGGTTTGCAACGAAAAAGCTTGGTGTAAATGAAATCCATTTTGGCAATATGGGTGGTTCATTTCTTGTATAGGTGATGAGTGACAGTTTATAACCAATTCCGTTACAATTATTAATGTTCAGTAAATATCATTCAAGCGATGTCATCCGGGAATGCATGTTTTCGGACCTAGAACAGACAGAAGCGACAAAAAATAAGCTCGGGCTTTCTCGTCGGTTACTTTCAATCATGTCACTTCGTATTCTTGTTGCAGACTGTAATTGTAATTAAAAACTAACAATCACTGCAAAATGTTGTCTGACATCAGTCGTAATCTGCTATCACCTATTGGTGATGACAGGGAAACAGTGAACCGTTGTGGCTTGGCTCCGTCTCAACATGACACAAGTTGTCGCAGCGCACACTCATCCCGGAACCGGTAGGACGGTCGCTTATATCATTAAAAAAATGAGCGTTATCGCCCTTGGGGACGAAACGTGGCTGGTTGCAGTGAGTAGTTAGGCTTTTGACGGAGAAAAACACTGCGGTGCGGCTTCAGGTACCAAACACTTTTTTTCATGCAATTCGCGTGAGTGGCTGGTGTTACCGGTAGATGAGACCATGTTTTCCCTGTAAGAATGCTAATCTAACCATATTTCATATTGAAAGACATGCGAGACGTGTGTTCTAACTTATAAATTGAAAACAAATGGAAACACGAGTTCCCTTTTCGCGAACACCTGGTGTCATCACTGATTTTCTGTGATCATGTCATTAAATATTGACCTCTATTTTGTCGTTTACCCTGAACGAGATCTATTTCGAAATCAAAACTGGCGTTGACGTATTATATTTTTAGAATATTAGTGAGTGAGTGAGTGGGGTTTAACGTCGCTTTTAACAGTATTCCAGTTATATCACGGCGTGTCAGCTTAATGTAAAAGGAAAGCCCGAAGTGATGCAGGTCTCGGACGTTTACCACTTCGGTGAAACCCACGAGCACGGGTATGGTGCTGACAAACCTAGAAACATAATCGGGGCGAACCGGGATTCGAACCCAAAATCATAGGTTTCTTTCTGGTGCCCCCAAGGGACGCAACTCTGCACAGCGAATCGCGGCGCCCTAGAGGACTGGGCCATCCGTGTCCCCTTTAAGAATATTAACGCCGCAGTCAGCAATATTGAAACGTTACATCCCCTTGCAACATAAGTGGATCATTTGTGATATGTTTTCAACAAATTAGCTGAGTAACCTTTGGTAAACAAACCCAAATTGATCCTCAAATTATGTCCATTTATTTCATAAAGTCATACGCGCATTCTGAATGGTTCGTCATTGGATTGTTGCACACATGACATTCATCGACAGGGGTACGAGTCTTCCTGCAGGTTACGGAAAGGGGTGAGAGTTGACGAATGACTTCTTGCAGGTTACGGAAAGGGGCGAGAGGTGACGAATGAGCTGTTCCTGCATCGGGATCATCAGAAGGAGCTGTTTAGAGTATATGTTTATACCCCGGACAATGCAGAAGCGAATTTCAATCTTGGCCATGTGTTGTCTGCTTTTTTTCTGATGCATTCAAGGTCGCGTGATTTTACGAGGTGCGACTTTGAGTATATCGTATGACATGTGGGTGTTTAATTTCCCGTGCATGACACTTAATGAATCATTCTGCAACATGGCACACAACACATGGCGCTATAAGGATTGTGGGATTGTGGGAGAGGGGTGAGGGGGTATATTGATGAGACAGAATGGCCTTGTGTCCCTTCTGTGAGGTAGGGCAGGACATGTTTGCCCCCTTCGCGAACACCTGATCCATTCATGTAATTTTCACCACTACAGTAAACTACGTTTATAACGAACACGCTTATAACGAACTGACCAATATAACGAACTACGGTTATTACGAACTAAAATCAGTGGTCCCTTCGAGTTCGTTATAACCGTAGTTTACTGTATTTTGCCATTTACTCCCAGAGAAATGTGTTCCAGGGTATAAGCGATAATGTTAATTCTCTGGCGGCGTTGACATGCGTGGGGGTGGGGAATGGCATTGTGGTGGATGTGGTGTGGGTGGGGGATTCACAACAACAACAAAAATCAGTTTTTACAGGGAGGTATAGTTGCTTTTTTGGTACAACCTATCAAATCAATGTGTTCCATTTGTTTCTGGGACAATTTTGTTTAGGAAAGGCACCCTCCCCTCAAATACCAAATGATCCGTCCCTAAATTTGAATGATAACTCTGTCAATACAATATTTCAAACACGATAAATATCCAGGCACCTAACCACCTCTATATATATATCATAGCGCCATGTGCCGCACAGACTGTCATATTATAATTATATGTATAATATTAAACCAGATCGTGTACCTGGGGCTCACGTGCCTTACAAGGAATATTGCGGTTTCAGCACTCTTTGACAAGACCAAATATGATTAATATGTGCAATAAAAAAAGCAACTAGAAATTGAGCCGAAACTTTTTGGGGGAGCAAAAAGTACACAACAACAACAACAATAATAATAATAATATTGCGCTGAACTCCATATGCAATGGTCAATGTCAGTTGCACTCGATTAGCATACTCAGCTCCCTGGGGAATATACAAACGAAGCTGCTTTGCCATGCGCTTGAAGATTAACGGACACAATACCGTCTTATCCTGTCGGGGACCCAATTTGACTTCTTGGTGAACAAGGGGCTATTTTGAACTCAGTCACTTGCTTTCGGAGACACCACGTGTGTTACATGTACTTCAGTGTAGGTCAGGACCGAAGCCCTAGAAACTCAGGAGTCAATCTGCCGATCGCGGTCACCCATCCAACTACTCTCCGCAACCGA